TGAATGTTGTTGTTATCGTTATTACTATTGTTATTACTATTGCTTATTATTATCATTAATTAATATCAACTAATATTATTAATTATAGTTCCAATTCCAAATAATTATTAATATTAATAATTATTATTATTGTTGTTATTTGCATAGTTAATTACGGCAATAAAAGAAATAATATATATTGTGGAATGACCCAATTGTTATTATAATCATCAACGAAACTTCGAAGTTTTTTGCAATTTTCCATCAATTAACTTTTCAGATTGATTTGTTCATTTATTCAATTTTGTTTTGTTAATTTATTATTTCTTAGTTTTTATTTTTTTTTCGATTTTTTTTTCGAAATATTTTATTAAAATTTGATGATAAAAAGAGAAAATAGCAAAAAAATGCAACAAACATTGCAGTAAATATGCAAAAAAGCAAAGAAAAAAATTGCTTAAAAATTATGCAATAATTTAAATTTGAAAAAAAAAAATATTTTAATAAAAATTAAATTTAGTAAAGTGGAAAGTTTATGAAAAAAATGGATGTTTACCATATATAAAGTATTCATTTATACAAATTTTTTGAAAAAAAAAAAAAAAGAAAATCAAATATATTCAATTCTTTTCTTTGTATTATTTTCATTGTAATAAACTCATAAAAATAATTTGTTTTTTATTTTTATAATTTCATCTTATTTTTATAATGTTTTCATTATTTTTATAAATTTATAATTTTATCATAAATTTTTAAATTCCTTTTTTTATTATTATTTCTATTCAAGCTAGTTTAGATAATAATGTGTTCATTCAATGATATCGTTCAAATATTCTCTTTGAAATATTTTCCTGTCATTTTTTTTTTTTTTCAGTGTCACATCGCTTTTTTTTTTTTGATCTAATTATTGTAATTTCTTTTCAATCAATGTATAATCAATTATATATTATTTGAAATAATCACTTATACTACAATTTTATTTGTTCACAATCTATCATACATTCTAATTTTTATTTCTTTTCCTCTTTTCTATATTTTGTATTTTGACATTTGAATTAAAACTTTGTCAACATTAATAATTTTATACTTGAATTGGGATTTTATCATCATTAATATTTTGATATTTGAATTAAAATTCTGCAATTATTAATGTTTTGATATTTGAATTATTATTTTTGCCACGTTTTGATATCTGAATTAAAATTTTGTCATCATTAATGTCACCATCAGTTTTTTTATGCTTTGCTACTTTTTTCTGAAGCATCCGAATCCGCATATTATATAGTTTAAAAAAAATTTACGGTTTTTTTAAATTAATATGTAACTGAATGATTCATACTGAAATTTCTATTTTTTTAACTTATGACTTATGAAAAAAATATTTAATGAATTAAAAATTTTAGCATTAGATGATAAATGCAAATATTTAAGTTAGATTTCATAAGCCGTCATAATATTAAAATTAGATTACATTGCTGATTGCTGAATTGAAATGTTCAAGTTGATGGTTGATAAATTGAAATATTTAAGTTAGATTACGTTGATGGTTGATAAATTGAAATATTTAAGTTAGATTACGTTGATGGTTGATAAATTGAAATATTTGTTTAACAATAAAATATTTTGCCCTATGTTAAATTCTTCTCTTGCCTATATTGCTGTAATCAAACCATTATTGCATCAACAATAAAATATTTTGCCCTATGTTAAATTCTTCTCTTGCCTATATTGCTGTAATCAAACCATTATTGCACCATTAATACTTTATAGAGAATGAATGTTTCACTTTTATTACATTAAAAAAATTTTTCAATCATTTTCTACTTCCATTTCTTTATTTTAATAAAATTTCTTATTAAAATATTTCATGAATAAATTGAATATAAAAATGATTGCATTAGTTATTTTGATTTTATTCAATATTATCACTTTATCAGATCACAATTACAACATTTATTCTTTCTTACATTTTATCATTTTTAAAAAATTTTTTGTTTTTTTTTTTTTTTTTTTTTTTTTATAAAAAATATTCATAAAGTAATTGTGTTTTTTATCACCAATGAATTGTATTTAATAAAATCACTGATTAGTCATATTTTTTCTTTATTTTTACTTTATTTAATAATATAATTTTATCAGATTACAATTTATTCTCTTTTACCATTTTTAAGAAATTTCTATTTTTAATAAAAAATATATTAATAAAATCAATGATAGTATTAATAATATTAATCATTACTAATTTAATTATTTGATTTATACAATTGTTAAGAAGAAATAAAGTTATAAATATCACTTTTTTTTTACATTTTCATATTTTTTTAATAGGAAATGGTAAATATTTACAAATGTTAAAATATTATTTCAATTATTACTGTAATATTATTTCTTCTAATATTACATTTTAAAAATATAAAATCATTAATTGATTTTTTTTTTTTGAAATATATAATTTCATTGTTCTTTTTCTCTTTTTTTTTTGCAGGAAGTAATAAATGTTGTTAAAATGGAATATTATTTCAACTATTGTTGTAATACTACTTCTAATAAATATTTCAATAATTTCATCTGATTTAACTGATAATATTTTGGATCTCACTGATAACAATGATTATAATATCTTTTCCGAATTACAACAAAATAATATTACAAATACTTTACCTTCTTCTTTCCTTACTTTTACTAATATTATTACTACTATTACTACTTCTACTACTACTAGTACTACTGCTACTACCACTACTACTAGTAGTACTACTTCTACTACTATAACTACTGCTGCAACTACTAATTATGCATTAGAGTTAATTAAGAAAAGTAAAAGTATTAGACGACACAATCCAGTCAATCAATTATTACTACAATCAATCACAAACAAACATATTATTCCGAAAATAATTAAAAAAGTAAAGCAAAAAAAAATTAAAAATTATTTACAATTAATATTTAGAAAAATAAAAAATAATTATTATATTTTTTCTTCAAATTAATGAATTATTTACAAACATGCAAACTTCGCTTTTTCCTTTTCTTTTTTAAATTAAAACTAATTTTATTTTTTTATTTTTTGTTATTAAAATGAACAAATTTCAAAGTTAGGTAACAATTCGAAACAGTAAACAAAATGCGATTTTAATACCACAATTAGTCATAAAAATCATATCATTTTGTAAATAAAAAAGGAAAAAAGCAATAATTATTTGTAATTATTATTTTAAATAAATAAATAAATGAATAATTTATCAAATTAATGAATTAAAAATATGCAAATTACATTTTGTTTTCCTTTTTTTTTAAAAAAAAATTAAAACGAATACCTTTTTTTTTTTTTTTTTTTTGCTATTAAAATAAATAAATTTTAAAATTAGGTAGCAATTCGAAACAGTAAACGAAATGTGCTTAATTTGAATGGAACAATATCAGAAACATGTAAACAAGTAATGACAATTTGTAATGATGAATTAAAATTATTAATACCAATATGCGATAATATGAATCAAACACATCGTAATCCATGTTCACTTGCATTATTTAATTGTAAACAATTAAACTTAAATTATAATCATTCGAGAATTCTGGTACACGTTGGACAGTGTAATATACAATCACCAATTTTTACATTTGAAGAAGAAGTAAGTTTGTTTTTTATTGAAATTTGTTGTTTTCTGCTGCTTAAAAACATTTTTTACTATATTATTTTAGTATATAATAAATACTTTTTGCATAATTTTAATAAATGTATAAATACTTTGTAATTTTAATATTTAAGTAACACTTTACTTTGACACATTAATTTTAATTTTAAAAAAAGTGTAAAAAGGAAAAATAAGGAAAAAACTTTCTTAAAATAAAGAAAACAGTTTTATACTTCAATATTGATAAAAGAAATTAATATTTACAAATACTTTTAATAAATTATTGTTTTAGAAAGAAGAAAAAAATAATTTTTAAATTTTTACAATTTTTTTAAAATAATTATTGAAAAGAAAAAAGAGGAAAGGAAAAATTTGTTTTCTTCATTTTCATGTAAAAAAGTGAAATGCAAGGGAAAGAAATTGTCATTATTTATGTTTTTTTTTTTTCTAATTTGTTAAAAATATTTTTAAATTATTTTAACAACATCTTTTTATTGGAGTGCTATAGTTGTTGCTGATAAATTTTAATAGATTATAATTTTTATACATTAATTATATAAATATTATATAACTATTTTGATTATCATAAACAATCTTATGGTTTTTTTTTTTTTTTTGAAGCATCAAAAATTTAATAAATTTGCTAAAATTATTTGCTGATTTAAATATGTGTGAAATTTTAAATTTGCAAATTATTCAAATATGATAATTTTTTTTTTAATTTCTTTTTAGTATTTTTAAATTTTTTTTTAAATTTTTATTTAAGATTTGTCCAACAAAATGTTCCAAAAAAAATAGGCCTGTATGTGATACTAAACAAAAAACATATCGAAATTTGTGCACTTTTCAAAAGCATAATTGTTTGGAACGAAGAAATGTAAGTTTTTAATGATTAATTAAAAATATAAATTTTAAAATGGTATTAAATTCATTTGAAAAAAATAAATTTAATTAGGAAATTTATCAATTAATACATATTTATTATATTTAACTAAATTATTAATCTAGCAAAAAAAAAAGAAAAACTAAATTTCAATTTAAATTTTAATCAAATTTCTTCTCTACTATAGAATTAAGAAATTTATCTAATAACACATATTTATTATGTTTAGCTAAATTATCAATGATATTTTTCAAAAAAAAAAGTTAATTATAATTTTAATTATAATTAAAATTTTTCCCATATTATAGATTAATAGATTTCAATCTATTGAAATAGATTTATTATGCTAAAAATTCATTTATTAAAAGTTAATTAAAATATTATTCATTGATAATTATTATTTTTAATTTACATTAGTTTGTATTAATTTAAATTTATATATAAGTTTAAATGATTTAAAATTTTTTAAGGATGAAGCTAACGCATCATTTTTATATGCTTTAATGGCTTGCAATGAATCATCGATGATTGCATCATCTGCTGAGGAACAAAATGAAAAACCACTAATTGATGTAAAATTTATTGTTTCTATTTTAAAATTAATTTAATTTAATTTAATTAATCATTTAAGGATAAAATAATTCGGTAAAGTTTTTTTTCAATAAATATAATTATAAATAATTTGATTAAATGATTTTAATATTTCAATTTTAACACTTTAATTAGTATAATTTGAAGCAATTTAATTATTCCAATATATTAAGAATGGATTAATTGGGAAAAATTTTTTATGATAATATAATTGTAAATAATTTAATTGATTGAATGGTTGATCGGTTGATTGATTGATTGATTAATTGATTGATTGATTGAATGGTTGATCGATTCTAACTTCACTAATTGGTTTTAATACTTCAATTTTAACACTTTAATTAGTATAATTTAAAGGAATTTAATTTATTTCAATATATCTAGAATGGATTAACTTGGAAAAATTTTTTATGAAAATATAATTGTAAATAATTTGTTTGAGTGATTGACTGATTGTAATAATTCAAATATTTATGCTTTAATATCCATAATTTAATTAATATAACTGTAATTTTAATTAATTTCACAAATTAATTGTTTATTTCGAAAATTAAATTTAGGAAGAAATTATTTGTCCAAAATTTAAAAATTGTAATGGTATACGACGACCTGTATGTGATAGCAATGGTAATTGGCATCGGTTAGTTTTTTTTTTTTTTTTTAATTTTCATTTGAGAATAATAATAATAAATTCAAATATAAATAATAAATTCTTTTTTTAAATTTTAAATTCAAATTTCATTTTTTTTTTTTTTAAAAAAAATATTTTATTTGCAGAAATCATTGTACCTTTTTGCATGCACAATGCATTGCTGCAAAACGTGGACAATGTCTAACAATAGCTGATGAAAAATGGTGCTCAGTTAGTGATGAGAAACGTAAAGAAAAGAAAACACTTCAAAATTCAAAAAGTTTTTCCATTTTTTTTTAAATTAATAAAATTTAAATTTTTTTTTAAATTAAAAATTAAAACGAAAAAGAAAAAAGAGAAAATTTCAACAATTTAAATTCAATCTTTTTTCTTCTTACATTCATTTATAAAATGAAATATTAATGTATTTTAAAATTAGATTTCAATTAAATATGTAATTCCACCTTGTTTTTAATTTTTTTTTCTTTATTTACGTGAAAATTTTACGTGGAAATATATTTTTAGTGTCACGTCGTTGTTATCGTCAATGTTCAAAAAATCTTGCCTATGAACCAATATGTGCAACAACTTTTGTGACATATCCTAATCGTTGTTTATTTTTAAATGCAAAATGTCGTGATAAAAACTTGGAACAATTATATTATGGTTAATTTAATCCTTTTTTTTTAAAAAAAAATATTTAAAAATAAAAAATTTATACAATTTAAATAATTTAAATATATTTAATTTTGTATTAAAAAGAAAATACTAAAAGGAAAAAATCTTTTTTTGTTTTCATTCATTAATATTTTAATAGTTTTGAGCTTTTTTTTGCTATAAATTTAATTTATTTTACTTTTTAATTATATATCTTTTTTTAAATGAATAATTTATACAATTTAAATATTTGATAATTAGTAAAAATTCTTTTCTTTATTTTATGGAAATAAATAATTTAAACAAAAAAAAAATTTTCTTTTTTTGCTAATAAATAATATTTTCCAATAATTTTTCATTTTTCTCTTTTTTTTTGTTTGTTGTTAAGTATATTTCTACTAACGTTTTTTTTATTTTTCTTTTCTTTTAATTTTGACAAATTAAAATTTTCTTTTTTCTCTTTTTTTTATTATTGTAATCTTTTATTAATACCAATTTTTCTTCTTTTTTTTTTTTTTTTTTTTGTTTTAATTAGTTTGTTTGTTTGTTTTCTGTTCATTAATTAAATTAATTATTAAATGCACAGGTGAATGCCGTGATTGTTTAATTTCAAATTGCAATAAAATAATGGATGAGAATGAATTGGATTCAAATTTTGTTTGTGATCAAGCTGGAAATACAAAGAGAAAATGCGAATTTGAAATGCTACGATGCATTTATGAACGAAAATTTGGTTATAATATTACCATCGCATATGTTAATTTTTCTTTTTCTTTTTTGATTTAAAATTTTGAATTAATTAAGAAATTTAAAAAACAAATTAAATTGCTAAGAAAGGAGGGAGAGAGAGGGAGAGAGAGAGAGAGAAAAGGAAGGAATGGGAAAAAGTAAAGAGGGAAAAATGAAGAATGTTAAAAGTATTGTAAATTGATGTTTAATTAAATTTTGCGTAAAGGTATTTATTGAATGAAGTAATTACTTGAAGTAAGTAAGTATATAATAATTAAAGTAAGTATGTAATAATTAATGAAGTGAATATATATTATAATTAAAATGAAAGGGTTTATTTTGAAAAAGAAAAGTAAAAGAAAGTAATTATTTAATGAAATTTAAATTAAATTAATACAATGATATAGCAAGAAGTAATTAGTATTCAATAAGTGAAATGGAAAAGTTTATTTTGAAAAAGAAAAGTAAACAGTTGTAAATTTAGAGTGAATTATTTGATGAAATTTAAATTAAATTAATATAGTGATATAAAGAGGAAGTAATTAGCGAAAATTATAATTAAAATAGAAAGGCTCTCTTTTTTTTTGAAAAAGAAAAATAAATGATTGTAAATTTAAAATAAATTATTTAAAGAAATTTAAATTAAACAAATGCAATATAAGTGATGCAAGAAAATATGCAATTATTGCAATTTATATATTTATAAAGAATGATAATCCTGAAATTATGTGAAATTTTTAGTGTGTAATAAAGTTTTGATTAATTAATAATCCTTTTAAACAATGAATAATTTTTCTTATTAACTTAACAAATTTTATTAATTTATCTATTAATTATTAAAAAAGAAAAACAAATTTTAGAGGAAGAAAATTTCTAATTAACTAATTAATGATTTTATCAAAATATTGCTTTTCTTTTTTGAAATACTAACTTCGTACTTAATTTATAAACAATAGTCTTAAATTTATTTCATATATTTTAATATTCCATATCCATTAAATAGTATAGTAATTATTATAAAAATTTTTACTAAAAAAAAAGTTGAATTAATTAAAATTTTAAATTTGAAAAGAGACAAAAAAGAAAAGGAAAAAAATAAAATTTTATAGATGGGACGATGTTGTCCAACTGAAGATTCATGCATGCAATCGTTTGGTGACAAAGTTCAGCTGAAATCGCAGGGGTCACCAGTTTGCGATTCGCATAATGTCACACATTCAAGTCGTTGTCTCTTTGAAGTTTGTATAAAATAGCTTTGACAATCATAAATTAATTTAATTCTTTTTTTTTTTTGATAATTTTAGTTTCGATAAATTTTGATAATTTTAAATTAATTAATTAATTTGATATTTTTATTGAATCAATTGAAAAAGAATTTGAAATTTTTTCAAATTGTTTCTTTAATTTTTTAATAAATTCATGAATGAATATTATGAATTTAATTGTGGAACATTTTATTAGTACTATTATTTTTGAGAATTTTTTTTTTTTTACATCTTTTTTATTCTGTTTTTTTATCTGAAATTTATAAAATTTTTTTAACTTTTGTTTATGAATATAATTTTGTAGGTGCATAAATGTCGAATGGAAAAAATTGAACATCTTAAGTTGACATTATTAAATGAAAATGGTAGCTGTTCTGATACATCTATTGTAAATGTTGATAAATTATCACAAGGTATTATTTATTTTATCAGTGATATAATCATAAATGATAATAATAATTAATTTATGTTAGTAGTAATAAAATATTAACTGATAAAAGATAATTTATGCAATTTTTATATTTAAGCAATTATTTTAAGCATTATCAAACTGAATTCCTTTATCAGTGATATAATCATAAACGATAATAATAGCTAGTTTATATTAATAGTGATAAAATATTAAGTAATAAAGATAATTCATGCAATTTTTTCATTTTAGCAATTATTTTAACCATTATCAAATTGATTTTTTTATCAGTGATATAATCATAAATGATAATAACAATCAATTTTGTACTATTAATGATAAAATATTAAATATTAGAAAATTATTTATGAAATTTTTGCACTTCAATAATTATTTTAATCATTGTTAAGCTAATTTCCTATTTTTTTTCAGTAAAAAAAAAAAAAAAAAAGAAAGAAAAATTTTTTTCTCATTTAAAATTTCATTAAATTAAATTAAATTACAGATATAAATGAATCAATGAATTGTAAAAAGGATATTGAATGTGATACAAATTATGAACCAATTTGTGGTACAGATGGAATAACATATGTTAATCGATGTCGTTTAATGAAAACGCGATGTTTTAATAAGTTTAATTTATTTCATTTATTATTTTTTATTAAATTATTTTATTAAAAAAAGAGAAAAATTAAATAGAATAAAAAATTTTGAAATTAATAAAAGATTATTGATGCATAAATATAAAATAATTTTGTATCTCTTTTATTTTTTATTTTTTTAAATATTTTAAAATAATAATTTTTAATATTTCTAAAAGAATAATATTTATGTATAATATTTTATGTATAATATTTTAAAATAATAATAATATGTATTTCTTTCTTTCTTTCAAGCTTTTCTCTCTCTCTCTCTCTCTCTCTCTTTGTTATTCTTTCCCTTTCTTTTTCATATTTTTTGTCTACAATTTGCAGAAAAAAAATAGTGAAATTTGAAATGTAAAACTTGAAATATCTCTAATATTACAATATTTAAGAATAAATATTTTTTTTTTGCAATAAAGATTTTCAATTAAATTTTACTAAATGTTTAATAATTTTAATTGAATTTTTTATAAGAATTATAAAAGCTATATGAAAATCATTTTAAATTAAATATAATTGTGCGAGTCATTTCATTTCATTATAGAAATTATTTTTATCACTACTTTTTGTATTATTTGTCTATTTATTATTAAATATTACTATATATATTATTAATGTTATTAATTAAATATTTATATTTTTTTGTATTCATTTATTATTACTAACATTACTAAATATATATTATTAAATTAGTTAATTAATTATTAAATATTTATATTTATTTATTTTTAAATATTATTATATATATTATTAGTGTTATTAATTAAATATTTGTATTTTTTGTGTTTATTTATTATTATTATTATTATTATTATTATTATTATTATTATTATCATTATTATTATTATTATTATTATTATTATTATTATTATTATTATTATTATTATTATTATTATTATTATTATTATTATTATTATTATTATTATTATTATTATTATTATTATTATTATTATTATTATTATTATTATTATTTTATTATTATTATTATTATATTATTATTATTATTAATTATTATTATTATTAATATTATGTATTATTATTATTATTATTATTATCTATTATTATTATTATTATTATTATTATTATTATATATATACTATTATTATATCGTTTGTATTCATTTATTATTAAACATTATTAAATATTTAATTAATTGATTAATTAATTAACTTATTTATTCATTTTTATAGAACATTATTAGCAGCATATAATGGTGAGTGTTGTACAAATCGATGTGAACAGCATTGGGCACCTGTATGTGATAATCGCAATATTACACATTTAGTAAGTTAATAAATCAAATTTTAAATTTAATATTTCGTTCATTTTTCAAATTAATAAATTATTAAAATTTGCATATGCAAATTTTAATTATTATTTGCAGAATTTATGCATGTTCAATGTGCAAAATTGCATTGCTACACGAAGTGTTGGTGAATCATTGCATATTGTTAGTTATGCAGCATGCACGAATGATGCATGCAACATGCAATGCAAACCAAATATTTATCAACCTGTTTGCGCTTCAAATGGTTATTTGAAATTTTTAGAAAATTAAGTTATATTTTGCGAACAAAAAAAGAAAAAAAAGGAAAACAGCAAGAACAAAAACAAAAGTTTTTCTTTTTTTTAATTACTAATTTAATTGTAAATTTTGTTAATTTAATTTTTATTTGTTAATTTAGTCATTTTCAATTAATTTAATCATTTTTTTTTTTGGAAAAAATACACTAAAATGTATGAAAATATTAAATGAAAAGCAAAAATTTTTATTTCCGATAATAAGAAATATTGATTTTTTCTTTTGTTTTATTGATAAGCAATGATAACAAAATGATAATTTCTTATTAAAATATATTAATGATAAATTATTGATAATTATTTTATAGGTATAACATATCAAAGTGAATGTGAATTAAATAATGTAATTTGTGAACTAAATATGCAAAATAATCAATGGAATTGGATGAGAAATATTGAAACAAAACTGGAACTTGACTATATAGGTTAAAGAAATAATTATATATTATTTCGTTCAATTTAAATAACCAAAACTATTAATAATTTTTCAAAAAAAAAAAAAAAGAAATCAGAAAATATAAGGAAAGAAAATAAAACAGCACAAAATAAATATGTCAAATATTATCTCCGTTTTTTCATGAAATTACTATTGTTAGAATTTTTAATTGAAATATATCAATTGTTTAAATGTTTGACATTTTCAAAAAAGAAAAAAAAAATTTAATATTTGATATAAATATTTTAATAATGTATTATTCGCTGAAATTGTTAATAATTTAACAATTTTAACATATATTTTTCTATAGGAAAAAGGGAAAAAATGTATAATTATGTATAATATTTAAGTTCAAAATTTTCTTTTTTTTTTTTTCAACATTTTAAAATAATGTAAAAAAATGTTTTTAGGTGAATGTTGTGAGGAAACTACTGGAAAATGTGATGAGAATGATAATTTGTCACCAATTTGTGATAGCGAAGGTCACACGCATAATAATGTTTGTGATTATGAACGAATGGCATGTCTTTCACAGAGACGTTTTCAAACAAATTTAACAATTCGATATTGGGATGAATGTTGCATAGATGACTGTCAACGTGAGCAAACACAAATGCCACTTTGTGATAATACACAAACAACGCATGAAAATTGGTGCAAATTTAGGTATCCACGTGTTAGTTAAATTATGAAATTATCAAATTTTAAGTTATTATATATATAACAATTGGATTATATATGTTAAATAAATTTTGGACTTTTTTTGTAGATTTTGTTTCTTTCTAAACTTAATTTATATGTTAATTATATATATATTTTTTATAATTTATAGAATTTTTTATATCATTACTGCTTCATATTATTATTATTATTATTATTATTATTATATTATTATTATTATTATTATTATTATTATTATTATTATTAATTAGTATTATCATCATTTATTACTGTTATTATTAATAACTATTATTATTACAAGAATGATATTGTGGAAATGTTTGGAAATTTATTTGTTATTGATTGCATCTAATTTTGTTGCATATCCTTTTGTCTAAAACTGAAACATTCCTATGTTTTTCTATGAAAAAAAAAAGGAATTTCTTTTCCTTCTCTTTTTTGTTTTCATGAAAAAAATTTTAGGAAGTATTAAAAAAATAATTTATAGATTAGCACAATGTGAATCACATCGTCGCTTCAAACGTACACTTCAATTAGCATATATTGGTGAATGTTGTATGATATCAAACGATGATAATTGCACTGATAATAATTCAATTTGTGATACTGATGGAGTAACACATCGTAATTTGTGTACTTTTCGAAATAAACAATGCATAATAAAACGAACAGAACAGAAATTAATTAACATTGCTTATTATGGTAAGTTTTTTAAGCATTTTGAAAAAAAAAAAAAAACGAGAAAAAAAGAATGTTAATGTTAATATTAAAAAAGAATTTACTTATTATTTGCATATAATATACAAAAATATTATATTTGTATATTTATTCATTTATTAAAAGTATTTTTATTCAACTCTTTATTCATTTGAATTCATTCAATTATTAATTAATAATTGAATTATTTTATACAAAAGTATTTATTTTATTATTACAAAATGAAAAATATTGTTTTTGATAAATTTCTGGTGATTGCTGCTCAACTGATATTAACTGCAACAATAACTGGCAACCAGTATGTGATCAACAAGGAATAATATATCCTAATCAATGCTATTTCAATTCAAAAAAATGCTTTCTTGAAAAAACGTTTGTTAATTTTTTGTTTTCTTATCTAAAAATTTTAAATCGTTAATAAATATTTGATTAAAAAGAAAAAATGCTTTCTAGGAAAAATTTTTTTTATTTTTTTCTTATATTAATTTTTAAATTATTAATGTGTTTTTACCTTTTTTTTCCTCTGGTTCTCAAGAATTTAAATTTTGAAATTGAGAATTTTTGAAGGTCTTGAAAATTCATAAAATAAAGTAATATATAATTGATTATGTGTTAGTTTTTTAAACCAAAATTTCAGAAATAATGTGACACTATTGCTCGCTAAATGTCAATCAAATGTACAATCGGAATTTTTTAGTACTTCAATGACAAATCGATTATAATATTTTTGTTGAGATGAACTGTTTTTTTTGGAATTTTTCTCTTTTCTTTTTTGTTAATATTTGTCGAATAATTTATTTGATTAGTAGAAATTCCTATTAATTTTATTTTTTTGAATTTGAAATATTGCAATAATTTATATGAAATATTATTACTCATTAATTGCTTGGAATATTTCGTTTTTGTTTTTGTTTTTTTAAATCTTGTTTTGTAAATAAACACCTGAAAAATGTTTAGCAATATACAATACAAATTTTATTCGAGAAAAAAATTTTTCTTTCTTTGTTAGTTTTGATAACAATTGTTTTAAATGCTTTAATTGGAAGACTTCAATTATATTTAACTTTTTAATTAAAAATTTTTTCGTTTTTGATTAAATTACAAATCATTGTTCCATTATATATTTTAATTATTATCTTAACTTTCCAGCGTTACATAAAAAATGATATAAAATCAATAATAGCAAATAAAATACTATAATAACTGTTTGTTTATTTAAATTTTTCTTTTTTAATTGATAAGATTTTTTTCTGTTACAAAAAAATAGTTTTTCTTTCAAAAAAAGAATTCTTTTTTTCCATTCGCTAATTATTATCTATATTTTTCACTTAATCTTTTTTTCTTTAATTTCTTTTTATATTCTTGATTGAATTTTTTCAAAAAAATCTCCAAAAAATTTTTTAATTCCAAAAACAAAGAAAACAGAAATGGAAATATTCAATACAATTTTAAATATCACCCAAAGTAAACAGTAATTTACAAACAAAAGTCATAGTAAGTACAAAAAAAAATTTTTTTACTTAGTATAATTAATTCGAATAAATGAAAAAATTTAATAATTAATTAGCGCTTGTGATTTGACTACCTGTGATTTTATTTTATTCTATTGTGCTTTAAATTGTATTGAAACCTAAATTAATCTAACCAAATAAATAACCTTTTCTAATTTTAGTAAAATTTTACCTAATTACAATTATACCTCTCTAATATATTTTTGCCCAAATTAATTAATATAATATTTACCTAATTTTTTACAAATGATTTGTATTCCTAGACAATTGCTACGAAAAAAAATTTAATACGAAGAAAAAAGTAGAAGGAATTCAATTTAGAAAAAAAAAAAAGGGGGAAAATACCATTAGATTAAAAGATAAAAGAAAAAAAAATGGGAAATATTAGTTAGGAATGTTAATCAGTTCAGTATGATATGATAAAAACAAAAATGTTTGATAAGAAAATTAAGCATGATAAATGATTAATTATAATTGCAAATAAACAGATAACACATAGAAATTTATTCTTCCTTTCTCATCAATAAAATACCAAAAAATTTCGCATCAAAATTAAATGAAAATTCAAATAATTTACGAAATGATTGTATAATTTGAAAATTTAAATATAATTAAATGTATTTTATAATAATTGCATTAAAAAATTCAAATTTTTTTTCACTTACATTAATTTGTTTTTTGTTTTTTTTTTTTTTGTTCTCATTGAATAAATATTTTTGAAATTCAGTTAAATTTTTTTCATTGTTTTCTTTGACTTATAATAATTGTATGAAAACTTTAATAAAAAGACTTTTTTTTTAACTGGAATAATTAACAGAATATTAAATTCTAATTTTAAACTTTGTTTTAAATTTAATTTTCAATAAATAAAATATTCTGTCATTAGCTAGCAATATGATAAACGAATTAAATTATTAAATATATATTTAAAAAAAAAAAGATAGTTTACAAAATTTATATTAATCATTTAATTAAATTTGTTTATCATTTAATTAAATTTGTTTATAATTTAGCTTTATTTATCATTTAATTAAATTTATCATGTATATATGTGATAATTGCATTTTCCCGAATTTTTCTCATACCTAAAAAATCATTTAAAGATTAAATTTATTTATTAAATTATAAAAAAAAAAACTAGCAAATATTGCTTGATTTCACTCAAATTATCTTTCTTATCAATCATAGCACAATATTTATTCATTCTTATCATTTCTTATCATCTAAATACTTTTCATTCCTTTTCATACAATTATTACTAAAATTTAATAAGTTAATAAACAACAACAAAAAAAAAGAAAAATAATTATTTTTTGATTAATTGATAACAAAATATCATTAATTTTCACTCATAATCAATTTATCATTCTTTGCTTTATCGCCCATTTTCTCTCATTTCACTACTATCAATCAGTCATCTTTCATTTCATTCCTCTTCTTCACTCCTATTCATTCCTTGTTCCTCCTCTTCCTCTTCATTCCTCCTCTTTTCCTCCTACTCGTTCCTCTTCTTCCTCCCCTTTATTCCTCCTCTTCCTCCCCTTCATTCCTCTCCTCCCTCCTACTCGTTCCTCTTCTTCCTCCCCTTTATTCCTCTTCTTCCTCCCCTTCATTCCTCTCCTCCCTCCTACTCGTTCCTCTTCTTCCTCCCCTACTCGTTCCTCTTCTTCCTCCCCTTCATTCCTCTCCTTCCTCCTATTCATTCCTCATTCCTCTCTCTCCTTCCTCCCCTTCATTCCTCTTCTTCCTCCCCTTCATTCCTCTCCTTCCTCCTATTCATTCCTCATTCCTCCTCCTCCTATTTATTCCTCTCTCTTCTTCCTCCCCTTCATTCCTCTCCTCCCTCCTACTCGTTCCTCTTCTTCCTCCCCTTCATTCCTCTCCTCCCTCCTACTCGTTCCTCTTCTTCCTCCCCTTCATTCCTCTCCTCCCTCCTACTCGTTCCTCATTCCTCCTCCTCCTCCTTCTCCTTCATCACACAACCAATCAATCAATCAATCATTCATCTTAGCTAATAATCTTACCCTTTCCTCCTCTCTGCAACAGATTAATTATTGATTGTTGTTAGTGCTTGTTGATTTGCTACTAAGCTTCCACAGCTTATCTTTTCTTTTTTTTTGCTATTCTTTACTCTTTGTGCTTCAAGAATTTGCTAAATAACTTTCATTTTCCAATTTTCTACACTTTATTTTTTAGTATATCTTTCGTTACCTTTTTTTTTATTCTTGTTGTTGTTATTGTTTATTGTATTAGTAATTTAATTTGTTGATAATATTTTATCCTAATTTACAATTTATTTTAATCAACTGAATTTAATTCAATTAAATTGTTTAATTTTATCTTAGTTGAGTAATTTAAATGAAATTTTAATAAAAAAAATAAAGTAGAATAAGCAATGTAAAATTTTGATTATTATCAAAAAAAAAAAAAAATTTTTTTTTTTGTTTTCCTGAAATTTCTTGAAAGTGTTGTAAAAATATAGCAATTATTAGATGTAATAATGTAAAAAAGAAAAGATTATTGTAATATTTCAAGTTTAAACTATTTTAATTCATTGCTGTTAAATTTTTATTTAATTTCATTTAATTTTATCAATTCTCTATAATTTCATATTAATCTAATTACACTAATTTTCATTGCATTTAATTTTATTCAATTCAGTTTCATTTCATTTAATTAATTTTATTTAATTCAATTAAACAATGATTGATGTATTTATATTATTACTACATTTCTAATTCATATTCATATTTACAATCAGTTTAAATTTCAATATATTTCTCTGTGTTCTATTGATAATATAAATGCGCCGAAATTTTAGTTAGTTAGTAATATTCGTCCATAATTGCTTTCCTTTCTTTGTTTTGCATTGTCTTAAATCAAGTTTACAACCGGAAATACTTTCTAGAAATACGAACATATCGGCGAAGAGGAATGAGCGAGCGCTAATTGTTTAAAATGCGCTAATTGTCTTCTCTCTGCTTTCTCTGTCTTTACACATAGCTTTTTTACCTCATTTCTCTTTAATCTGCTAAAATTTAAAGCATTTATTTATATTTATTTCATTATGCCCCCTCACTCTTTCTCTTTTCCATTCTCTTTCTTTCTCAGTCTTCTCCTCTCTCTCTCTCTCTCTCTCTTTCATTTCCATATCACATTATTACTTTTACTAGTATTACTATTGATTATTATTATTATTACTATTACTGTTACCATTATTTATTATTATTATTATGACAAGTATTACCATGATTTATTGTTTGTTATTATTTATTATTATTATTGCTACCATTATTTATTATTATTATTATTATTATGAAAAGTATTACCATGATTTATTGTTTGTTATTATTTATTATTATTATTGCTACCATTATTTATTGTTTGTTATTATTTTATTATTATTATTGCTACCATTATTTATTGTTTGTTATTATTTATTATTATTATTATTATTATTATTATTATTATTATTATTATGAAAAGTATTACCATGATTTATTGTTTGTTATTATTTATTATTATTATTATTGCTACCATTATTTATTGTTTGTTATTATTTATTATTATTATTATTATTGCTACCATTATTTATTGTTTGTTATTATTTATTATTATTATTATTATTGCTACCATTATTTATTGTTTGTTATTATTTATTATTATTATTATTATTGCTACCATTATTTATTGTTTGTTATTATTTATTATTATTATTATTGCTACCATTATTTATTGTTTGTTATTATTTATTATTATTATTATTATTATTATTTATTATTTTTATTATTTATTATTATTATTATTGCTACCATTATTTATTGTTTGTTATTTTTATTATTTATTATTATTTATTATTATTATTATTGCTACCATTATTTATTGTTTGTTATTATTTATTATTATTATTATTATTGCTACCATTATTTATTGTTTGTTATTATTTATTATTATTATTATTATTGCTACCATTATTTATTGTTTGTTATTATTTATTATTATTATTATTATTATTTATTTGTTATTATTTATTATTTATTATTATTATTATTTATTATTATTATTATTATTATTATTATTAATTATTATTATTATTATTTATTATTATTATTATTATTATTATTTTATTATTTTATTTTTTATTATTATTATTATTATTATTAGTGTTACCGTTATCAATATTTATTATTATTATTTATTACTTATTACTACTATTATTTTGTTATTGTTATTATTATTACTATTATCATTGTTATTATTAATTTATTTCGAAGCTTACCTCGCATCATTTGATTAATTTTCTGAATTTTAAACTTTAAATTAAAATTGTTTGCTTGAACAATTATCGATGAATGTATTTCTTTAGTTGTGAAGGAAAAAAGGAAGAACAATTTTTTTTTTTTTGTCCTCTCTGATCAATGAAAGTGTATTGAAATGTAAAGTCATTTTGAGAATTTTCAATTTGAAATTGACTGCATAAATTTATATTTAATTTCTATTTTTTCTCCAACTTTTTTTTTTTTATGTTCATAGTATTCTTTTGCTTTTTTTTAATTTTTTCCTTCATTAGTGAATTTAATAAACATACAATTCAAAATATTTGATAATTTATTATATTTTTAAGTCTCCTTTTAAATTATTTTTCTATGAACATGTTCACCTATTTACTTATTTGTTTATTTGTTTATTTACTTATCTCTTTTTATTCAGTTAAATTTTAATAAACATACATTTTCCAAGCTATTCCAAATTCTTCGACTAGAATTTGGTAAATTTGAAAATTAAATCATTGTTCTTCTTTATTGGATTAGTAAAAGAAACAGTTATATTTTTAAAATGTTTATTTAAAAAGTGAAAATTCATTTTTTAGTTTTTTCTTTCTTTTTTTTAAATTTGTCATTAAAAGAGATAATAAAAACAAATTATGTTTCATTGCTTACTGAAATTTAATTTTAATGCTTCACTAGTAAAAATTTTCAATATAACATTTTATATTCTTTTTGTTTTTTTTTTTTTTTTTTTTTTTTTACTTTTTAATTTGCTATATTTATTGTTAATGAAATATTTTTTAAAATTAAAATTTATACAAATTAAAATAATTTTCTCTCTTCAATAAGATTTTAGTTAGAGAATATCATATAAAGAAGCAAAAAATTATTATTATTATCATTATCAAATGAAAATTTCTTATCATTTTTGAACCTTATGAACAGGTTTCTTAACCCAACCTTTTATCATTCTTTCTCTTTCCTCCCTCTCTCTCTCTCTCTCTCTCTCTCTCTCTCTCTTCCTCTCCCTTTCCTCTCTATCTCTGTCCTTCCCTCTCTCTCTCTCTTCTTCTTTTCCCCTATTACAATGGAAAAAGCACATCGATAATATTACTTGGACCAAATTTCTGAATCATTTTATTTCATCCAAACATATTTTAATTTCAACTAATCATCGACCATTTTATTTCTTTTCTTTTTTTTAAAAAAAAAAAGAAAAAATTAGAATTTAATTATTTTAAACGTTAAAATAAAACGAAATCGTAATAAATATAAAAAATAAAATTAATTAATTTGTCCTTAACCTTAATTTCAAATTCTCATAAAAATTTCAAATTTCATTCCTTTATGTTTAACTCATTTTCATTTCTTCTTCCTATTAGTTATCGTTAGCAATCAGTTAATTGCTTAATTAATAGTTTCTTTTTTTTTAAAAAAAAAAAATGGTATTGGAATTGATTTACTAATTAAATTAACTTATTTCATATATTTATTTTTACTTTACTTTGTATACTTTCATTTAATTAACTAGCATTAATTAAATTAATCTTTTTTCTTTTTTTTATCTTCATTATTTTATTTTTAAAAATTAATGTGATCTAAAGAATCGATCAAATTTAAAAAATTTTTCATTACTCTTTTTTTTTTTTTGTTTCATTTCATGCATTTATTAATTTGTTCAATTAATTTATTTCTCATCTTCATAATTTTCTTTAATTAATTATTATTTTGTCAACTTTCTTAGTTTCTTATCTTTTAAAAAGAAAAAATAAATAAACAATCCATTTGTATATTTATCACTTAATTAATTCATTAATTTATCTTTTTTTTTTCTTTGAAACGAAAATAAAGTTTTGCAGTACTTTTCCTTCTATTTACTCAATAATTTATTGCTTTTTCCCAATTCATTTATTATTTTTTTTTTTTGAGAGAGAGAGAGAGAGAAAACTCTTTTCATTTCTTTTAATTTTTTTTTTTTTAATTTTGTTTTTCTTTTGAAATGAAAACCATTTTAAAATATTATTTTTCATTTCTAAGACTTAAAAAAGAGCAAAAAATTTATTAAATTCAGTTTATCAAAAGTTTAGAATCAATCAACAAAATTTTTAAATTAAAAAAGAAATAAAATATTTGCTTAATTTCAAAAATTTATATTAAGGTTACAAGAAAAACAAAAAATGTTATTGATTCGAACAATAACTCTAATTGCCTTGGCAAATATTATTGCTGTATTAAGTAGTATTATACATACTACCAAAAAGTTTAATAATGATAATGATCAACAATTATCGATTGATCAGATGAAAGATGTTCGACAATCATTCTTAATTGGTGGTAAACATGACGTTGAGCAAATTGATAACACACAATTTGAGGTATTACTACTTATCACTATTATTTTTCTTATTTTATATGAAATTTTTATTTAAGAAAAAAAAAAAAATTTTTTTTCTCGATGTTAACTACGAGTCTATTTTACATTATAATTGATTATTTAATTTCATTACTTTAAAAAAAAAAAACAAAAAATTATGAATTCAGTTTAAAAAAAAAAAAAAAAATGTGTGATATTTGATAAATTTTCAATCTAATATACTTTAATCTAATATATCTTTATTAATAAATGAATTAAATGGAATAATTTGTTTTTTTTTTTTTTACTGTTTATTATTGTTTGTTTAGTTCTCTTAAGATTAAGTTAAATTAAATTGAAAAGTCAAATTGACAAGGTTAAGTTAAAAGTTAAAAAAAAAAAAGAATTTTACTGACAATATGTTATCTCTAAATTTTATCGTATCATTTTTTTTTGCAACATTAGTTTTATCTTATCATTCTTTCTACAATATCAGTTTGATCTTATCATTTTTTTTTTTTTTTGCAATATCAGTTTTGTTTTATTTTTTCACGGTATCAATTTTATTTTATCATTTTTTTTTTCTTAAGAAAAATTATGTTTTCAATAAGTGATAATATCATTTATCAAAAAAAAAAACAAAACTAGAAAATGATTATCATTGTATAATATTTATATTATTTAATATAGTAATGCATCATTGCATGTTATAAAATTATCAAATTACATCTGCAATTATAATTAGAAATAAAATTATCAATTATTTAATTTCTACCGTAATCAATTTCTATTCAGATTAAAAAGTATTGAAATGAATTTTTCCTTTTTTTTTTAAATAAATAAAAATAGAAAAAATACATATAGGATATGTCATGGCGTGCTGCAACTGAAATGAATCGTGCGTCAAATGACGCATATCACTGGATACCCGTGAAAGTTTTACGTGTGACGTCACAGGTAGTAGGTGGCGTCAAATATATCATTGATATTCTCGTGGCACAATCAAACTGTACCAAAAATGTTAGTATATTTTATAAATATTTCCTTTTTTATTTTTTATTTATTTGTTTATTATTTATTTATTTACTTATTTGTTTTTTTTTTTTTTTTCAAGAAATGAGAAGAAGAATTATTTAAAATTTGAAACACTATTTTTATTTCGTTTTCATTTATTATTTATTTTTTTTTTTTTTTTGATAAATAATTGAATATAAATTTAACTTTAAAAAAGCATTTATTTCTACATGATTACTATTTTATCAAAATTCAAAATGTTTTAAATATGTTTTTAAGTGATGGAAAAGTAATTTAATTTTTTATTGCTAACGACAAAGTTTTATTTTAATTTTAAAAAAAAAAATTATTGCAAAATATTTTCTGAGCTTAATTTTCAAAAGAATTTTTTAATCATTTTGAGATTATGGCTTTTTTTTTTTTTTTTTTTTTTTTGTTTTGAAATCTTATATAATGCAATTTCAGTCAGTTTCTCATAATGATATACGAATTTTGGGTTGTAAGAAAACTGAAAATTATGAACAACAAGTAAGTACTTCATTTTTAATATCTTTTTTTTATTACTGATAATAAAATACTTATTATTTAGGTGATATGATAAGTAATCAATGCAACAATAAGTAAATTAGATTTAGCATTCAATTTAAATGATCAATTAGCAACAATAGAAAATTTAATTAAGCAACATTATAAATGAAATTAAACTAATCAGTTTTGTTCCTTCTATCAAAATTAAATTTAATTAAAGCGAACAAACTTTTATTCCTTTCTTATTAAAATAAAATTTAAGCAAACTGACGAACTTTGTATAAAATTAATTGAGGGGAAGTAATTATGCAATATGATAAATAAAATTAAACTAACTTCTTTGAAGTTTATTTCTTCTTCTTTAATATTAAAATTAAATTTAAAATTAAACTAATGAATTTTATTTCTTCTTTGTAAATCTTAGAAGTAAACTTTATAGCTTTAATGAATTAGCATAAAATAGTTTCTGTATGTGCGTCATTTTAGTTTTTTCTTCCTTTTTTTCTTCGATTGTAAGAATTCTCATAGGAATTACATAGAAAATTAAAATTTTTCAAAAAAAAAAAACAAAACATTTTTCATTTTTTTTTTTAGGTTTGCAAATTTGAAATTTATCAAAGAGCATGGGAAAATGTTGAAGAAATAACAAATATTGGATGTGATAAGGAACATTTAGCTAATTCTGAACGTCAAATAGAGTAAGTTTATATGATAGAAATAGTAAAAGTTAAAAAGAAAAAAGAAAATTAAACTGATACTTTATAAATTTTTTTTTTTTAAAAAAAAAGGAAAAGAAATAAAATAAATTTTGAAACATTAAAGTATGAATGAGATTTAAACATTTGTAAACTAATTGCTTTTGTTATTTAATACAAAAAGAAAAAAAAAATGATTTTTGAAAAGTTTGAAAAATTTTGAAAGGTTAATTTAGTTTTATTATAATAAGAAAAAATTTTTTTTTCTTTAAATGACTTAAAAATATTAAATAAATTTTTTTTTTAAGGCCAAAAATTGTTACTGAAGGACATCGACTTCGTAATAATATGGATAAATTAGCCATAAAAGTTGGCCATCGACATTATGAGCCTACGCAAACAATTATGGAAAAAGATTTTACCTCGTGGAATTTATTTGGAAATTTCATTCAAGAGTGAAAAAATTTTTATAATTTTATTAAATAAATAAATTTGAAATGATAAGAATTTATATAATACATATTTTATTTTTTTTAAATACAAAGTGCTTTTAAATCCTTAAAAAAATGCTGTCGATAATTTTTTTTTCTTTTTGCATAATTAAATTGAAGTTAAAAAAATTTAATTTATGATAGGAAAAAAAAATTTTTTTTTTTTGTATTTTAGGTTTTTTATTTTGTATTATTTATGTTTATTTATATATTGTTTATATTTTTGTTTTTCATCACATTTTTTTTTTTTTTTGCTATTATTATTATTTATTATTATAATATATTCTTTTAAAGGTATAATCGTAAATATCGTAGCAAAAAGGAATTCTTAAAAAGATTTCGAATTTACAAACGAAATTTACGATTGGCAAAATTAATTCAAAAGAATGAAGAAGGTACAGCAATTTATGGTGAAACACCATACAGTGATATGACACAAGAAGAATTCAGAAAGGTTATTTTATTTTTGGATAAAATTTAAGAAATATATGTAATACTTATAATCATCATTTTTATTTTTTTAATAATAAAAATTTTTATTTTATGTATACAATTAATAATTATGTAATTGTTGATGGATAAATTTTAACATAATTAATAATTAAAAATCTATTAATTAAATTTAATTAATTAGCATAATGTATAATGAAATATTATATTTTAACAGATTATGTTACCATATAAATGGCCGTTGAATAAAAATAAGAAGCAATTAATTGATTTAACAAAATATGGTATTACTGATGATAAAATACCGGAATCATTTGATTGGCGTGATAAAGGTGTGGTAACAGAGGTTAAAAATCAAGGTTAGTTATTAAAATTAATTAAAATAATTAATGAAATAAATGTGAGGAATAATTAGATGAAATGAAAATACTTGAAGATACTTATGAACTTACTTAAAAAACTTAAATGGTTCCCTTTTTTTTTTTTTCTTTTTTTGAAGTATTATTTACCTAGAAATGGATTTTAAGTATTATTTATCTACAAATGGCTAAAAAATGGGAATAATTTTAAGAAAGAAAAAAAGAGAGAAAACACTTTATTGCATTATAATTTATTAAAGTATTGGCATAAAATGTATGCTTCACAAATTCAATCATTTGTTAATAAATGAAACTTAAATTTATTTTATTAGATTAATTAAAATTTAATTAATCTGTTATAAATAAACATGTCAATAAGTAAATAAGAATTAATTGTTTAAAAAAAGATGTATGATTAAGTTAGTAATATTAATAACTTAGTTCTTATTTACTTACTTATTTATTGATATTTTTTTCTTTTTCACTGTTGTAATTTAAAAAAGTTTTTCACATGCATTTTTTTGTTTTGTTTTTTGTTTATAATTTATAACTTTTATTTAGGTTCTTGTGGTAGTTGTTGGGCATTTTCGGTAACAGGTAATATCGAAGGTGCTTGGGCAATTAAGAAAGGTAAATTAATTTCTTTATCTGAGCAAGAATTAGTCGATTGTGATGTTATTGATCAAGGATGTAAAGGTGGTCTACCATTGAATGCCTACAAGTATGTTTGTTTATTTTTATTTTTTTTTTCAATTTATATAAATGTTTTGAAAAAAAAAAAAAAACTTTAATCTTATTTATTTCCTTTTTTTTTAAAAAATATAGAATACCAAAAAATAATATATGAGATGGAAGAAAAAAAAAAAAGAAGTCGAAAATAAAATTTATATTTGATAAAATTTATTGTAATTTCAATTTTGCTAATTTAATATTTTTATATTAGATAAAAAAAAAGAGAAAGGGAAGGAGAGAGAGAGGGAGAGGGAGAGGGAGAGAGAGAGAAAGAAATTTATTTACAGGGAAATAATTCGAATGGGTGGATTAGAATCTGAAAAAGATTATCCATACGATGGTTACGGTGAGAAATGTCATTTAGTGCGAAAGGATATTGCAGTTTATATAAATGATTCGGTGCAACTACCTGCTGATGAATTTAAAATTGCAGCATGGCTTACTAAAAAAGGTCCAATATCAATTGGTATGCTTTTGAAGAAGTTAATTAAACAAAAAATTTTTAATTATTTTTAAAATTTAAAAAAAAAATTAAAAAAGTAAAAATTAACTAATTTTTTAAAGAAATTAATCCATTAATATGTCTAATATACATAAAGTGTTTATGATTATTTAATAATTGTATTATTCTTTTTTTGAATTATTTTGAATTTTTTTTTTCTTTGAAAAATTAAATTTTATAATTAGTTAATTATTTTGACAGTTGATTGATCATTTTTTCTATTCTTATATCAAATTCTACTTTTGAAATTTCAAATTTGTAATCAACTTTTTGGAATTTGAAACAAAAAAAAAAAAAAAAGAACAGTTATCATGTGATAATATTAAAGTATAATTTGATAGAATAGAGCAGTAAATTTACTAAAAATTGTCAAATTGTCAAATGATTTATTGAATATACTTTTCCTTTTGCCTTTTAGAATAAATAATATAAAGTATCTCAGAATTGATATCGTTGAAAATGCAGTAAATTTCTCAATTCTATCATTTTTCATTTCAGTGATTCATTTGAACTGAACTCATTTAGAATAATCTGTGATCTTAAATTTTTCGCTTAAAATCATTTAAATCGCAAATCTGTAATCTTTGAACTTACATTTGAAAAGAGTTGAATCTTACTTTATGACATAGTGCATACAACACATACTTATGATATAATAGTGATAATAGGTAATGATAATAATAAACAAATAGTAAACGAATAATAATAACAGTAACAATATGATAATAAATAATAATAATAAATAAATAATAACAACAATAATAAACAAACAATAATAATAATAGTAATAATAATAAGAAGTCCCAGGTTTTATAATTTTGTTTTCTAATTTATTATTATTGTTATTGTTTATTCCCTGTATTTATATAATCTAAATCTTTATTGGATTCATTATTAGAAAAACCTTCCTTAATGTTATTTTTTTAAGTTCATAAGTGATTACAAGAAGAAAGTTTTATTATTATTATTATTGTTATTATTTATTATTATCATCATTATTATTATTATTATTACTATTGCTATTACTTATTTATTGGTAATTATCATTATTATTGCTATTACTATTACCATTATCATTATTATTAATTATTACCGGTACTATTATTGTTACTAATCATTGATTATAAAGCCTTTAAATATGTAGTACAAAACAGGATTATTATTACCTTAGAAAAAAAAATGATTGCAAAATAATTTAAACAACAATTTAAATAATTCTTAAATGACTGAATTAATGGTCGTTTTGTCACAGAAAAGCAATAACTAATTCTTGTAAAATTTAAATAATGCAAAATTGAATTGCCGTAGGGTAAGCGATGCCTATATTTGCATTATTTTAAATTTATTTAAATTCATTTTTTTTCATTAATTTATAAAGCTTCTTCCATTTTAAATTATTTTTTTTTTTTCTAAAAACTTTTTTCTCAATCTTTTCTTTCCTTTTTCTAAAACTCATTTTTTTTTTCTTTTTATTTGCTGGAATAGAAATAATTGATGAAAAAGATTTTGTTGAATGAAATAATATAATTTTTTTTAAAGTTTTGAACATTTCAATTTTTTTTTTTTTTTTTTTTGAAAGATAATTGAAGAATTTATTTCTTTTTTTAAATATAAGTATTTAAAACTTTAATGTACGATATCTATTGAAGTTTTTAATTATTTTATTGTTTGATTAGTGTAATATTTTAATAATATTATTGATTTTTAGTGTAAATATTTTTTTTATTTTTCTTTTATTGAAATTTTTAATTATATTTTATTGTTTGATTAGTGTAATATTTTAATAATATTATTGATTTTTAGTGTAAATAAATTCGATTATTTTTTTATTTTTTTGTTCTTACTATTGAACTTTTTACTAAGATAATAATTTTATTAACTCATTTAATTTTAAATAAAATGTAGTATAAATTTAATTTAATCAGTTATTCTCTTTATTTTCTCCATTTACTTTACTTCTACTATTTTTTTTTTTTTTTGTTTTATTTGTTCATACATATGTTCAATTATTGTTTTTTCTTCTAAAATCTTTTTTCCTTTCTTTTTTTACTTATTTACTGATTTGTTTTCATTTCATATTGTTATTTTCCTCGGGAATTTAGTTTGATTGTAATTTTAAAATTAGTCTAAATTTTTCTAAAAAGCTAAATTTTTATTGTTTACTAAATGGATATTGTCATTAAGGTATTTACAATTACATAAATACATGCGGTATTCGAATTTTATTTTTTTATTTTTTTTAACTTTAATTAATAACTTTTGGAAATTATAATTATTATGATTGATTAATATTGAACAATTATTAACTTTGCTAAATTTTTTTCTTTTGAGACGAAAGATTAAAAATGCAGAATTAAATTAAATGGAATTTTTTGAAATTAAAAACTTGTATACTAAAAATTCAGCTAATTAAAATTTTTTTAGCTAATTAAACGTTAATAACTTTTGACCACTATACATTATTAAAATTTAGTTCATATTAAATAATTTTTTTTGCCAATTTTTTTTTTGAGATGAAAGATTAAAAATGTAATATTAAATTGGTGATGAAAATTTTTTGAAACTAAATAAATTTTGAAATAAAAAACAAAAGGAAAAACTTAGTTCATTTTGAAATTTACTATAATTTTATGAAATTTCAGGTGTAAATGCTGGTCCACTGCAATTTTATCGACATGGAATTTCACATCCATGGAAAGCATTCTGTTCACCTTCGCATTTAAATCACGGTGTGCTAATTGTTGGCTATGGAAAAGAAGGAAATAAGCCTTATTGGATTATTAAAAATAGTTGGGGCCTAAAATGGGGTGAAAATGGCTATTATCGATTGTATCGAGGAAAAAATGTTTGCGGTGTTAAAGAAATGGCTACAACTGCTATTGTTCTGTGAAAAGGATAGATGAAAAATGCTTTTCTTTTCTTGTTTTGATGACATTTTCAATAAATTTTAATTAATTTCCCTCACCAATTATTATTATTATTATTATTATTAGTGGTAGTAGTAATAGTACTATTATTATTATTATTATTATCATTATTAGTCGTAGTAGTGGTACTATTATTATTACTATTATTGCTATTATTATTAGTGGTAGTAATAGTAATAGTACTGTTATTATTGTTATTGTTATTATTATTATCACTACTATTATTATTGGTGGTAGCAGTATAGTAGTACTATTATTATTTTTTTTTTTGGTAAAATTTTCAATAAGTTTTTTTTAAGTTAATTTCTTCCAACAATTATTACTAGTACTAGTATTCTTATTCTTATTATTATTATTATTACTATCTTTTTTTGATAAAATTTTTAATAAATCTTTTTTAAAATTAATTTCTTCCACTAGCTATTATTATTATTACGTTTTTTTTTTTTTTTTTTTTTTTTTTTGTTGAATTTTTTGTACATATATTTATTTATTTGATTTCTTTGTTTTCTAAATTTATTAAATTTATTCCTATGATTTGATATTTTATAATATTATACGCATTAATTTTATTTTAATCATTGATTTATTCATATATTCATTTACTTATTAATAATACAATCATTTTTTGTTTACATTTTAAGAACAAATAAAATGAAATTTCATCTTTATCTTTACCAAATTCAATCGTTTAATGTCCTTTTCTCAAAAAAAAAGAAAGAAAAAAAGTGTTTACTGATTTATTGAATTATCAATAATCAACTAAATATTGATAACTTCAATTTTATTTGTAATCTATCATGCATTTTTTCAATAAATATTAAAATCTAATATGTTTTTTTCTTTCTTTTCTTTAGTATTATTAAAATGATTTTAAAACTTTTTCTTTCTTCGATATATGAAAAAAAAAAATTATAAACTTATCAGTACGTTAATTTGTTGTAGTTATCAGTAACTTTTATATTATCTTTGAATAAATATTTATTTTACAAAAAAAAAAAATTGTTCGCACCAAAAAATTGTTTCATTGATTAGATCAAAAGATAAATAAGGTACTAATTAATTTTTCATTATTTATTAATTTCTTTTTAAATATAATTTCTCTTTTATAATCATTTAACAACTAGTTGGTTCTATTTTTTAATTTTTTTTTTTTTTTTTTTTAAATTTGAAAGTTATGTATTCGTTTCCATCGAAATTTTATTTGATTTTCTTTTTAATTCTTTTAAATAATTAGCATAAAGTTTTGTGCATTTTAATAAATATTCAAAAAAAAAAAAATAATAATTTAATAAATATTCAAAAAAATAATGAATGAATTTTTATAAAATATTATGATGCATTTATTATTGAAAAAATTTTTTTTTCATTTTCTTTTAATTTTAAAAAAAAAAGAAAAATTATTTATTTGCATAGAAGATGGAATAATAAAATTATTTAAATTATTACTTTCACAACAACAATCAGTACTTATTCATTCATTTTTATTAAATTCCGTACGGTTAACAGGACTGTCCCGAATTTATCACTTTTATTATTTTTGAAAATAATAACAAGTAATTTCCGGTTTTATCATCTATGTTATTTTGCAATTATTTATTTATGAAATTTGCTATTCATTTTTATCAATCTAACTCTAATAATCATTGTATTTAACTATGAGAAAATGATTTTAAAAATAAATAACATTTTTTTTTTAACTTCAAATTTTTAAATTCTTAAAATTATTTGAATTTTTACGATTAGAAATTTTGAGATTAATTACTTTTTTTTTAATCGTAAAATCTATGTTTTTTCTTTTCTTTTCGTATTTTTTTTTTTTGCTATGATTAAAAGAAATTATACTTAATTTATCTGAATTACTTAATTTGAAATATAAATTTTAATATTAAATTATCAAATAAATTTTTAATATTAAATTATCAAAATTCAAAAAAAATTAAATTATCAGAAATCGAAAAATTTTAATATTAAATTATCAAATTTAAAAAGGAGAAAAAAATTAAATTATCAGAAACAAATTTAAGCTTATATTGTGTTCATTAAAAAATTAATTATTTTTGAAAATGGAATTAGCAACAATTGCAACAAAAGAAGAAAGTACATTAACTGAGTTAATATTTATTCATAAAAAATTATTCAAACTTTCATCGCAAAAAAATTCGGTGCTAAATTTATCAGCAAATTTTTATACGAATTATGGTCCACGTTCTGTTCGATGGTATTTTATTTATTTTTTCTTTTTTAATTTTTTAAAATTTCTTATTTGAAATAATTTATTATTGTTTTTTCTTTCTCTTAAGAATAGTATAATTTAAAACATAAAATTTTTTCTTCAAATAGTTTAAAGTTTTAAAAGAGAGAGAGAGGAAAGAGAAAAGCTTCTCTATTATATTTTATTATGAAAATAATTAAAAAATAAAATAAAATAAAAATAAAAAAAAATTGATAAATATTATTCATTCTTTTTTGAATATTTCAAATTTATTCAAACAAAACTATTCATTCATTATAATTATTTCAAATATTACAAACAAAATTTTATTATAAAACTTATAATATTATGAATCTTTCTTTCTTTTTTTTCTTTATTTGTAAAAATATTGAATAATTTTTAAATCATTTTTATATTTTAATAAATTTACAAAAATTTTTAGGTCAATATGTTTCTCAGGTTATACAACAATTGCAGTTAATTCCACCGATTCATATTCAATTCCACCACGTGGAAAATATAAAATTACTGCTAAAGCAATTTCAAAACAAAATATTGGTGAATAAATAATTTTAATTTTTTTTAAATGAAAAAAAAAATTCTTTTTTTATAATCAAAAAAAAAATTAATCTAATAAAATTCATTATATATTTAGGTATATTTTGTTTTTTTCTTTTCTCATCTATTATTTTCTAGAAATATCAACTGAATTAACATTTGAAAGAAATTTAATTGATATATGGAATTCGGAATTTTTGACAAAAATTTCAACTATTTTGGATTCAAACGATTTTTTTGATTGTATATTAAAATTACGATATGAATTACGATTTGATGCAAATGAATTTATTCACATTAATCCATGGCTATTTTCAACATCATTTGTATCAACAATAAATATAGTAGCAAATCTACCAAATAATGATTATCGTTCAATTATGTATGCAAATGCTATGCAAAAATCGTATGCATTTGCTTTTTTTTTTTTTTTTTTTTTAAATTTTTAATTTTTAAAATTATATTATGAAAATATGAAATTAATTTTAATTAATTTAATATTCAAATAATTATGTTAAGTTATGACATAATAAATTGTGTATGTTTAACTTTTAATTTTTGAAATTATATTACGAGAATATTAGATTAATTCTAATTAATTTCAAGTATTTGTATTAAATTATGTTTGTTTATTTAGTTTAAAAATTAATTTAAAGAATTATATTAGTGAAAAATATTTTCAAAAATTATATTATTTGATTAATTTTAATTAATTTAATATTCGAATAATTATATTAAAATATGACACAATAAATTATGTATGTTTAGTTGGTGTAAAAAATGATTTACAAAATTATATTACTATGGAATATTTTTAAAAAATATATTATTGGATTAATTTTAATTAATTTGATATTTTAATAATTATGTTAAACTATGACAAAAATTATGCATATTTAATTAATATAAGAAATAATCCAAAAAAAATGATTGTATATTGAAACATTGCATTATTAGATTGATTTTAATTAAATATTCAAAATTATATATTAAAAAGTTATTTTTTTTAATTTGTATTACTTTAATAAGTTTAATAACTTTAATAATTTAATAACTTGTATTATTAGATTTTCAAATTTTATATTTTTAATAAATCTAATATTTTAATAATTATATGTAATGATAATAAAACTAATTTTACATATTTAACTCATATAAAAATTTGATCTAAAAAAATTTTATCATATTACTAAAAAAGAATTTCTTTTTTTGAAATTCTTTTTATTATATTTAAATTATTTTTTCTTTGTTTAAAATTTTTCCTTTCCTTTCTTTTCTTTTTTTAAAGTGATTTTAAAATACACACAAAAAATGGAACAATTGAAACTGTACGCTATTTATTATATTTAACAATTGATCGAATACATAATGAAATCGATGCTAATCCATCGATTAAATCAATCGTAATTGAACATCAAAAAGAATCAGTTCAACAGGTGTTTGCTTAATTAAATTTAAATTGAAATTTAAATTTAAATTTTCATACATCTAATAATAAACAATGAAAATTTTCCTACAAAACCCTCTCTCTCTCTGTCTCCTTTTTTTTTTTTTTTTTTAAAAAATTTAACAGAAATTGAGCAAAATGCAAAAAAAAAAGAAAAAACTTTAAAGGAAAATTTATAATTTTTTCATAAAAAAAATTTTCCATAATAAAATTTTTTTATCTTAAAAAAGAAAAAAATTTATTTTTTTTCCTAAATTAACTTTGATGTAATATTTTTCACAATAAAATTTTTGCAAATATATGTATTTTTATCTATTCAATAATTAAAATAACTAAAAATTATGCTTAAATTAATATTTAAAATAATTTTTAATTAATTTAGATATTGAAGAGAAAAAAAAATTTGTGTACAAAGAATTTTTTATATGAAATTTAAAAAATTTCCTTTTTTTTTTAACTGCAATTTTTATAATTTAATACAAAAAAGCAAAAAGGGAATAATATCATTTTCATTCATTTTTAATTTTGAATTAGTTATAATTTTATATTTCTTTATCATTTATTAATTAAAAATTGATATTTCCTTATCACAGACCAATTAAATTTTTTGATAATTCATTATAGATGAATGCTTATAATTTAATGATTAATTTAATATTTTCAGATCAATTATAATTTAATATTTCTTTAATGATTGTTAATTGCAATTTAACATTTCTTTATCACTGATTAATTATAATTTAATATTTCTCTATCACTGATATATTATAAATAATTTAATAATTTTTTATTAATTGTTAACTATAATTTAATGTTCTTTTATCACTGATTAATTGTAATTTAATATTTCTTTGTTTGATAATTAATTATAATTTATCATTTCTCTATCACTAATTAATTATAATTAAATATTCCATTATAGATGATTGATTATGCATTAAAAGGTTCATTTGATATGATGGATGCATCGCCAGATATTTTAGATGATTTTATCATTTGTATTCGGACATTTCGGCCGCGCGGCTTTTGGACACTTATCCACCATATCACTGATGGCCTTCGTAATAAATTAAATGAGGTTTCATTCCTCGCTTTTTTCCTCTTTTTCATTTAAAAAAATTTAAAAAAAAAAAAACTTTATTTTCTCTAAAATAATATGCATTGGAAAAAAAATGATTAATAATTAATTTAATTTAATTTTTGGTTTCAAAATTTCTTTCTTTTTTAATGAAGGAAAAAAGAAAAACAAACAAATTTTGCTATAAATAATTGCATACATAATTACCAATGAATTTGATTGAATTAAATACTTAATTTTCTCAAAATTAATTCAAAAAATTTAAAGCATTCAAAAAAAAAGATTAACAATTAATTTAATTAAAGTTTTAATTTCAAAAAAAATAGAGAAATTTTTTTTAAAAGAAATTTTACTATAAATGATTGTATGCATAATTAAGACATCAAATATTGATAATTTAATATTTTTAATTTTTAATTTTCAAATAATTTAATTTATAGCAATGGAAAAATTTGAATATCGATATTGTATTACGCTATCTTACCTTAAGCGCCCATCATCGTTTGCATGAATTATGCTCAAAAGCTATTATACTTATTGCAAATGTACACTATAAGCAATTTATGTTTGTTTTAATTAATTATTTAATATTCATAAAAAAAATAAACAATAAAAAAAATTCATTCGTTCATTAATATTTATAAAAAAAAAAAAAAAATAAACAATAAAAAAGAAAATAAATTTATTCATCGATCAGCCAATAAATACTTTTTTTTATTTATTTTGTTTTTTTTCTTTTTTTATTTTTCTGGAAAATTTTATTTTCAATTAATTATTCAATTAATAATTATATTATACAATTTGTTTATATATATATATTTTTTTTAAATTCATAATAAAACCAAAAAAAAAGAACATAAAAATTTGTTATATCGTTTTTTTGTTTTTCATTCTTTTTTTCAGCTATTTAAAAGATTTTTAAAAAAAATGTCATTTACATATTTTGCAAATTTTATTTTTAATTCAATTTTCAATTAATATTTTATTAATTAATTTTCATTTTATATTTTTAATTGATTACACGAAATGTTATACTTTATAGGCTTGAATATAATGTTGATTCAAAAGGAACAAAATTAGAAATTTACAATATGCTTAAAAATAGTGAATTGCCATTTGAAGGAAATGCAATTCAAAAAATTCAATCTATTTATTATGCCGGTAAGCAAACCGAAGTTTTGTTCCGGTATCGAGTGAAACAGGAACGAAGTCATACAGGAAATGATCTTGCAGCAATCAAATAATTGCTAATGAATAAAACGGAATTAAATTATGAATAAACGGAATTAATGAAAAATACTGATAATAATAATAAATGAAATTTAATTATGTTAAAGTTTGTTTTTGAGCAATATGAAAATAATAATGATTAGATCAAACTGTTAAAAAAATCGATGGATTGTTCCGGTAAATAGTGATAGACTATTCCGGAATTTTGAAATTTTGATAGATTATTCTGCTAGATAGTGATAGACTATTCCAGAATCTTAAAATATCAATAGATTATTGCAATAGATAGCCACGGACTATTCCGGAACCTTGAAATTATCAATAGATTATCCCGGTAGATAACAATTGACTATTCCGGAATTTTGAAATAAGCATTCAAAGGTAAAAAAAAAAACATTAACGTTTGTTGTTATTAATAAAAGTTAATAGATTTACATCAAAATTCCGGTAGATTGAATTAATTAAAATATCATAACAACAAGCAACATTTGATTTCATTTTATAAACCGGATTAACTATGTTGCTTTCAACATATATCCGGTTTTCTTAATATTTCCGATTGCTTATATTGTTAAGTGATAATTAATTAAGTTAATTTTTATCCGAAACTTTTTCCAATTATCATTTCAACATTACCAATAACATACATATATTTACCAAAGTTTCCTTTTTCTTTTCAGAAAAAAAAAAATAATCAAATACTGATTAGAAATTAAATACCAAAAGAGGTACTGAAAAAAATATATTAAAACTTTAATCTCATATTTTACAATTTATCAACAATTTATTTTTTCTCTGTTCCAAAATAAAATTAAAATTTAATGATAAGAATATATTCAATTGCTTTCATTTTTTTTTTTTTTTATCAAAAAGAAATGTATTAAAAATTTTTGATCATAAAATAATGCAATTAAATTTAAATTTTTGAGTAAATTTAATTGAAAAAAAAAAAATTATTTTTACCTAAAATATTTTTTTCCATCATTTAAATGATATATCGATTGTAAAATAATGCAAATTTATTTAATTCATTCTAATACAAACAGATTTTTAAGCATTTAAGCAAATTTAATTAGTAAAAATTGCTTTCACAAAAAAAAAAAAAAAATTCCATAAAAGGTAAAAATTTGAATTGAACGAGCGAAAATTCAGTGAATCATCGTCTAATTCATCCTAAAACCTTTCATTTTCTTACAAAATTTCTTTCTTTTACATTAAATGCTTTCTCTTTCAATAATTTTTTTTTATTTTAAAAAAAAAGTTTTTTTTTTTTTCATTTTAAAATAAATAATAAATTATTAGAATGTAAAATAAAATATTGCTCAAATAGCTTCTTTAAAGTTTTTCTCTTTTTTTTTTCTTTAAGCTTTCAATTAGCTAATAAAATTTACTTGAAAGCTTTCTGTTGTTAATTATATTTTAAGTAATTAATTAACTTATCTAATTAATAAAATAGTATAAATTTAAATAATTGATTATAATTAATTATTGTATTTTCTTTCTATCGAATTAAATATCTAAATAGAAAAGATGGTCAATGATCAAAAATTACGAGGGAAAATGTTTATTGTTTTATTCCTAAAAAAGAAAAAGAGAGGGAGAGAGAGAGAGAGAGAGAGAAAACATTTGGCTAATTAATATTGTTATTGCACATCAATCATTGTTAGCTTATTGTTATTATTATTTGGCTCATTTAGTTATCCTTTATTATATTTAATAAATTAAAATGATAATATATTAGCTATAAAATTGATAAATTATCTTTTATTATATTTAATAAATTAAAATGATAATATATTAGCTATAAAATTGATAAATTATCTTTTATTATATTTAATAAGTTAAAATGATAATATATTAGCTATAAAATTGATAAATTATCTTTATTATATTTAATAAATTAAAATGATAATATATTAGCTATAAAATTGATAAATTATCTTTTATTATATTTAATAAGTTAAAATGATAATATATTAGCTATAAAATTGATAAATTATCTTTTATTATATTTAATAAGTTAAAATGATAATATATTAGCTATAAAATTGATAAATTATCCTTTATTATATTTAATAAATTAAAATGATAATATATTAGCTATAAAATTGATAAATTATCTTTTATTATATTTAATAAGTTAAAATGATAATATATTAGCTATAAAATTGATAAATTATCCTTTATTATATTTAATAAATTAAAATGATAATATATTAGCTATAAAATTGATAAATTATCCTTTATTATATTTAATAAATTAAAATGATAATATATTAGCTATAAATTGATAAATTATCTTTTATTATATTTAATAAGTTAAAATGATAATATATTAGCTATAAAATTGATAAATTATCTTTTATTATATTTAATAAGTTAAAATGATAATATATTAGCTATAAAATTGATAAATTATCCTTTATTATATTTAATAAATTAAAATGATAATATATTAGCTATAAAATTGATAAATTATCTTTTATTATATTTAATAAGTTAAAATGATAATATATTAGCTATAAAATTGATAAATTATCCTTTATTATATTTAATAAATTAAAATGATAATATATTAGCTATAAAATTGATAAATTATCTTTTATTATATTTAATAAGTTAAAATGATAATATATTAGCTATAAAATTGATAAATTATCTTTTATTATATTTAATAAGTTAAAATGATAATATATTAGCTATAAAATTGATAAATTATCTTTTATTATATTTAATAAGTTAAAATGATAATATATTAGCTATAAAATTGATAAATTATCTTTTATTATATTTAATAAATTAAAATGATAATATATTAGCTATAAAATTGATAAATTATCTTTTATTATATTTAATAAGTTAAAATGATAATATATTAGCTATAAAATTGATAAATTATCTTTTATTATATTTAATAAGTTAAAATGATAATATATTAGCTATAAAATTGATAAATTATCTTTTATTATATTTAATAAGTTAAAATGATAATATATTAGCTATAAAATTGATAAATTATCTTTTATTATATTTAATAAATTAAAATGATAATATATTAGCTATAAAATTGATAAATTATCTTTTATTATATTTAATAAGTTAAAATGATAATATATTAGCTATAAAATTGATAAATTATCTTTTATTATATTTAATAAGTTAAAATGATAATATATTAGCTATAAAATTGATAAATTATCTTTTATTATATTTAATAAGTTAAAATGATAATATATTAGCTATAAAATTGATAAATTATCTTTTATTATATTTAATAAATTAAAATGATAATATATTAGCTATAAAATTGATAAATTATCTTTTATTATATTTAATAAATTAAAATGATAGTATATTAGCTATAAAATTGATAAATTATCATTTGAAAATTCTAAAATGATTAAAATTCATTTAAATTCATTTGTTTGTATATTGTCTTTTGCTATAAAAACGAAAAAAAAGAGAATGAAATAATGCTTAAAGGTTTTAAAATTTTATTATAGTAATTAATTTTCTGCACAAATAGAAAAAATTATCCATTTTCTACTTTTTTTTTAAAAAAAAAAAATAAATTTTCCGAATTTTTTTTTCTTTTTCTTTCTATCTTTCTCTCTCTCTCTCCCTCTCTCTCTCTCTATTTTCATTCAATAGTTTTGGATAAAATTTTTCAAAAAATTTTTTTACGTTCAGTTTAATTTTTTTCTCTCTCTCTCTCTCTTTTTTTTTAAAAAAAAAAGTTACTTACAAATTGCTTTCAAATATTGTTGCAATAGAATTAATCAAATTTGTTTTTTAATTTAGTAAATTATAATTTGATATGAAATTTTAATTGATATACCATTATATCATTATTATATTTTTTTCTTTTTTATTCTTTTATTATTAAATTATATTTTTTTGATTCTTAAATTTCTATTACTATTTTTTAATTTTATTATTACTTTTATTTTATTATTATTATTTTTATTATTAATTTTTTATTTTTAATGTTTATTATTATTAAACGTAAGTAATGGCAATATCAATTATACCAACAAAACCAAAACGATATTATTTACCGTTATCATTATCATTTGATGATACCGATTGTCGCTACAAACGATGGCAGTATAATATCAGGTAATGATTATAGTAATATTGATAATTAAAAAATAATTAGTATAAAATATTATATAAGTACATAATTTATAATTTAATATATAATTAAACACAAGGTATTTTATAATTAAATATAAATTTTCTTAGTATAAATTTTACTTAGTAAACATATAAAATTTTAACAATAAAATTAATGAAATTAATTAATTACATTAATTAACAATATTTGTACTTTTAATTTATGCACTTAAATTTTTTTTTTATGTTTATATTATGTAATGTAGAATTATTAAAATTGAAATTTTAATTTAACAATTTTTTAGATAAATTTTTTATTTTCCTTTTAATTGAAAAAAAAAAAAATTATATAAACATGTGTTATTTAGTATTGCTATGCTTTTTGAAATATTTATCAAAATTAAAATAACATTTGTAGGTAAGCAAAAATTAAATTAGTAATAATTAGCAACAATTGAAATTCATTTTTTTAATTAAACTTTTAATTAACAAAAAAAAATTTCTTTTTCAGCCAATCACTACGAAGAACAAATATTAGTAAGGTTTATATTTTCATTTTTGCTTTATTTTTAATATTGAAATTAAAAGGAAAAAAATTATTTACTTATAAAATATTTATTATTTAAAAAAACTGTGAATTTCAAACAATTTTCATCTTTTTAAAAATTTAATCATTTAAAGATTAGTGTGAAACAAAAAATGAAAAATTATACCGAAAAAGTATGAATGCAATTTTGAACTCATTGTTTTATGGAATATTTATTAAAATATAAGAATTGAAAAAAAATTTTAGTAATGATTTTCAGATTCTTTTTTTAAACTTAATGTTAACTCAATTAATTTGTTTTTAGCTCATTGTTTTATGGAATAATTATTGAAATATAAGAATTGAAAAAAAAATTAATAAAGAATTTCAGATTTTGTTTAAACTTAATTTTAACTCAATTAATTTATTTAATTATGATATTTTAGATAATTTACAATATTTTGATGCTGAATTATTCGTACATACCATAATACATCAACCAGATGCTATGCCTATGCAACAATCTTTTATCAAAAATCAGTATGTTAATTTGTTATCACAAAAAATTATTATCATTATCATGCTTAAAGTTTTTATCAGTGATAATAATACATTTGTAATTTTATCTTTACAGTTGTTTTCTTTTTTTCATATTAAAATTTTTTGTTTATTGATTATTCCTTACATTTTAATTAATTTATAATTATTTTGAAAAATTATAAATTATTAGAAAAAGAAAGAAAAAACACAGAAATTGTTGATTAGAGGAAAAAAAAATTTTTTTTAAAAAAAAAAAAAATATATTTAGATTGAAACAAGTAGAATGTATTTCAAAGCAAATGTCATCACAACAGTTATCAAAACATTCTCCACAATTGGTGAAATTTTACTTTGAAAAAAAAAATTAAAAAATTGTTTAGTTAAATAAGAAAACAAGAGAGAGAGAAAGAGAGAGAGAGAGAGATTAAAAAAAGAGAAATCATTTGTCATCTATTATATTTACACAAAAAATTTTTGTCATAATTTTTCTTTCTTTATTTATCTTCTTTTTCTTTCAATTGTAAATTTTTTTTTTTTTTTTTTGTAAAAATATAAATGTTTAAACAAATTTGTTTAAAAAGCTAACAAATAATTGTTAGAATTATGTGATAAATTAAACGAATAATTTAATAAAAAAATTTATTATTACTACAACAAATCTTTCATTATTATTATTCGTTATTATTATTAAAGTATTTCATTATTACTATTAAGTTATTTCATTATTATTATTCGTTATTATTATTAAAGTATTTCATTATTACTATTAAGTTATTTCATTATTATTATTCGTTATTATTATTAAAGTATTTCATTATTACTATTAAGTTATTTCATTATTATTATTCGTTATTATTATTAAAGTATTTCATTATTACTATTAAGTTATTTCATTATTATTATTCGTTATTATTATTAAAGTATTTCATTATTACTATTAAGTTATTTCATTATTATTATTCGTTATTATTATTAAAGTATTTCATTATTACTATTAAGTTATTTCATTATTATTATTAAGTATTTCATTATTACTATTAAGTATTTCAATATTACTATTAAGTGTTTCGATATTACTACTGAGTATTCCAATATTACTATTAAGTATTTCAATATTTCTATTAAAGTATTTCATTATTACTATTTGTTATTACTATTAAGTATTTCATTATTACTATTAAACTATTTCGTTTTACTGTTAAGCATTTAATTCTACTATTAAAGTATTTCATTATTACTATTTGTTATTGCTATTAAGTATTTCATTATTACCATTTGTTATTACTATTAAGTATTTCATTATTACTATTAAACTATTTCGTTTTACTGTTAAGCATTTAATTCTACTATTAAAGTATTTCATTATTACTATTTGTTATTTATTGCTATTAAGTATTTCATTATTACCATTTGTTATTACTATTAAGTATTTCATTATTACTATTAAACTATTTCGTTTTACTGTTAAGCATTTAATTCTACTATTAAAGTATTTCATTATTACTATTTGTTATTACTATTAAGTATTTGATTATTTTATTATAATACTATTAGCATTTCAATCATTTTTTTTCTTTTTGTTTATTTTTAGGCACTAACACAATGCAATGGCGAACAAATATTTCAAAAATGCTACAATGAACGATCAAAAAATATAAATTCGAAGAAATTTTCGAAAATTTTCCCAACAACAAAGCACAACAATAATAACAATAATAATAATTTATTATCAATACGAAATGAAATTGATGCGAACAATGCGATTAATCTGATCGATCAAAATTACAATATGAATTTAGGAATAAAATTATTAGCAAATGCATCACATTCTAATCGTTTAAATACTGAACAACGTCTTAAAACAACGTTTATTACATCAGCCGAAAAAATGAAACATATTTTTTATCGAAATACAAAAATGGTATGTAAATTTAAAACTTATTTAAATTTATACATAATCAAATGTTTATTATTATTATTAATGTTGTTATTGTTTATAAATGAATTGAATGTTTATTAAAATTCAAAAAAAAAAAAAAATGGTATTTAAATTTGTATACCTTAATGTTTTTATTCTTTAAAAATGAATTAACAAATAAAATTTATTGAAATACTGAAATTATTATATTTTTGGATTCATTTTTTTAAATGAACTTTTAAAACAAATAATTTATAAATTATTGATTAATACACAATATAGTAAATATTATTATTTTTTAAAGTAATGCATAAATATTAAACTTTAGAAACAACAGAATAAATTAATGCTAATCAAATTTTATTAATATTGCAATATTTAATAATAAATAAGTTTTTATAAGTTTTTTTTTTTTAATTTCATATTGGCAGTTTTAAATTTTTAGCAAAAATTTTTTTATTCTTTTTTTTCATATATTTTCTTTTTTTTTATTTCATATATTTTAATTCATTTACTTTTAATTCTTAATTACAATTTTTTCTTATTTTTAAAAATATATTCGTAAAATTTTGTTATAATACTTTGAAAATTGATATTTTTAAGTTTTAAATTTTAACAAAATGTCTTTTTTTTAATTTTAGATTGAAAATCCGGCAACATCAAAGGGTCATAAATATATTCAAAAATTACAACATCCAATGAAGTATTTTACTGATGAAGATAGTGATGTAAGCTACATTTAATTGAAAAAGGTTGGAATTATAAATTTTAAAAAAAATTATTATAAAAAAAAATTGCTGTAAAATAAAATTTTGTTAAAAATTTTTTTGAATTTTGAGAAAATTTCTTTGCGAATTTTTTTTTTGTTTAATTAAACTGAAATTTAGTTATTGCATTTAGATTTAATAATAAAAATAAATTAATATAATAAAGAATTACTTTACTGATTGACACATTTATTTATTTCATTAATTTTTAACGTTTTTTGTGTTTTTAATTCTTTTCGAATTTTTCTTTTCTTTTTGAATTATCACTCATAATTTCTTTAAATTCCATTAATATTAATATCATTTTTTTTTTTTTTTTAAGGTTTTCAAATTGATATCGTAAAGAAATGAAAGAAAAAAAAGAAAAATAATCGAGAAAAGAAAAAAGCAATTCCAATAATCAATTTCGATTATTTTATTTCCTATTTTCCTCATGTTTACTAGTTTTTTCTTTACTATCAATAAATTTCCTTTGTTTTGTTTTCGTTTTTGCTTTTTTGCTTATTTTCTTTGCATCATTCTTCATATTAAATTAATTATCAGAATTATTTAATTACTATTAATTTCATTTTTTCATTTCCTATAGAATAATATTAAATTTTTATTGCTATATAATGAAAATTAATAAATCAATTAGTATTACTTCTACTATATTATTCTAAAATTATTTCACAAAAAATTTGATTGTATTTTTTTTTTTTTTTGATAGTTTTTATCTTATTGTTTGTTTTATTATTATTATTATCGTTGTTTAAATATTTTGAATTCAATTTATCTATGAATGCAATTTCAGTATTTGATCAATAATTTTTTGATTTGATGTTTTTTTTTTTTAAATTTTTTGAATTATTTCAATTTTTTTCGTCCTCTTTGTTTAAAGAAATAAACTATTCTACAATATATCGTACAGAAAATAAACAATTAAAATAAAACTATGCAAACTATTAGTTAAATTTTCAACTTTAATTATATTAAAATTTGAAATAAAACGTTTTCGTTTTTTAAAATTTTCCAAAATTGTCATTTTTAAAGATGACAATGAGAATTGTCACACTTTTATAATAGTACCTTAATAGTTTTATAAGATTCACTTATTAAAGATAAATAATTTATCGAAAAAAAAGAAGGAAAAACAAACCTATCACATTAATCGATTGAAATTGCAATATTTATATTTTAATTTATAATTTAATTAAAATTATTTTGAATGCAAAAATATATTAAATTAAATCCAACGTATGATGTTGACAATATCATTATAATTTATATGAATTTATTCCTTTTTAGTTAAGAATTAATTAAATTCAATTATTAAATATTAAGTAACGAAATGGTATTCGGTAATTAATTTAGGTAATTAATTCAATTTGAAAGAATTTTTTTTGATGAAAAAAGAAAACATTCTTATTTAGCAATATCAAATTGGATTAATCACTTGTTTTTTCTTTTTCTGAAATGAATTAAATGAAATGGACTAAATCAGAAATATTTAATCAATTTCAATTTCAAATTAATCAATTTAATTTAATGATACAACTAAAATTATATGGCATATAGCTTAACAATTTTTTGTTCTTTTTTTTGAAAATTAATGCTATATTTACATTGTTTATGGATTATTGCTAATAATAAATAATTTGAAAATTTTTAAAAAATTTAGAAAAAAAATTTGGAAAAATACGAAGCAATTTTAGATAAGAATGCATAAAAATTTTAAATGTTTTGCAATAAAAAATTCAAAATGATATAAAAAAAAAGGAAAAAAAAAGAATGTAATTCTATGACATCAATTTCTCTATTTCATATTTTATTTTAATTTAATTTTAGATTTTTATTTGTGACTATTCTAATTTTTATTTTTATTATTACTATCAGTGTTAATAATTGAAACAATTATTACTCAAAAATTTTTTTTATTCAATTAGAACAAAATAAATTAATTGCTAATAGCACTGAAAGAACAATGATTAGAAATAATGAAAATATTATTTGTAAAAAAACAAAAACTTTAAAATGGTTGACAAATGCATAATTATAATGTGACATTAAATAGAAAATTAAATATTAAATATAAAAAATTCTTATATAAAAATAATTAAATATAAAAATAAAGCAAATAGTAAAGCCATTATAATGAAATAATAAAATAAATTATTCAAGAAAAAAAGACAATGTTGAAATTTTAGATAAAGAAATAAATTTGGAACAAAAATAAATATTAAAATGAAATTAATAAATTTCAAAAATGAATAAAAAAAAAAAAAACAATGTGAACAGATTCTAATGATAAAATAAAAATAGCAAACAGAAGAATAAGATTATTAATTATTTTTAAAATAAATAAATACAAAGGAAAGAGAAATCAACAATTTAACTAATGTAAATAATCAGAGAAAAGATTTTAAAAAATTAAATACTATTTGTTTAATTTGTGTAAATGAATTTTTAAGTTTAAAAAGACAAAATTTGATAAACTAAATTAAATTGAACTAAAATATATGCAAATATAATTTTAAAATGCAATACAAAATCATTCAACAAAACAATAAATCAAATTAAAGATTAAGAAAACAAAATTATCATTAATGATAGGTAATATTTGATAATTTATAAAATTTTATACTTTTGATTGTGTAAGCAAATTATTATCACTATTATCATGATTATCATTACTATTATTATTGCTATTATCACTATTATCGTGATTGTTATTACTATTATTATTACTATTATCATTATTACAATTATTACTATTATTTGTAGTAGCATTATTTGATTGTTTTTGCGCAATTCGATTTTGCCAATATAAGGCGCTTTTGTCAGCTTTTTCCTTTCGTCGAATGAGCTCAATTTTATATCTTTCATTTTCTTCAATGCGTAAATTCATTTCATTTAATTCTTTTCTCATTAATTTTTCTTGTATTTTACACTGAAATTACGATTATTTATTTAAAAATATAATAAATTGAAAAAAAAAGAAGAAATTTTTACAAATAATACTAAAAGTTTAAGAAAGAAAAAAAAAGAATTAACAAATAATACTAAATAATAATAATATTAATTAATTCTAAAAAATTTTTAGTAAAAAACAAAAAAAATTAATTTAGCTCTATGATTGGCATTTTATTTGATAGTTACAATTAATTTTAATGAATAATTAAATAGCTAAAATTAAAAAAATTATTTAGCTTAAATTGAGAAAAAAAAATTTAGAGCAAAATGAAATTAAATGCATTTTCTAACATTTAAATAATTTAAAAAATATTGAAGAAAAAAAAAAATTTTCCTTTTTTTTTTTTTTTGAAACACTTACATATTTTATACGTTTCTTAAGTTGTTTACACTTCTTTTTTCCATTTTTTACTTCATTTTGTATTTGAACAAACATTTCACATTCCTTTGAAAATGGTCTAAAACAATTAAAATTATTTCAATTATTTCAAATAAACTATAAATTAAATCTAAAAAAAAAAAAAACATACCAAAATTATTAGTATAATAAGCAATTTATTAGCTTAAATTTTTGATAATAATTAAAAATTAATAAAACATATGAAAATTATTTGTTAAATATTATTTAAAATAAACTTACTGATAATCAATTTCACTAAAAAGCTCATCTTTTGCATCTTGCAACTGATCTGATAATGAATTGATAAGATTTTGCAGTGATTTAATCATTTCTTTTTGTTCAATGCATCTAAAAAAAGGAAAATACTTGATTTAAGCAAATTTTTTTTTCAAAATATATACTTAAAATGTTAAAAAAGACTTAAGTTCCTTTTTTTTAAAAAAGATGAAAGCTACAAAACTTAAATTAATTTCAAAACATTAACTAAATTTATAAAATGAATTCTAAATATTAAAAAAAAGAACCAACAAAAAGAAAAAGCATTTAAAGCTTAAGTAAAAAAAAAAAAAAATAAATGAAAATTTTTGAATTCATCAAACTAAATTAACAATAATATAAAAATTATTATACAAAATTCATTTTTAATTACAAAAATTCTATGACAAAAAAAAGAAAAAAAATTGAATAAAAATTAAAAAAAATTACTTATTATTCCAAAATTGTAATTCATTTTTCAGTTGTTCCTCAGCCGCTTGAAGTTCTTTGATAAATTTATCATTTTTCTTATCATTTTTACTACGAAAAAAATTTCGTAAAATAAATGACATAATTCTTGAAATGATTTCAATAAATACACAATTTGATAAGTGTTGAATTGCAATTAATCTAAAATTTAAACAATTTAAAAAAAAAAAAAAACTTTTGCAATAATATAGTATTATCTAAAAAATTAATTATAATTTATATCATTTTAAAATTTAAAGTAAAAACAAAACTTTTTTTTGAATTCCACAATTAATAGTATATTTTTCATTTTTTAATTTTACTCTATCAAATTTTGGTGAAAAAAAAGAAAATAAAGATTCAAATTTGGAAGGTGGAATAATAAGCATACCTGAATTAATCGACTAAACTGATAATTAGAGAAAGGACAGGTAAATGACAGGTAAAATGAAGAGTAATAATGAGTGATTTATAATCGTTTATGTATATATATGTTTTCTCAAAACAACTAATACCTGTGATACCTGTGACACTTATGAGATACCTATGAGATGACATGGGAAAGGTTGAGAATTTCCCAGGGATTAATTATGGGTTTTTTTTGATTGATTAAATTTCGACGAATAAACAAATGTAACATTTCAATTTGTTTTCTTTTTATCTTTTCGACATGGAAATTTGATTTTTCCTTTTTTTAAATGTTTGTTTACTTACATTTGTTTTCTTTTTGTCTTTTGGAAATGGAAATGTGAATTTTCTTTTTTTTTTTTCTTAAGTTTATTTGCTTAAATTTTTCTTTTTATCTTTTAGGTATGGAAATTTAAATTTTCTTTTTTTAAGTTTATTTACTCAAATTTGCTTTTCTTTTTGTCTTTTAGAAATAGAAATTTGAATTTTCTTTCTTTTTTCTTTTAATTTATTTAATTGAATATCCTTTGAATTTATTTAGTTATCTAATTGAATATTTTTTAAAATTTTAGGCATGAAAATTTGAATTTCCTTTTTTTTTGAAATTTCTAGATATTTTTTTTATAAAAAAATATAAAATTTACTATATTTTCCTTATCAAAAAGATAGTAGTAAAACATTTACCAGCAAAAATTTATATATGGAAAATAAATATATAAATAAAAATGATAATTATCATTGAAATTAATTTTTAAAAAAAAAAAAATATCTTAATGATAATGCAATTGTTCTATTTAAAGTAATGCTTTTTTAAAAAATAATTATTATAAATTTTTTTTTTTTTTTTTTGATCTTTTATAATTTTACATTAAAATATAAATTTCTAAAATCAAAAACAAAAAAAAATTTCAACTTTGTTTTCTTCTAATGACAAAATTTCAATTCATAAAGTGATGATCAGATGAAATTACCGCAATATGGGAAATATGAGAGTGCTTGGGAAGAGGTTGGGAAAAACCAGGGGAAGGTTATGGGAAAGAGAAATGTACATACATACATACATACATACATACATACATACATACATACATACATACATACATACATACATACATACATACATACACACACACACACATACACACATACACATACACATACACATACACATACAAACACACAGACACACACACGTGAACATGCGTAAACAAATTTTTTTTTTCATTTTTAGACTATAAAAGACATTTACCGCCTTTTATGTGACAAATGTCACACGAATTGTTCTGTTGGGAAAATTTTTTGTGAGAAAAAAGAATTCGAATACTTAAATTCGATTATTACCATTACTATTAGTACTTTTTGCATTTTTCATGCACATTAAATAAAATATATTTTAATTTTAAATGAAATAATTTCAATTTAATATACACAAAAATTTTAATTTAAACAATTTCAACTTGAATTGCACACATTAATTTTAACTCAAATAATTTCAGTTTGCGACAAACATCAATTTTAACTTGAATAATTTGCATAATAATTTTAAATTAAACAAATTTTATTTATCATTTTAAGTTTCAATTTTAAAATCAAATGTTTAAATTGAAAAATTGCATAAATTTCATATAGAAAGCTAGTGTTACTTACATCCAAGAATGAAATGTTATAATTTCATTTTGAATTATATTATTCGAAAGTAAATTATTCCAATTGTTAAAACATTTTTTAATTACGTAATTTATTAAATTTCAAAAAATTACACACAATTTAAAATTTTCAAAAAAAATATTGAATATTTTATACTTAAACATTACACTATTTTAAGCTTTATAATTCTTTTTTTTGCATTTTTTTTTTTCAAATTAAGCTTATTTGCATAATTGGTTTGTTTGTTTATTTGTTTACCTCTTTTTTCTGAAAAAAATTTTTGTTTTGAAAAATTAATTTATTCATTTTTGCATTTAACATTATTTCATTAGCAATATTAGCACAAAATCTTTGTAGCAATAAACATATTTAACATTAAACAAAGGAATAAATATTAATTTTGCTTAGAAAAAGTTAATTCATTTAAAAATTGATATTCATAAAGGCAAATTCGATTACATTAATAATAACATATAATTTTTGTTTTCTTTTTTTATATTTATTTTTTTTAATTTGATTTTTTAAAATTTTTGTTATTTCGTGAAATTATTTCCGGTGATATATAAGTTTTTTAATTACCCTTTTGTGGTCATTTTTTTTAATATAAAATTATTTAATATCTCAGTGATATTTACAAAATGTAAATTTAAAAATTCCAATTTTTTATTTATAAAATTATTTTTGTAACATAATGCTGATAAAATCAATTTTGCAATAATTTAAACCAACAGTTAATTTCTGATTTTTTTCTACTGATAACAATTTAATTATCAACTGACAACTTAATTGTTAAATAACACTGATAAGATCACCAAAAATTTTTTGATTTAATAATTACTTGAAAATTTTTATGAATTGTAAATCATTTCTGTTTAAGACAACTAATGTTTGTAGTAGGTAGAAATCACTTACGTAATAATTATTTACGATCACTTACGTGATATCTCTTTACTCATTTGCTTAATCTCAAATTTCTCGAATAAAAAATAAGAATAATGAAATCAAAAAAAGAAGCAAGAAACAAGTTTTGCATTTATTCTAAATGTACAAAACCGGAAAGCTCTTTTTTTTCATTCCTGAAATCATTTCAGGAATGTTTGAATAATACTAAATAAGATTAATTGAAAAACAAAAAAACAAATTTTTATTGTTTAATTTCAAGGAAAAAAAAAAAAGAAAATTATGCTTCTAAATTCATTCATTTTATCCTTTTTAAATATTTTCTAAATTTCCACCATAATTTGCATATTTAAAATTGCTCTGAATTATAGAATTTTAAATATTTTCATATTTTTTTTAAAAAAAAAGTTTAATTTAAGCATATTATCTTTTTTCAATGATATTTGATCGGTTTTTTTGTCGAAAATTGAATTATTATTTATCTATTTATTAAGATATTTTAAAATTGAATTATTTATTTATTTATTTTTAGCTATTTCAAAAAAAAAAATTTTATTTTTTGATACATTGAAAAGAACTAATTAGAATATATCTTATCAATTCAATTTTATCTTTCTTCGGTTATAATTTTAAAAGTGATAACTTATGATAATTATTTCTTTGTTTTCATTACTTTATAAAAAACATTTGTTTTTTCTAAACAACACTGTTACTTATCGAAAATCAGTTAAAATGTATTAAAATAACTTTGCTATAAATTACTTTTAATAAACTTTGATAAAGTATAATAATTACAAAGTTAAATTGTATGTTGTCGATTGTTATAAATTTTGCAACAAATTTTGTATTAATACATAATTTTCAGGCGCAAAAAGCAAATATTGCATAAAGCCAATGATTCTATATTGAAAGACGCATACATATGAAAAGTTTGATCTATTTTAATAATAATAATTGATATTATCATGATTATAATGATAATAATTACCGCCATAATCGTGATTTCTGGAAATTAAAACTAATAACAATAGTTATTATTGCAAATACAACGAATAAACTAATGTTGTGACCAATAATAATTGTTTTAATTATTATATTACAATTGTTTATATTAATTATTATATTACAAACGTAACTAATATTATTATTATCATTATTATTATTATCATTATAAATACAACTATTACCAATACATATATTTCTGAAATGTAATTTAAATTAAATTTCAATTTTGTTTAAATGAACTTTTTATTTTTGTAATATTTTAACTCAAATACTAATTTCTATGTTCAATGTGATTTGTAAAATTAGAATTTGATATTCTCAATTTTAACCTTTTTTTAAATAAATTATTATAGTTTATTTGATAATTATCGTATTATCAATTATTTCGATCAAATTGGTATTTGGCTTAAAATGTTATCAAGGTGTTACAACAGAATATTTTCATTCACCAATTTCATTCAAAATTAAAACTTGTCAAGTGGGAAATTTTTGTATTAAATATCATCATGTTGATTTTAGATATGTAAGCACTTTATTTTTTTTCACTTATTTCTTTTTTAAAAAATGTAATCAAATTAAAGAATGGAAAAATTGAACTTATAATATTCGTTTATAATTATTTTATAATCTTATTAATTTCTTTTTAAATATAAATTTAAATTAATGAAATTTAAAAAAAATTAGTAAAAGTTTTTGCGATTAGCAAGCATTAAGCAAATAAATTCTTAGACAATCATATCAAAAATATTTTGTTACTTCCAATTTTAATTTATTCAATTCTTCTTTGATTTACTTAATTATTTTATATGCTATTCATAAATTATTTTCGCATGCATTAGTTCATATTCACAATTGCATCCTATCACATTCACTTTTGCTTGCACTAAAATTGCATCCTATTCACAATTTGCGTGCACTAAAGTTGCACGCTATTCACTTTTGCTTGCATAAAATATTTCATTTTGCATGCACTAAAATTGCATCCTATTCACAATTTGCGTGCACTAAAGTTGCACGCTATTCACTTTTGCTTGCACTAAAGTTGCACGCTATTCACTTTGCGTGCACTAAAGTTGCACGCTATTCACTTTTGCTTGCACTAAAGTTGCACGCTATTCACTTTTGCTTGCACTAAAATTGCACGCTATTCACTTTTGCATGCACTAAAATTGCATCCTATTCACAATTTGCGTGCACTAAAGTTGCACGCTATTCACTTTTGCTTGCACTAAAATTGCACGCTATTCACTTTTGCATGCACTAAAATTGCATCCTATTCACAATTTGCGTGCACTAAAGTTGCACGCTATTCACAAATTATTTTTGCATGCTATCAGCATTTTTACGAAATTTTATCAGAATTGCAGCAATTTAGTTAAATTTATTCCAACCATACAATAATAATGCTAATAATAATAAATGAATACTAAAGAGTATTAATAATTTTTTCTAAGTATTATTTATCCCATTAAAAATCCCACTAATCATTCCCGGTTACTCTCATAGATAAGAGTAATTATCAACTGACTTGTTTTTCTTTCTTTTTTTTTCTTTTTCTAAAAAATTATATTTAATAATACTAATAATTTGCAAAATTTTATTTTTTTTTTTTTTCATTTCAGCGACAATCATTCACTATCAAATCTTGTGATGATAGTGGAATTTGTATGGTAATATATTTTTTTTTTAATAATTCCTTTTTTTTTTTCGAAATTTGTGTGATAATTTGTTATAATAAATTACATTTATCATTTCAATAGTTTTTAGTTTTTTTTTTTTTAATTTTTTTTAAAGCTCATATCATTTAACTTTAAAATTTTTTTTTTTTAAATAAGTTTTTTTCCTTCTTTTCTTCCACACAAAACTGATATTTTTTTTTCTTTTTTTGTAAAAGAATTTAAAATGCTATATTAGGTTATTTTAATGATTCTAAGTTCTTTGTTTTTTTTTTTTTTTTTTAAATTCAATATTTTTATAATTTAATTTTTAATAATAGGATGAAAGTTGTGCTGTTGGTTCTGTTGCTGCAAAATTTATGGGTTATATGAGAGGACCGTTGGTAAATATTTGGGATTGTTGTTGCAAGCAAATGTTATGCAATTGTGCAACTTTTTTTATTTTTAATCAATCAACTATTCTTGTAAAATTTATCATTCTTATATTATTATATATTCAATAATAATATATTTTATTTAATTCATAATTTTTTTATGAATTCAATAAAAGTTGAAATTAAATTGTTGAAATTTTCCTCTTTTCTTTTTTTAGACTTAATTTTTATTTATGTATTTTTTGATTTTAATTGTTAGAAAAAATTTTATTCTTATAGTATAAATTATATGTCATAAATATTGATATTATCTATGAAATCAATCGAAATTACGCGAGAATAGAAATAATAATTTGATCAAATTTAAAGAGGAAAAAGAAGTAGAAAGATATATTGGATGCAATTGTACAATGATTATTTAGGATTGAATAAGACTTAAATTCAAATTTAGATATCACACTAATATTATGCATTTAAAAGTTTCACTATTATTTATTTATTATTATTATTATTATGTAGTAGTAGTAGTATTGTTATTATTATTATATTTTATTATCATTAACCAAATTCAGTGATTGTTATTCCCAATCGTTGATTATTTCTTCTTTCATAAAACCTATTTACTGATTCCCTTTTTTTTGAAATCTATATTTGATCCTTTGTGCCATCATTTTCCCTTTATGGCGTAACATACGTTACTTTCCCATTGTGCAATTTAATCGTATCTAATCATTGTGACGTAATCTACGATGAACTTTGTATTATAACGTTATCTATCAATTCTGACGTAATCTACGGTACTTTTTCTATTATTAATTGATCCATCAATTCTAACGTGATCTACGTTATTTTTGTATTATAAAATGATCTATTAATTCCGACGTAATCTACTATACTTTTTCTATTATGACGTAATCTACGATATTTTCTTATTATGACGTGATCTGTCTGCTCTGACGTAATCTACGTTACTGTTCCATTTTTATGTAATCTATAGCACTACATTTTGACGTCTATTCCGATGTGATACAGTAATATTCTTTCTACTATAACGTTATCTATAACACATATGCGCAACCATATGCGCTCATTAATACGTTATGGCGCATTTTGACATGCATGTAAACTAAGCACTATTGTTTATTCATCATTTTTCTCTTTTTTTTTGAAATTATTATTATATATTGGTATTGCTAATAAATGCTAGCATACTTTTTTTTTACGTAAATATTTACATTTATTTATTGTTTTCCTTTATATATACTTTAAATTATGCATTTATTATTATAATAATATATTTGGTGTTAAATATTTTAATCGAATAAAGATATATATTCTCGTTTCAAAAAAAAATTACTTAAATTATTTATGCATCTATTATTAATACATCTAAAATATCCTTTATATCAATTGCTAAAATATTCAATTAAATCTTAGTTTTTGGCCAAAAAAAGAGGAAGAAAAATGTGATATCCTTTAAAAAATAAAAAAAGACATTAAATACATATGGAATATTAAAAAAAAGCAAATTCTAAAGGGTCGAAAAATTTTAACCTGAAATTTCTACAAGTCTACGTTGTTTACTTTTTGTTTTGAAACAAAAATATTGCGCAATTGTCGCATGCAACAACATTAGCGGGACAATTTAGTGGACATCAGCAGTCGGTGAAGCGATGGATTTTGTAATTAATGGTGGGGTGTTTGTGAAAGGTCAAAGGGTATTCTGCTCAAGTAAAGTAAGTAATAGTAAGATTATTTTGTGATACAATAATAATAGCATTATGAGAAAAAATTGTTGATTAGTTATTAGGAGTATGAGATCAAAGGTTATTGATTGAAATATGTGAAAAATTTTCTTATCTAACATTCCAGTAATTAGTTGGTATAATTTATGTGTAATTATTGATTGCTTAAAGTGATTATGTTTTAATTTGTAGAATAGCTATGTAAATTATACAATTATGATAGGATGAATGGCTTTATGATTCATTTGTAATAATTATTTATGATTGACAGATAGGAAAATTTATTAGATTATTGTATGAATTAATTTGTTTTCTTTTTTTTTTTTTTTTTTTTTTAGATTTTTGATTTCAACTGTAGGGTAGAATTTATTGATTAGATTGATTATGGTTTAGGATTGAAAGAACGAAAATTTAAAACAATAAATGCTATCAGTGATGATCTTTTCAGCCTTTCATTTGCTGAAAGATTTAGGAATATTTTATAAAATTATAAGTTTGGAATATATCTTATGAATCAGTTGTGTATATTATTATTGAATTTGAAATTTGATACTTTTAGATTTTATAAAGATATTGGACATATTAAAAATTTGTAAATAAGCGATTTATTAATTTAGATATGCAACTAATATTATTCTTTTGCAGCGATCGTTTTAGTTTCTCAAATTTTGTTTCCAAAATGAATGATCGTTTAATTTTTTCAGTTTTATTTTCGAGATGAATGAGGACAAAGAAACGATAGCAGAAGTTGATGATGACTTATGTTTTGTTAATCAGTGGGTAGATAAATTATCTCATGGGAAATCTTTCACTTTACGCGTATTTGTCGAATCATTTCAGTAAGTTTTCCACTCATCTCTTTTTTTATTATTTCAAAATTATGATTTAATTATTAGGAATACATTTTAAGTAAGTTCTATTAATGAATTTTTATCAAATTTTTTTTTCTTCTTTCAGATCTGAAATGAAATCTAACAATCGTGAAAAACGAGAAAATGGATTAAAACGAATTTGTTTAGTGATAAGTAAACTTCCACAAAATTATCCATGGGAGTTACCTCATGGTCGGTATTTTCTTTATAACAAAATTACAGAGTTTGTTTAATTCAATAATTCTCATTCACTTCTTTTATACCCCTAATTTTAACTTCTTTCAGTGGAATTACTCATGAATTTCTTCCTAATGAATTATAGTATTTTTGATACTCCGAACTTTTTTATACTAACAGTTCTGAAGAAACTGGTAAGTTTTTGTTTACTAATATATTTGATTCCATATTTAATGACCATGAATTTTCATCACTTCGTTAAATGCCATTGCTCAAGAAAGCATATATAACTGTTAATTTAATAGATTTATTGATTTAAAAGTTGCAGATGATCATTTACTACAGTTAAATATTTCGAGTTTTACATTTGCTTATTGATTTTATTATCACTTAATGATGTGATGGATATTGATTTTGTGAACCTAAGAATTATGTTCACTATAATTAAGATTTATGTATGTGTTGGAAACTTGAATAACTTCTATTTTGAAATTTTAATTAATTGTTTAGTAATTTGTGTTTATTTCAGTGATTAATCTATTTAAGAAATTAATGCAGATTTTCTCTTTCAGCTAATGATTAATTTACGTGTGAAAAGTAGTAGCATTGATTCTCTTGTTGACACTTTATTTCGTCAAGGGCAAGTGCAAACTTGTGCCCAGAGGGAGCGATTCGTATTTTATCAAATTTTAGATCTATTACTTAACAAATACTCTAAAGGTTAGAGAAATTTATCTGCTAACTTTTACAAATTTTTAGATCTAAATTGTTACATATCATACTTTTCTCTTGAATTATTTTCTTAAAAATTTGACTGTTTTTTTAAAATATGTTTGTACTATTGAACTGTTGCATACATTCGAAAAAGAAAAAAAGAAAAGAAAGAAACGAAAATTCTTTCTCAAACATTTTTGGCATATTTAAACATTTTAAATTATATTAAATACGTATTGCCCTAATAAAAGATAAGGTGAAATTACTTTATATTTCCTAATCTTCTCTCTAAATTTGAAAATATTACAATTATTATGTGATTTTTTCAGAACTCTCGACGAATACATACTTTATTTCCTACTTTATGTCGTCTATATCCGGAGAACGAGATCCTCGATGTCTCATTCTTGTTTTTCGTCTTTTTTGCACTTTCTTCAAACATTTTAATTCTGGTGAGTAACTTCTGAGAATAATTTATTTTCGAAAGTTTATATATCAATTTTGTCGAACAATTATTAGTGAAGTGATATGCTGTTCTGAATGGTTAGGTGGAATAAATTGTGTTATCTTATTTAATTGCTTTTTCTTTTATGATTTTGACAATTTCAGGAGATTTTCAAAGAAATTTGCTTGATCTTTATGCGAGTGACTTGTTTGATATCATCGCTTGCTATTATCCTATTGAATTTAATCATGTCAGTAATGTTTTTTTTTTTCTTTTTTTTAAATTCTGTGTTTTAATTTTATTCGATTAATCAATGAATATAACACTGCAGCTATTATATTCATTGCTATATTCATTGTTATCCTGATAAATTGTATTATACCTTTATATTGACATCATTTTATAACTACAACTGAATTTTTTTTTGTTTTTTAGAATTCAAGGGAGCGAACAGAAATTACCAGGGAATTGTTGGTTAGTGGATGTGAAAGTTGTTTACTTGCCGATGAAGAATTTGCACCCTTTGTTTTTGAATTGATTATTGAAAAACTTCTAGATAGTGAATATTCGACGGATACAAAATTGGAAATTTGCTCATTTTTGGTATAGTATTATTGTCTTATATTTGATAATTTGGTTAATTTCTAGAATTTTATTGGTTTAAATGATGTACATTTATATTATAAAGGTATCAATTTCCGGAAAGCTTCCAAACGATCTATGCTTTTTTTTTTTTTTTTTTTTTGAAAACCTGAATTTTTAACTGTTCTTTTTGATCGTTTTGATATACTTTCTTGATTTGAAACTCGATTCTTCAATAATCATAATTTTGTAGGCCAAGGCATGTGCATTTTTTCCTTGTTATCAGCTCATTGATCACATTGGTCAATTGTGTGCAGGTATTAGATCAGTTCTATTCAATTTCCCAAATGATACACGTGATGATTATATGCCAGAATCAATCACTGCTGCTGTTTCTTCAATAATAAAAGCTTTCGATAGAAGCAATATTAAGGTATCAATTTTGTGATTTTTGTTTACGTGAAGGATATTTTTAACTTTGTTCAATATATATCTAATCTTCCCATAAATACTTTTCTTTTATCATTATTTTTGGGAACATTTTATCATAGCTTTTGTTTATTGTGCAAAATAATTATTTCTCCTTTTCCTCTTCCTTAGGAGATCGTAAATTATTGCACTGTATATATTTTCAGGATAAAAGACAACACATTGAAAGTATATGTCATGAATTTATTGAAAGTAAGACTTTTAAGTTTTCCTTGAATGTTTTTTTTTTAAAAAAAAATCAATGATTAATTATGCTTTATGTTTATATGAATTCAGCATAAAGGCAGAGCTTATTGCATTAAATAGTCCATTTTTCAATTAGTTATTTACTATTATTTTATTAAACATTTTGCTGTTTGCAGAGGGTGAAATGTTTGTGCTACAAACTGAATTAGGTCTAACAGGTCGGCTTTTAGCATTTTTTGAGATTTTACTAAGATCTAGCGAATTATGTTCCACCGTTATTTTCGAGAGCGTTTTCTCATGGCTGCTGTCATTATGCAAAGGTAATAATTGTTTCTATTTAATAATTTTTCATTTTCGCTTGTTTCAGAAATAATGATTTTCATGTTCCTTTTCTTCTCTGTTTTTTTCAAAAATTTTTGTGAATTTGGCTTCATTCGAGATTTTTAGGTGATACGGCAAGTTCTAGTGCTAATAAATATGAAATTGTTAATAGCGGTTTGAGGTTTTTGTGTCACTGGATTGATGTAGCTGATGATTCTAAGCAAGGTATGTTTTTAGAAATATAAAAACGATTTTAATTAAATGTGTGGTGATTTTTGGCCATTGGCTTGATCCTTTTTTAAATTTTACCTGGTTTGAAGCTCAGTTTTTGTTGTGGTATCTGTTGAAGTATAACTTTGTTTAAATATCTTTTGTCTTCAAATCAAAAATCTTTTAGTTGCACTCCTTCGGAAGTACCATAGTTCATTTATTGAAATGCTTGACAAATATGATCGTGAGATCGCTCAGCTTGCACGTTATAAATTACTGGAGGTTCATATATTTAATTCTTTGTTACAATTGCTATTATATTAACTTTATGAAAATGTTTTCTGTATCTCTTGATTTCTGTCATTTAATTATATAAAAAGGATTGAAATAGTTAAATTGTTTCAATAAATTTCAGGTTTGTATTAAGTTGGATGTGCATACGAATGGATTGTTGGAGAAGTGCAAAGTTTTCCTGCGAAAAAGTTTTGATACTATTTGCAGTGAGAATAAGGAATTAAGGTAAAAGAAATAAGTGTATTGTTGTATTATTTAATTTTTCTTATGCGCAAGACTCGTTTATATATGGAATTCAAAAAAAAAAAAATCTATTCAATGAAATGATGATGATGAAAAGTAAAGAAGCTATTGAAATTGAAAAAAAAATTATGATTTATTCCAAATTAAAATTTCTTCCAAATACATTTTTTAATCTTTAACATATAAATTGAATTGTTTCATTTTTTGCAGGAATAGCTGTCTGATGTTTGTCTATGCTTTTGCATCATCTAAATGGACCATCCTAAAAGATTTGTTTGTAAACGAAATTGGCAATAATAAAGGTTGTGTAATTTTTTTTCTTGCTCTTGATATTTCTTTAATTGTTGATTAATTACCTATTATCATTTTTTAAAAATTTTTTGGATATTTACTAGTCTATTATTATTTTATATTTGATAGCAAACTTTCACAATTTCAAACTATGCAAAAAAAAAAACTCAAAATTGTTTCGATTTTCTAGAAATATTTCCTCTAACACCATTGCTTTGGTCTATTATTCATGACATAGATAGTCTTCATTTTGCTGTATCTTATCTTGGAACATTGTTTCCGACAACATCAGGTATGAAATATTTTCATATGTATTTTTGGATCATTTTTCAAATTTAAAGTTTTTTTTTGAAAAAATGAATTTCTTCTTTTTATCAACTTAGACGCTCTTAAAATGGTCAAGAATGTGTCCTAGTTTCTGTCAACTTGCTATTCCAAAAATTCTTTTATATTTGGTTTCCATTAATTTCTCAATCGTTTACTTTTCAGTTTGTTGATTTTTCGTAATTTTAGCTTGCTCAAATGATCTTCAAGAAATTTTCATTGAAATATTCAACAAAAACAGATCAGGAAGCATCACATTACACGAAACATTATTGAGTCAAACTTTAAATTGCTTCTTTGTAAGGCTTGAACTTCATATGGGATCAGAAAAAGATGTAGAAGCAGAATCGAAATTATTGCAACAAATTGGACTAATAATTAGTAATGGGTAATTTATATTTTCGTATTAGGATCAGCTTGCTAAGATCTTGATCTATAAGTTGTCAAGAATTTCATATATTAAAATTAGTGTAAATTTTCTGGAGGTCAATGTTAAAACGGTGCACAGTTATTTCAACATCATCAGGTGCAATTTTTCTCATTTTGAATATAAACTATATAAGATTTCTGACTTTTTTTTAGGTTTCAAAAAAGAATATTCCCTAATTTCAGAACACATCTGGATGGCCTTTGTTTGATTCGGGAAAAGTTGAAATATTGTCCAAGTTTATTACCAGGCTTATATCTATACATTATCCAATCTCCGGTGAGAATTACTTGTAATATTTTTCATTGAACTTTTAAATAAAAAGTTATTTGCATCATTTAAAAAGATTGTTTATAAGTGTAACAAAATTCTCTAATTTTTAGTATAACGATGAACTTCTGAAGCTATTAACGCAATTGGATTCTGTAGATGGTAATCTAATTTGGTATAAAACATTGATTATGGCTGCATTGGTTAACAAATCTCCAAATTATATCGAAACGCTTAAGCATATGGAGAAAATAGCGCAAAGTTTTGATTTTTTGGATAGTTTCAAATGTAGGACTCGGTTATGTGTCGCGCTTCTTTTGACTGATCGTCCTGAAGGATCTACATATTTTACCGCAGTAATAATTATTATCAATTGTTATTTTTGTTACTAACAACTAAATGTTAACATGTTGGATGCTATTAATATTTCCTAGAGGTTTCAAGTGGTTATAAGGAACATTTGAATGAGTAAATTCATTTCAATTTATAGGAATAACTTTTATTATTGCAGCTTCTACGTGATCTCGTTCAATACTTTGATTCCGAAAATATCACTGTGTTAAAAGAAACTTTAGTAGATATGTTAACTTTTAATACTTGCTACTCCGATCCGATAAAATGCAAGTATCAAACAACATTTTTGTGGCAACAACGACTCTTTTGTCAGTTGATTCCTATCTATGTTCAATATTTCAATGATTTAAGCAAAGGTAATATACATTCTTAATTTTTTAGTTAATTATGCATCGATCTGATGGCTATAATTTGTGATATCAGTTGCCATATCTTTTTGTTTAATTTTTGCAGTGGTTGTGTGACTGTAAATAGGAGAGTAGATTTGTTTTTTTTTTTTTTTTTTTTTTGTGACAAATTACTTCTGATCCTCTATGAATTTTATGAAATCTATCTTGTTTTACACTTGAAGAAAACAGTTGTTAATTATTTCTATAAAAAAAGCATCTTGATAAGATTCTTTTTTTATAGAAATAATTGTGATTAGTGATATTAAAACTTTATTAGCTTACATTTCCACTATTTATGTGACATTAGAAAAATGTATTACTTAGTAGTTTTTAGGATTGAATTTATGTTAAAGAAATGTTGAAGATTCAAAAAAACTTACGGCTTACATCTGAGACTATAACAGATTTAAGCGTTGGAAAAAAGGAAAACAATGAAATTAAATGAGTGGTTTAAATGATTTAAATAAAATAATCATTGCGATCTGTGCCTATATTGATAACTACAAACTTTATCAGTAGTTGTGTTCTTAAAATTAAGCGATAATTTCGATAATTGTTTTATTAAAGCGACATCTCGAGCAGAGGTTGCTTTTAATTAATTCATATCTAATCGATAATCAGATTTTTGAATTATTTCGGAAATTTCAGAATCTCAAAATAAACGGATTGTTTTGTATCCTTTATTAGCACCGCTTTTTGCGCTTGCTGCATCATCAACAGCTATCATGAATGATAAATATGTGGAGGTATTATTTTGAAATTTTAATTTTCTCAAATTTAACCAACTTTCCAAACACTATTATTAAAATGTAGATGCCTTATTGATAATAAAGAAATTTTATTTTCAGTTATTGCCCATACTTTGTGCTGCTTTGGATACATCAGGATTGGATTTGTGCGCAGAAGGACAGATTATTACAGGTTTAGCAGCATTATTGAAAAATGCAACAGCTGAACAATTGGGTCATGATTTCTTGTTGAAAGTGCTACCACGATTGCAACATTATCTTGAGCATAACACGAATATGGTTTATTTTATTTTATTAAATTTAATGAATTTTGTAAAAATTTTCAAAAAATATAATTTTGTAAAACAGAATTTGTAAAAAGACTTTTTTTGATGATAACAGAATACGAAACTTTACGAATCCTAAAGATTATTTAGGAATGTTCTTAACTGTTGATAAAATTTTCAATAAATTTAAATTGACTTCTCGATTCTTTTTTTTTTTTTTTTTTGCAGATGGTTCAGTTGGCAACACTTGAATGTTTAAAGTTAATAGCACAAAAATGGTCTTCTGAAGCATTACTTCCATTTTATGGTCCTATTGTTCGTAGTTTAATCAAAATTTCCGGATCTCAGAAGCGGATTGTTCGAACAGCAGTTGCAAATGTCCGAAATTTATGGTAACTTTTTGACATTTCCTTTTTTTTTTGGTAATTAATCTTTCAACAACTAAACTATTCTTAGCGTCATATGTCAGCCCCAGTTAACATAAAATCATGATATAAAGAGCGATCTAATATCTATGCTAACAGCCAGAATACATATAATCGAAATAAATAAAACAGTTTTAAAAAAAAAAACTATGATAATAAAGAAAAATGAAGAAAACGTTATTTACGAGACCAAAATTCCAAATTGATTATTTTCATATCTTTAACAAAGTTCAAATTTCTGCCATGTGTTTGATAAGATTTGATGCATTGAATTGATTTAGCATTCGACATTCAAATTATAGTTTTGAAAATGTGTTAGATAAAGTCATTGTTATTTGATTTGTTGAGAGTTTTGTTTAATATTTTTATTTGTAAACTTTTTACTTTTGCCTCTTTATCCGTTTGTTTTATCTGCTACGAGAATTATCTCGACAAATTATCATTTTGAACATATTTAACGAAATGATATGTTGAAGAATTTCAAAATCTAAAAAGTTAGATCAGTGATCACTGTTAACTTCTAGAAGTGTTATCTAGAATAGTTAATCATCTATTCGATATATTTGTTTATCAAAGCACTCAAGTCATAATTTTAAACTAAAAAAAAAAAAAAAAAAAAATATTTTTTTGCAGGGAATTGCTACCAACGAAGTAGCACTCTAGTGATAATGAAGAATTGATTTCAAATATGTGAAATCTGTCCTATTCGATACATTTGTTACATGTTTGTATATTTTGATTTGAAAACAATAAAGAAATATTTTTGATTTGAAATTAGCATATTTGTTTTATTTATTCACATACACATATAATTTTTTATTTTATTTATTATTCCATAACTACTGTAAATTTTATGAAGTATTATTAAAAGTACTAAATTGAAGGCATTATTGATAGGTAATTGGATAAATTAATTATTTAGACATGAATAAAATGTAGAAATAAAAAAAAAAAAAAGGAAAAAAATCAATAAAGAAAAGAAAATAATTTCATTAAAAGAAATTACTAGCAAATAAGAAGAGAAAAGGAAAAAAAAAAACAAAAGTATAAAGTCTAAAAAATCTAAAAATGATAAAACTAAGAGAAAAAGAAATGTACTATTTTCTATTGCAGCAATAATAATAATTCACTCTTTTAGGGCAACAATTTGCAAATATAAACTGTTATGATTGACATTCCAATAGACTTTCATATATTTTCAACTGGATAAAATGATGAATTCGATGATAACTATATTTGCTTTTAAACTTATCCAATGGGAATTTTTCCATAAATTATTGAAGAACAAAAGTGGAAAATATACATACACAATTTAAATATTCATTGGAAATTACTGCAGTTTCTTTTGCTAAATCTTCATCATTTTCTACTAATATTTGCTTAAATCATTTGGGAATTAAATGTTCAAAAATTTTAGATTAGATGAAATTAAAAAGTGTGTGAATGTAAAAATTGTATGAAGTGTCAACATTTTAAATTTAAATTTATAAATTTAAATTTTTTTTTTCTTCTTACAGTTTATTTCTTCATTATATGCTTTTAACAAAAATGAAATAATCCATTGTTTAGCATAAATTATTTGCTAATCTTTTATTTTTTTATTAAAGTTCTTCTTTTTGGTTTTCTGCAAATTATTTAAAAAAATTTTGTTTTGAAAAGAAAAAAGGTAAAATTTAATAATTTGTATTAGTTATGAAAATATTTTTTAAATCTTTTATTTTAAACTTTCTCTCTTACTTTTTATTTCCAACTTTTATAATTATTTATTAAATACTAATAATTCTATATATAAATTGCTCAGTATTCTTCTCTCTCCCTTTCTTTTTTTAAAATTCAAAATATTGAAATTATAAAATTTTTCTCATTTTTTTCTTTAACAAAAACTTTTCCATTTTCTCTTCATTTCAATATGTAATTAATTTGATTGAAAAAAAATTTTTCCAAATACTTTAGCTATTTCATTTATGTTTTTTGTTTCGCATTTTTTTATCTTTTGTTTTTCCATCCTATCTACTTCAATCCTAAAATACTTTAAAATATACTTTTAAAAAGAATTTATATTAATTTTAATTTAATTTTTACTAAAGAAAAAAAAGAACAGTGTTGGTATACAATAATAATAATATAATAAATGTATTAATTATACTTTTTGTGCAATCTCTCTAAAAAACAAAAAAGACAGAAATGCTAGAAATGGCAACAAAGGTTGAACTTTTCCATCTCTTCACCCTCTCTCTCTCCCTCTCCCCCTCTCTCTCTCTCTCTCTCTCTCTCTCTCTTTCTCTTAGCATCATTAAAAAGGGTGTTATTATTTGCTGAAGCGTAAGAAGAAATAATCGTTCATTGCTGGTGTATTTTTCTTCCTTATTTCAATTTCACATTTATTAAGCCAAGCTAACCATAATATTTTCTTTTAGGCCTTATATATATACAAGATTTAAAAATATATTTATTCATTTATTTTTATTTTTATTTTATTTATTTATTTATTTAACTTGTTTATTTATTTAATTTGTTTATTTATATCACTAATTTATTTTGTTTTATTTATTTATTGTATTCATTTCTTTTATTTGTTTAGTTGTTTTATTTATTTACTTATTTACTCATTTATTTTATCTGTTTATTTTATTTTATCTATTTGTTTCATTTATTTATTTATTTGCTTATTTATTCATTTGTCAATTCTCTTTGTTTATTTATTTTATTTATTCATTTTTTTTTATTTATATTCACCTTTAATAATCGTTTTTTTTCTTCATTATATTTGAAATTATTGAAATAATCAAAGGTAAATAGTAACACATGTAATCATCAAATACAATATTCAATATTTATATATTTTTTTTTCTTGCAAGTTTTCATTTATTAAATTTTAATTTTACTTAAAAATTATGCAAAACAAAAAAAAATTTCCATTTTTAAATTTTTTTCTTTTAAAAAAATTTTTTTTTAAAAATATAGTATAAAATACATATTATATTTCATGGTTATTACAATTATTGTTATCAGTAAGATAGCATTTATCATTATCATTTAAATATTTCATCCATTTATCACCTATTTACACTGATAATATTCATTACTTTTCTTTATCATAATTTTTTAATATTACTGTTACACTCATATCAATATTATAAATCAAAAAAGGAAATTAGAAATAGTTATAAGTTAGAAGTAAATTTCATTTAAAATTTTCAATTTTAATTGAAGCAAATAAAATTCTAATAGAAATAGAAATAATAAGCAAAAACAAAATTAAAAAAAAAAAAAAAGAGTAAAATAAAAGGAAAAGTATTTTGATCAAATAATAATATACTAAACGATAATTATTTGCGGTACTTTTATTAAAAGCCATTTAAGTTCTTGGCTCACTGTCTTGGCTATATTTTCTTGGCTCATTTTCTCTCTTCCTTGTCTGCAAGAAGCAATAAAAAGAAGAAAAAAACGATACAAATTATTGCTGTCGTTATTGCTACCAATCCTAAATTATAAAATATAACAGTTAGCATTTCTTCTATTTTTAGAGAAACTAAAAATAAAACGATTAATTAAAATATTTTCTAACATTTAATTAAATTATTGATTCAAATATTTTTAACATTTAATTGAAATATATGTTAAAATATTGTTAAAATTTGACTAATACTAAAATTTTATTGAAAATAATTTTTTTCAAAAAAAAAAAAAAAAACGGAAAGGAAGAAAAATAGAAATAAATTCTTATAGAAAGTGAAATAATGCAGTGTTAATGAATTATTTTTATATTTCAAATTTGTTAGTGCATATTTATAAATAATTCAAATTTCATTATTCCTTCCTCTAAATTTTTTTTTAGATTCAATTTTCTTCATTTAATTTTTAATATTTATTTATTTCTTATATTCTTCTAAAATTTTATATATAAAATTAAAATATAAAAATGTAAAAGTAATGATATAAATATTAAAATATTTAAGAAGTCATCAATTCATTCTTTTCTTCCTTTTTTTTTGTTTTAAAAATTGCTGTTATTTTGATAAAAAGTATTTCACTTAAAAAAAATGAAAAGGAAAAATTTAATCTTTTTTATTTTTCCATTTATTACATAGTTAATTTGTAAATGAAATGAAATTAGAAAATAATAGTTATTCTTCTTTTTTATTTCTTTTAATTTAATTTCATGTTAAAATTTAATTTTAAAAAAAAAAGTTTAATGAAATAAATGAAGTGACATTTGAATGGATGACAAAAACAGGTGGCAGTGATAATTTCATCGTTTTCTCTGCCTTTTTTTTTTTTTCATTTTAATAGTTTCGTTGTAAAAATAGTAATCAATCAAAAATAGAATCGCATTGTATTGTTGGTGACATAATTTTGCAAAAAAATGTCAATCAATTTTTCATCGTTTTCTCTTTCTCTTTTTTTCTTTAAGAGAGAATCAAAAAGAGAAAGAGAGAGAGAGAGAGAGTTTATAAATTTGTTTAATTTTCAATCATCATTCTGATAATTTCTTCCTTTCTTTCTTGAATAATTTCAATAATTATAATTATTCTCAAAGCTTTTTTTTATTTGAAATTTGTTTCACTTTTTTTTTGTCTCTTTTTTTTTTTTCTTTTATTTTTTTCAACTTTGAAATTATGGTTTCTGTTTCTTTAAATATATATTAAAATAATTTTGCAACAAAAATTCTTTGTTCGATTTTTCTTTCTTTAAATTAATTTTTTCTTTCCAAATGATTTAATTTCTTTTCTTTTCATAATTTTATTGATTAATTCTGTCAATAAAAAATTTCATTTCTTATAATGCATTTTCGTAATGTTTGAAATGAAAAATTTTAGAAATTGAAATTAAATTTATAAATTAAGCATATTTTTTTAATCATATAAATTGCATGCAGCTCCAATCGTTTTTGTGTTTTTTAATTTGAACAATGTATTTAATAAATTTAATTTTTAATTATTACATGGATTCTGGTGAAATTTAATTGAAAAATTTTCATCATTTTCAATTTCACACTATCAAATTTAGTCATTCATCGAGAATGAAATAAAATAAAATATCTTTTGCAATCATTTTAAAATAATGAAATTACTAAATTGAAATATATTTATAATGGATTTATTGATTTCAGTTGCCAAAATTACATACTTAAGAAGGCTTAGTTGTGATAATTAATTTAACAAATTGAAATTGAATTGAATGAAATTCTATAAACCATTGAAAAGCATTGAGTGTTTCATCTATAAATAATGGCAGCCATCCCTTCCTCCTATCTTTCAACACTAATAATGCTAATTAATCAAAGACGGAAATTTGGAACAAAAATTTTAGCTTACAAAATTGTAAACTAATTAATTATTACTAACAATTGAAATTATTTCATTCCTAAAATTAAATTTTGCATCAATTCATTTTCCTGATGATAATTATATAAAAATTTAATAATAATAATAAATCATTTTAATCTAAATTTCATTTGAATTAAGGTTCAATTAACTTTATTTAATCCAGAACTTATTAGTTGATTTATGAGATTATTATTGTTGTCATTATTATTATTATTATTATTATTATTATTATTATTATTATTATTATTATTATTATTATTATTATTATTATTATTATTATTATTATTATTATTATTATTATTATTATTATCATTATTATTATTATTGTTGTTGTTGTTACCACATCCTTACCACTATTATTATTTAATTAAAAAATTTTTATTATTAATTTGTATATATATACATTTTCAACCGATAACTGATATTATATTGATTCAGCTAAGAATAATTGTTTGTAAATAATTCATTTAAAAAAGAAAACAAATTTTCATAAAAAAACAAAACTAATTAAAAAATCAAAAAAAAGGCGGAAAATAAAATCACAATATTTTTTCCTAAATATAAATAATAATTGAATTAAATGAAAATTTTGCACAATATTTATATGCGAAACAATTTTAGCAATTATTTTGTGTAAACAAAATGATAATAAAAAAAACAAATTATCGGCGAGAAAACAAATACTATTTAAGTTTACTAACTTAAAAAAAATAAAAAATGAAAAATATTGTAAACAAAAGAAAATTAATAATAAAAAATAAATAAAATGAAAATTTAAAAAATAAAAAACAAATAAAAAAAACGGAAGGCAAACGTAAAATATTTGCAAAAGAACACAATTTTTTTAATATTTTCCGAATTTTTCCATTCCTTTTTTAATTAATTATAGTAAAGCTTTTAGTTTGATTTTTAATAAAAATTAATTTTTTTGTAAAATAAAATCTTAAACTGAAAGCAAATTTTTTTTTTCTGTTGTAAAATAAACATTTTATTTTTGTTTTCTATTTATTAATAATAATAATTATTATATAAAGTTGTTCTGTATAAAATTTTATCTTTTTTTTAAAGTTATTTTTAGGCAGATCGGTTTAAATTTTTTCGCCCTAAAATTGATAAATTATGGTTGCATATATATTTATGTAAATTGCATGAATTTTAATTAGTAAATGTATTTGTTTATGATTTTGTCATTAATGTTTACTAATTTAAATAAAAGATTAAATGGATTATTGGTTGGAATATTTTGATAAATTATTAGCTAAATAAAAGTTGAAATTATCGGACCGACCATTGCTTAAAAGAATTTGGACATTCTGCTAAACATTAACAAAATTAATGAGTTAAAATTATCAAATAATATTTATTTAGATAATTTTAGACGAGAATGAAAATGCCAAGATAAATGAGAGATTTTATTTGAAATAAATTTTCTTTCAACAAATGTCCACCAACATTTTTTTGTTTTAATTTTCAATGATATTTTCTTAATATTTCAAACATTTAATGAAAAAAAATGATTTTTTTTTATTTCAAATACTATTTGTAGAAATTTTTATTTTAAATACTATTTATAGACGATAATTTTATTTATGAAAAACCATTCATATTACCTATTTTTAAAGTATAAATTTATCAATTCTTATCTTTTAACTGATAATTTATTGTGTTAATTTCATTTTATTGTCAATTTCTTTTTTTTTTTAACAAAAATGAAAGAAATGATTTTCTATTTTTGAACTGGTCAGCTGCTAGGATTAAAATTTATTTAAAATTTCTTACCATGAAATTCGGAAAAAAAGATGGGTAGGAACAGCGGGCAAAAGATGACAGCGGTTAGTACATAAAGTAAAATCCCTTCAACCACTGATAATCACCAGCTGTGCTACTGGTGACATTTCATCCCGCATAAATTTTCAAATCTTAAAATTCGTTTTTAAATTTCCCCCCCCCCCCCCCCAAAAAAAAAAAAAAAAAAATGGACAAAATTATTCTTTAGTCTAACAATTAACAATAAAATAACTATAAAAATATTTCATTTTCTTTTAAAAATTTGATATAAAAAAAAATTTTTTTTTATTTCAAAATTTTCATTTTCTATCATAAATATAATTTATTGCATAAATATATTACTAAAATTTAAATGCAAAAAAAAAAAGAAAAGAAAAATTGGTAATTGAAAAATGCTGAAAACTTATAAGAAATCAAAAAAAAAATTTTTTAAAAATGAAAAATGAACAAAAATCATTTTATTTATTTCCAAAATTTATGTATATATGGGACAAGTATTATTACTTTTTTTATTGTTTTATTTATAGCTTTACAAAAAAAATTAAATTAAAATAAAATGAAAAATAAATTCATTATTTCTTAATCATTTATTTTATTACTTTCTATTAATAATAAATAAATTAGCTAATATTAAACTTTGCAAGAAAATTTTTTGTATAAATTAATCAAATTTTCTATTTTAGTAATTTTTTTTTTCTATTAAATTTTTAATTGACTAATTTAGTACAATGTTAATTTGACTTTGATCTTTGTTCAAAAACAAGAAGAAATCTTTCTTCTTTCATTTTTTTAGCTTAACAATAATTTCTTAAAAATTTCCTCTTCCTCTTTCATTCCTCCTTCATTCCTTCCCTCTTCCTCTTTCATTCCTCCTTCATTCCTTCCCTCTTCCTCTTTCATTCCTCCTTCATTCCTTCCCTCTTCCTCTTTCATTCCTCCTTCATTCCTTCCCTCTTCCTCTTTCATTCCTCCTTCATTCCTTCCCCCTTCCTCTTTCATTCCTCCTTCATTCCTTCCCTCTTCCTCTTTCATTCCTCCTTCATTCCTTCCCTCTTCCTCTTTCATTCCTCCTTCATTCCTTCCCTCTTCCTCTTTCATTCCTCCTTCATTCCTTCCCTCTTCCTCTTTCATTCCTCCTTCATTCCTTCCCTCTTCCTCTTTCATTCCTCCTTCATTCCTTCCCTCTTCCTCTTTCATTCCTCCTTCATTCCTTCCCTCTTCCTCTTTCATTCCTCCTTCATTCCTTCCCCCTTCCTCTTTCATCTCTCTTCTTCCCATTTGCATTAAAATGGACTTGTTAGGGACTGATGAAGCTTATATCATCGCCATTTCCTGCGAATATAATTTTTTTCACACTACCAATACCGCCACTATTTGCATTAACAAACCGCCACAACCTGTATTACCAACACCGCCACTACCTGCATTACCAACACCGCCACTACCTGCATTACCAACACCGCCACTACCTGCATTACCAACACCGCCACTATCATTAGCACATTCATTATATTCGTACTTATATCGCTAACAAACAGATGAGCCATTCCTTCATTTTAATAAAAATGCCAATTTGCTTTTTGCCAATTTGTTCGTTCCATCATATTTTCTTCCTTTCATTTCTTTCTCAAAAATCCTTTTTCATTCATTTACTCATTCATTTTTTTTTATTCCATCTTATCTTATTTATTTCTATTTGTACTACTATGTTTAACAAATAAACTTTTAACAAATTAAACTAACATGCAGCAATTATCATCAATGATTCAACTGTTTATCATTTCGTTTTGTTTTGTTGAAAAAAAGGAACAAAAAAAGCTTTTAGAATTATTTTTGAAAATTTCCATTTGTCACAAAGATTTAAAAAGCATCGAAAGATACTCAAAGCTCAAATGTAAATCAATTACGAATATGAAATAGACTAAATGGGATGAATATTCTCGGATGTATTCTCTTCTTCAGTTTATTTAATTTCCACTTTTTTTTTTCTTTTAAAGCAATTTTTGCTTTTTTCTTAATTTTTGCTTTTCTTAACAAAAAAATTTTCTGATTAATTTCATTTCAAATATTAGCCATTAAATTTCTTAAAAAAAAAAGAACACAAAATATTTCAAAAAATTTATGTTAGAATTAAAATTTTCCTTTTCTCACTAATTTTGTTTCAATTGCACAAAATATTTCAAAAAAAAAAAAAAAATTGAGTTAAAATTGAAATTTTCTTTTTCTATTTTTTTTTTTTTGTCGAAAAAATAATTAAAAAAAATAAATAAATTGATTTTTTTTTATATGTTTATTTTAATTATTATAATTAAATTATTTTTTTCCATGAAAGCAAATAAATTAATTCTCTTAAATATTTTACAGAGAAAAAAAACTTTTTTTTTTTTTGAAAATATTTATGAAAAACGAATAATATTTCCAATTAATTTAATAATCATTTATAAACGAATAATAATTGAAATAAAATTAATTTCCACCCAAATTTATTTTTCTGTTTCATTCAAAAAAATTCTTGTTATTTGTAATATTTTTTGTCACTTACTTCTATGTTAATCTTTCACGTAACTTCACGTTAACTTCTTATTCAATTACGTAACATTACGTAAAACAGAAATAATTATATGAAATATTTATTAATGAACTAATAGTATTTTCAATTAATTTAATTGTCATTTGTGTGAATGTAATTAATGATAATGATAATCATAATAATAATAATAATAATAATAATAATAATAATAATAATAAACTATAAATTATTTTTCTGATTAAGTAAAAAGTTTCCATCGAAATGGAAATTCATTAAAAGTTAAAATTATTTTTGAAATTTTTCAATCGCTTTGAATACTAATACTTACTTTTACTTTTTCTCAATCTATCAAATTCTTATCAAAATAATCATATCAATTTAGCATGTTATCAATTTTTATTCTGTAAATAAGTAACACAATAATATTTGTAATAAGAAGAAAGAACGAAGGAAAAAAAATGAAAAAAATCGTAAATTTTTAATTCAATTTTAATTCTTTTACTTAAAAATAAAAATTATCAAATATTAGCTATTATTAATATTCTAATAAACATTTCTTTTCTTTTTAATTTGATATATTTCAAACATAATAAAAACTTTAATTTATTTATAAGTAACTTTTTTTTTAAAAAAAATTAAACATTTTTCATATCATTATTAGTAATTTTTTTTTCTTTTTTTTTGCATTAATAAGATTAAATTAACAAATTTAGAAAAAATAAGTTGTTATTTTCTTTTACACATTAATTAACATTAATATTTTAATACTAATTTAAACTACTCATTAATTAATAATAATTAATAAAGAATTAAAATTGAATTAAAAATTTACGATTTTTTTCGTTTTTTTTTTTCTCTCTGCTATTTAGTAATAATAATTTTTAAAATTCAAAAAATTACTATCAGTGATGAATTTTAAAATATTCAAAAATTCTATATTAGTAAATTTTAAATTTTCAAAAATCTATATTAATAATAATTTTTAAAAAAACTTTTTTTTAAAAAAAAAAAAAAACAAAGAGAATTTTTCTCCTCTTTGTTAACAGAAAGGGAGAGGGAGAGGGAGAGAGATATATAGAAAATTCATGAAAGGCTAAGATAATTGCGCCAAGAATTAAATGAGATGGAAAGAAGGAAGGAATGATACTTATCGATATTTTATCATAAAAAAAAAGATGAGATGGTCAATTGGTCAATTGGTCAATTTGTGAATTTGGTATTAAAAAGCATTTCAAAATGAATGTGTTAACTTTTTTTTTTTTTTTTTTACAAAGAAAATAAATAAAAGAAGTTGTTAATTCATTTTTTTCCTCTTTCTTTCTCTCTCTCTCTCTCTCTCTCTCTCTCTCTTCCAATTTCTTTTTTCCCTCCTTTTTCCCTTGTTATTCCATTTGATAGAATTTTTCATGCAATCTTATTTATTTTCAAAAAAAAAAAAACAAATTTAAAAACTTTATCTTTTGAATTCAATATATTTTCATAATTTTAGCTTCAAATTTGCTTCAGTAATTTCCATTTTATATTTAAATTTTTTTGTTTGTTTCATTTCATTTTAATTAATTAATTAATTATGTTTTAAACTTCATTTTTTGATTTTTTATGAATATTTTATTTGTTTAATTTCCCTCTTTTCATTTGTTTTTTGCTTCATTCTCATTTATTTACAAAAAAAAAAAGAGGAAAAACAAACAAACAAACAAACAAATTAAGTGAAATATTTTATTTATTTTGTTGCCTGGGAAAAAATATTTTTTTTATAAAATCAAAATAAGAACAAAAAAGAGAAAAAATTGAGAAAGTAAATAAACAATGAAAATAAAAAAAGAAAAAATAGAGAGAAGGAGAAAAAATAAAATAGTAAAAATTATAAAATAGAAAGAGGAAATAAATATGAATGATTTGAGGGAGTTCATTTTTTTTTTTTTGATAAAAATTGGACAAGAATAAGGGTAAGGGTAGGGTAAAGAGTAGGGGTAAAGGGTAGGGTAAAGGGTCGGGTAACTAAAATATGGATAAAAGTAATAGAAGAACGACTACTTACTATTTTCTCTAATTTACAATTTATGATACCATTCAGTAATTATAGTTTAGTGTAGTACTGTGCTTCTTCTCATATTGCTGCTGTTTTAATTTTTCTTAATGCTCTGTTTATTGAATTCCTTTGATGATACCGACAAAACGATTTCTTTTTTTCTTTTTTTTTGTGTTCTTGAATATTTTACATAGCAAATTTTCAAATGATCTTATTCATTTTTCTTTTTTTTGCATTTAAAAATTTTTAATTTGAAAAAATTTTTCAAATGATTTTATCTTTTTTTCCTCATTTTTTTTTTTTTTTTTGCATTTATGAATCACTCAAAAATATACTTTGTATTGGAAAAGAATAAATAATTTTAAAAGATATAAAATTTGAAATTAAGCAATTAATTGATAGAAATATTACTATTTTATCATTTACTACAATTATTCATTTATGAATGAAAAGAAAAAACAAACAAAAATACTTTTTAAATTAAAAAAAATTTTTTTTTCAACTAAAATGGTTGAAATTTTTACTAGCATTATTCGAAATGAAATACTAAAATACTAAAATAGATGGAAATTCTATTAGAAATAATAATTAAAGAGAGGGAAATTTGTAAATGAAAAAATAATTGCTATAATTATTATTGTTTTCCTTTTTTTTTAAATTAATTGCTTATGAAATATTTTTTATACTTAATTAACAAAAAAAAAAAAAAAAATTGTTAAAATTTTTACTTAAATTTTCACAATTTTTTTACATTAATTATGGCTTTAACGATTATTACCACAGACAAAGAGAGAGGGAGAGAGAGAGAGAGAAAGAGAGAGAGAAAAGACGAATTATTATGTAATTTAAATTTTATGGTATGAAAATAAAATTTTAATTTTTAGATGCATTAAATGATGTGAATATTATTGGCAATTTATGATGAATAAACATTCAATTCGATTAATTCGTAATAGCTTTGAATTACCAATGAAAATTATGCTTGAATTAATTTCATGGAGTAAAAATAATTCACAAATAACAAATGAAAATCTTAGTTTCATTGAAAAAATGCCAAATGAATTATTGGTGAAAATTTTTCAATACTGTGATGATGATGATTTTGCAAATTTACGTTTGCAATGTACTCGATTTGATCAGGTTAGTTAATTTTATTTTAATTAAACAAAAAGAAATTTTAAATTAATTAGAAAATTTTTTGAAAATGTTTATATAAAATCAAAATTTATAATTATAATGCTTACATATTATGTAAAAAATTTGGTATAATTAATTTTATATAAGTTTTTTTTCTCTTCAAAAACTTTTTTTTTAATATTCTTTTATTTTATTACAATTATAAATTATCTTTCAAATAAAAAAAAAACGGAGAAAAAAAAATGGAAAAATGAAAAATTTCTGAAATTTGATTTTGTCTTTCTTTTTCTTTTCTTTTTTTTTTTTTTTTTGCTTTATGAATTTTATTAATTCTGATTTGATTTATATGAATTTTATAAATTCCATTGGGTACGTTTTATTTTGATGCTTTTTTGTTTGTTTGTTGATAATTCTAAAATTATATTTGAAATTTGATTATTTTAGCTGATAACAACATGCGGTATTTTATTAGCAAAATGTTATCGTCAACGTTTGGTGACATGTTTGACAATAACGTATAATACAACAAATGATACATACGTTTTGGCAACGTTTAAAAAAAATCATTCAAATAAGAAAAATTCAATTGAAGTTACACGTACGGACGTTTTACGTGGACGCTATCATAATCTTAGGTAAATTGAGAAAATTAATTTTTCTTTTTAAATTATAAAAAAAAAACTTTCATTCATGTATCAATCATTAGATAATAATATTACTATCATCTCAATTTTTTTAAAAAAAAAAGAAAAAAAATTATGTTTGATTTGTAAGTAATATTTTCACTAATTAATCTATAATATAAATTTAATAATAGTAAAGTTAATTTCTGATTATTTAATTTAAAAAAAATTCATGGAAGTAATATTTTATCATTCATGGTATTGAAGTTATAAAAAGTTATAAAATGCACTTAAATGATTCAAATTTAAAATTAAATAATTTAAAACAGACGAAAAATTCTTCGAATTAATAATTTTATGTGCAAAATATATGTATATTACAAAATACAATGCAAACAATATTTTATCTAATTGAAATTATTTTATGAATTAATTAATTAAATTATCAAACATTTTTAATTGATAATTTTTTTTCTTTTTTGGAAAAAAATTTCTAAAAATTTATTCAAATATTAATCTTACATTTTCCTCTTTGTTTCATTTTTGCAGGTATTGCTTCCGTCGATTTCGTATTCTAGGCTTACAATTTTCCAATCTTTTTCTTTGTTCACGTACGCTACGTTATTTTTGTGATTTATTATCGTGTTGCTTGACCTTTGAACCTAAAACACTTCGTTTATGTGATTGTTATGTAGCTGATTTACAACACGATGCATTAATGCGCTTAATGAATTTATGCTCCAAATATCTTATCGTTTTATCTTTTATAGTAAGTTTTTCCCTTTTCCTTTTTTTTTTTTTTTTTTTTTTTTTTTTTGATCAAAAATTTAAATATTATAAATTTTAATAAAATGAATTGAGTAAATATTGGAATAAATTAAAATAATATAACGGAAAATTTGAATCATTTATCAATCAAATTTGTTTCGCAAAAATTAAATTAATTTCATTTTTAATTCAAGACTTTAGCAGTTATTTTTAAAATCAAAGGAGAAAATTTTGTTTTGTTTTTTTTTTTTTTGTAATTTTCAAGAAAAAAAAAAAAAGGTAAACTAATTTCTAAATTAAATTTAATTAATAAAAATTATTTTTTCTTCCTTTTCTCAATTCATTTCATTACTAATTCTCGATTAATTCACATTATACAAACTTTCAAAATATTTGTGTGTATGATAGAATTTTTCTACATTTTTACAAAAATTGAAAAAAATTTTTTTTTTTTTTTTTGAAAATAGAAATAGGATTTATAACTTTAAAAAAAATCAAAATATCCAAACTATATTGAGGTTATAGTTAAGTTTTGTTGCTAATATAAATAAATTTTAACAAATATTACTACTATCATATATGATATAGTGCTATAATCATGCTAATAAAATTTAATTTAATCTAATTTAATTAATTTTAATAAAACATTTGCAGAATTTAGCTGGCGTTCGACCAACATTATTTCAAGATGATTTATTTCAAACAATTAATCGTAAAACATTATATGTTTTAATGATTCAATCTATTGATTTTCATATTTCAATACCAATCACTGATCAACAACTTTCTCTCAGTGATACAATCTTTCGCTATTTGCCAAATTCTATGCGTAAAATTAAACTTGAAAAATGTCAAAATATTACCGCCGATGGAATTTGTGATTATATTGAAGTTTGTTACTAATAACTCTCTCTCTCCCTCTCTTTCTCTTCCTCTCCCTCCCTCTCTCTCCCTCTCCCTCTTCTTATTCCTTTTCTCTTTTTTGCTATAGTAAAATTTGCACAAAAATTTTTTCTAAAATTTTATGTTTAATTAATTATTTTAGAATAAGCAAAAATATTCAAAAAAAGAAAGAAAAAATTCTTTCAATTATTCCCATTCTTTTATTTATCTAAAAATAAAAAATCGAAAATTTTTTGAAAAAAAAAAACAAAATAAAAATAAAAAAAAAAAGAATAAATAAAAATAAATTTATATAATTAAATTTTCTTTTTTTTTTTTTAGCGTTATTTTAATACTAATGAAAATACTACGAAAATTCATCATCGTTCAACGGAAATGGTTTTCCGGCAGTGCAAACAGTTAACAACTGTAGCATTTGAGAGAGTTGCACAACTCCGGAATATCTGTATTGATGGACAGGATCCGGTTGGTGAGTATATTATGAATTGGGTGAAACGACGACAGTATCATTTACGACATACCAATCAGAAAAAAGTAATAATAATATTTTTATTTATTAAATTTTGTCTTTTTTTATTTTGTTTAAATCAACTATTAAATTATTTAAATTTTTCATATGCTTTTTAAATTTTGATATAAAATTTAAATAAATTTTCTATACTAACTTTAATAATACTTTATTGATAAGTAATGATAAAGCATACTTCTTTTTTATTTTATTACAAAATTACTTAATTTTTTTCTTGTCTTAAACCGATTTTTGTTTTCTTCTATTTCTTTTTAAATTTTCATATAAATTTTAAATGAATTATTTGCACTTATTCTGATAATATTTAATTGATAAGAAATGATAAAGCTTCTTTTCCTTTTCTTATTTTATTGTAATCTAAAAATTATTTCATTTTTTTTTTTTTTTTATTTTATACTAATTTTTGTTTTTTCTTTTATTTTCTGTTCAAATAAAACAAAAATAATTTGCAAATTTTAGTATAGATTAATTTTTTATTTTATTTTTTTTTTATTTTATTAAATTAACAATATGCAACAATTTATAATAATTTTATTATTTTTCTCATTCATAATTTTTTTTTTTTTTAAATATTCTGCATTAAATAAAAAAATAATAACACATTTAATTTTAAACTATTAATTAATTAACTGCAAAAATAAACAAAACAAAACGAATTTTTAATATTAAATGAATTTTTCACATATATTTTGATATTATTTAACAATATATAACAATTTTTTTCTTTATTCAAATAAAACTAAAATAATTTGCAAAAATTTAGCTGACGAAAAAACTAAAATTAAACATAATATCATCAATTAGCAAGAAAACTAAAAAAAATTTTTAACAATATTTGAAGCATTTTTTTAATTCATTAAATTTAATGTACATTTTTCGAATTTATTTGATTTAGTGCAATTAATTTCTTAAATTTTATGCTTATAACTTTTTTTATTTATTAAACTTGGTGCTTAATTTTTTTTTTTAATCCATCAAATGTAATCCATAATTTTTTTAATTTATTAAATTTAATGCAATTATTTAATTTAATGCACGATTTTTTTTTTAAATTCATTAAATTTAATTTATAATTTCTAAATTTATGGTGTAATATTTTTAATTTATTAAATTTAATGCATAATTTTTCTTAAATTTATTAAAACTGATGCGATTAATCAATTAAATTTAATTTATTATGTAATATTTTTAATTTATAAAATTTAATGCATACTTCTTTTCTTCTTTTTATAGTTAATTGCTATTGAAATTGACAGTCATCAAATGATCAAACGAAATGATTTGTCAACATCGATTACAATTGAGGAATTAAATCGAAATTCATTTCATTCTGTCATACCATTTCTAAGCATCTGTCACCTTCATTCATCAGCCACCGAACAACTTCTAATGCCAGCGATCAATTCGGCACGAATGAATCAAAAATGGAAATGTGAACAGGATTGTATGATAACCGGAAAAACGGAAAAGCATTTTTCAAAAATGACCGATCAATCAGGAGGAATTTTTATGCAACCAATTATTAAAACAGCTAATATTATTCGTCGAATAAATTATGCAAATCATATTCCTAATCGTTTTTCATTTCCAACAATGTTTGATTAATTCTTCTTTTTTATTTGATTTTATTAATTTTAAAAAAGTGAAATTTTCAATTTTTTTTTGCTTCCCTAATTTTAATGTTTTAATTTTTATTTTTTCTTTTTTTGTAAATTATCAATATTTTATATTTGTAATATGTTTTATTTATTTTAAATGTCATCTGTACATTCATTTATTCTTGATCTCATCAATTATATTTCTATTTTTTTTATTCAATTTTTTTTTAAACTTATTTTTTACTTTCCTCTGTTCTGCTTATTTTATTTTTTAAGCTTACTCTCTCTCCTTCTCTCTTTTTTATCAATTTGATAAAATGATTAATAAGTTTTGAAATTTCGAATTTTAATTCAAAGATTTGTATAATTGTTTTTTTTTCACTTTCTTACTTATCGTTTTACTATTTAACAAAAATAATAAAATTGCAATTAATTTTTCAAATTCATTACTTTCTATCATTTTATTATGTTTAATAAAGAATTAAATTTATTATATTTCACAATGAAGAAAAAATAAAATAAAAATTTCTCTCTTCTAATTAAGAAACTAAAAGATCAGAAAGCAAAACAAGAAAACAAAAAAAAAAAAATTGAAGAGAAAAATAGTTTTACTTAAAGAATTAAACTTTCAAAAATGATAAATGATTGTAACAATTTATTGATCCAAAACAACGAGTAGAATTTAAAAAAAAAATTTCATAGATTAGAATAATTCCTTTGGATTTAAATATCATTTCATATAAATCTTCCATATCAATCACTGATAAATCCCGCGATACCGCGGTGAATGCATTCACTTATATTTTTATGGTAATAAAAAAAAAGAAAAATTACTTATTTTTATAATTACATAAAATAAATATACATGTATCTAGGCATTGTTTACATTGTTTATGACAAAATGAATAAATCAAAAATTAAAATATTTTTGCGATTTAAAATTATTTCGAAATTTTGTTAAATTTAAATTTAAACTTTGTTAAATACTATTATTGATATGATTATAAATGATTATAAAATTCTTTTTTTACAAATTATTTAACAGTGAGAAAAATTATTCTAATAAATGTTGAAATTAAATTTTTTTTTTAAATTCAATTGATTTAAAACACAAGAAAAAGAGGTAGTATTACTAATATTATGACTAATATACTGATAAAATTTTATTGATATTTTAAAATATTACCACCAAGTAATAATATATACGTTTGCATGTCATCAAAAAGTTAAATTTTGAAACCATTTGCGAAGTATTTTTTTAGCTGAAAAATAAACAGAAGTAAGTAAATTTTAAAAAGTTATACAAAACTTTTATATGACATATTTATATCATTTTTCAAATACTTCATTAACAAATTTTAATCAAAATTAGATCTTCAAATATTAATACTGAAATTTTGAAATACTTTAATTTGTGATACAAATAAAGTTAAAATGTTGGAATATCGTGATTGATAATTATTGTAAGAGATAATAACAATGTAACGGGATAATCATGATTATCTTCCCCCCCCAAAAAAAAAAAAAAAATTATTTTGAATTCCTATAAAATTTATGATTTCTCTTTCATTTTTTTCTTAAATTCTGTTTTAGTTCTATTTTTTTCTGAAACATTTATAATTTTTTATTTACGATTTTTTTTTTTTTTTTTTTTTTTTTTGTGATTCATATGAAAATTTCAAATTATATTATTTTTTTAAATTATATTTTTTTAATTTTTTTTTAAATTAATCCCTTAAAATTATCTATTATAACTGCTAATGATTTTCCATGTGAAAAAATTAAAAAATGTAACCTATAACTATTACAACATTGCTCTCAAAATTTGCATATATTAATAGAAATTATGGTCAATACTTGCTTAATAGTTCATTTTGACTCCGGAAAACCGGAATTAATTTTATCGCTTTATCAGTATAATTGTCAACAATGATTTTTCATGACATATTTATAACAACAAACTTTATTTTCATGCTAACAATTTTATAGCATCAAATCATTAATGAAAAAAAAACAAATCATGAATATGTATTTATTATAATGAAAAACTATCATGATTTTTTTTTTCATAACATCAGTCGAAATAATTGTTTACATTTCGAGAGTAAAACTTTTTCTAAAATTCTAAATATCCTTTTTAAATGACTAATTATAATTATTACTTATCATGATTATTACTACTCGTACTGTTATTATTATTATCATTATAACTTTAATTATAATTACTCTCTTATCCTGCCCTCTCTCTTTCGCTCCCTCCCTCTTTACCTCTTACGATCTCTTTCTCTCCTCCCTCTTTCCCTCTTATGATTTCTTTCCCTTCCTCGTCCTATTATTATTGCCATTATCACTTCTATACCATTATCATCATTATCATTATTATTATCCTTATCACTGTAAATCCATTATTATTATCACCTTTCCTATTATCATTATTGTCGTTATCACCATTGTTATTACTACATAATATTGTTATCATTATTATTACTGTCGGATTATTGTTAACATTATTATTACTATTATTATCAATATAATTAACATTAGTATTATCACTACTGCTATCATCATTATTGTTGCTATTATTACCACACTATTATTATTATCATTATCATTATTGTTTTCATTATTGTTGCTACAAGCAAAATTATTAAACAAAACAAACTGTAAATAAAATCAGGGATAAAATAAATAAATAAACAAAATCACGCAGAAGAAATAAATTAAAAAAATAAATAAAAATCAGGGAGAAAAATAAAAGAGATAAAATTGCAGAAAAAAAAAATTAAGAGAAAAAGAAATTATGCATTAAACTACAATTACTGAGGCAAAAAATAAATAAAAGAGGTATTTTACAAGGTAAGAAATGAAATTTTTAATTGTCATAAAAACAAAAATAAATAAATAAATAAATTCACATGAAATCAGGATGAACATAATAATAAAACAGAAAAAACTTAAATGATGTAATTTAAATGAAATACAAGGGATATACACTTAAAACTATATTTGATTTTGCATAATAGTAAAAAAAAAATGGAAGTAAATTTTACGAATTAAGAATGTAAGTTTGATTAAATAATTAATTGATTAAAACAAAATCTATAAATAAGATCATAACTCTTCTTCTTCATTTTAGATTTAATTAAACAACAAAATGATTTCAGTTGTTTCAAATGAGTATATTAATCAAATTAGCTAGTATATTTATCAGCAATCTTTTTTTTTTCTCTTTTCTTGTTTCTTTAAAACTCAAATTACTGACAAATTAGGAATATTAAATTAATTTTATTTTAAAATTTATATTTTAGAATTTATTTTTTTTTAAATGTATATGCATGTATGATTGTATCTTTTTGTTTATTTGTTTATTTGTATAGTAAAAATTAAAATGCTGTAATTAAAAAATTAGTCAAATGTTTTACAATAAATTTTTATTTTCAAAAGATATTTACAGCAATCCTGGAAGATATTTTTCTGCAATTAAAATTTCTCCAAGACAAAATGAATAACCAGAAAAAAGACTGTAATAACCAATCGATTCATTATTAACATCTTGTTGAATATCATTCTGAAATATAATTTTTTCATATAATTTCCTAGAAAAGTTTAAAACTTTTTATTTATTTCAATAAAATTGTTAAATGAGTAATGATTAAATTAACAAAAAAAAATCATTTGCAATAGATTAATCAATATTAATTATTCAGTTAATAATCAGTATAAATTACATTTCTATATTTTCAATTCATGGAACTATAATTTTATTGGATCTTTTTTTTCTTTTGGAATTTGTAATTTTTTATTTAAAAAAAAAAAAAAAAAAAAAACAAACCAGCAAAAAGTGGGAGAGAAATTGAGTGATAAAAATAATAGTAATAGTTAAAATGGATGTAAATAATATGAAAAATTAAACATTTATAAGGAAATTAAAACTTTCAAAAGTACTTTTTATATGAAAATGAAAGTTAAATTTTTAACAGTACTTTTTATATGAAACTGAAATTAAAATTTTAAATAGTACTTTTTGTGTTAACAATTGATTATCATCTGTAAATGAAAGTGGTCCATATGGTGGTGTTTCAGGTGGTGATGGTAATATCATCGATAAATCAGCTAGATTAACTGCAAAGAAAGATTAAAAAACAAAAAATGAAAAATTCTTTTTTCTTTTAAAGTTTTGAAAAGTTTTAGTAAAAGTAAATAAAAAAAAAATTAATCATAAAATATTAAATTCTTTTTTTTTTCTTGACAAAAAAACAGAGAACAAACTAAAGAAATCCGTATCGGTATGATAATAACTCTTGGATTCAAATGTATCATCACTACTGAGAGAACAATGAAGCTGAAATTTACTTAAACTTATTACTCTAAAAATTTTTAAACTAATCATCTTATCATTATTTATTTTGATTAAATTAATTATGTTTACCAGTAGAATGAAAGAAAAGAAAAATTATTTTTTTTATTAAGTTTTCTAGGAAATATATTACAAAATAATGCAAAATATAATACTACAAATATTCATATACAATAAGTATTATTGCAGTTTCTTTTCTTTTTAAATTATCATTAAAATATAATTTAATACATATTTTGAATTATATTGTAAAAATTTTCATAATTTTACAAAATGTTTTTTCTTTTCTCTTCTTTTTTTCTTGCTATTATTATCATTTTTTAAATTTTAATTCTTTAATTCTTAATTGATAGCTTACCGAATTTTGTAACTCCTCAAATGGTAGAGAAATGGTTGAAGTATTTGTTGAAATATCCACTGAATTAAGTTGTGGACGAGTTTGTAAAGTATTAAATTTTTGTATTTGTTGTAAATCAGTAAATGGTTCACGTAATGTTCGTATGCCATTTTCATCGATATCTTCAGCTTTAGGAAACTGAAAAACAAACAAACAAACAAATAAAATAAATATTTCCGCTGAAAAAGAGAAATTTCACAAAATATTTGTTATTTTATAAATCATAAGTGTTGTAGGAAATAATATTTCATCAAACTCAGAATTTATAAATTAAACAATTTATATTGATAAATCAATCAGCAATTTAGTAATAAAAATAAATTTCAAAAAATTATTTTTATTTGTTTTTCAATTGTAAATTTATGTTTTCATTATAGATTGCTTTTTTCCATGGTATCATTTCATAATTTTTTAGTTTTTTTCTTTTTATTTTATAAAAAAACATTTCATAAAATTTTGAGTAAAAGATTATTCAGCAAATTTTAAATGGAAATTTTATTTTTTTAATTTTAAAATTAGCATAAAAAAATTAATATTTAAAATAAGAAAAAAGAACGAATAGTGTAAAAGCAAAAAAAAAAATAAGAAATATTAAAATTTACTTGACTTTGACTGAATACAAAATCATTATTCGTCTGCTTCATTACTGTAATTTCTGCATATGAAATTTTTCCATTGAATTTTTTCGAAATAAATGATTTTCTTTCTGTAACAACCGGTTTCGTTCCTGTATATCCTTTAAAAAAATAAAATAAAATAAATAAATAATAAACAATAAAAATAGGATAGCTCTAAAAATATTTAAAATACTTTTCGTTTCTTTTTTTTCAACAAAAAAAGAAAACTTTTATACCAAAAATATAGAAATATTAGGTCATATGTATATAATAAGTCTTTAAAATTAAAAATTTATAAAAATTAATGAACAATTTGTCATTAGTACTTAACAATTATAAATAAAGAATTCTTTTTTTTTTCATCATTGATTAGAAAAAAAGAAAACAAAAACAAAAATAAAAAAGAAATTAAGCTATAAATTCTGGTGAATTAGATAGAAATGTATTCAATTTGTAATTGAAAATGTAATTTATAATTTAAAAATTCTCATTTTACAATTTATTTCAAAATTCGACTTCTTATCAATTTTTTCTTCTTATCATTAAATTACTTATAATAATGATAAAAACACAATGAACCTACCGTATTCACTTTTTGTATTTCTTATTTCTGGATCACATTTCGACTTATGAATTGATGTTGATCGATGCTAATGTAACAAAATATATACATTTGTAGAGAGAGAGAGAGAGAAAGAGAAAGAGAAAGAAAGAAAAAATAAAATGAAATAAAATGTGACAATAAATTAACAATTGTTAGAAAAAAATATCAGATGGAAAAAAATTTTTTTTTAATTTTATAAATAAATAAAACAACTAAAAAAAAGCTTTAAATCATAGTAAAACAAAAACAAAAAAAGATCTAAAATTAAATGTTTAAAATAATAATAAAGTTATTTGTTGGAAAAAAAAAAAAAAAAACATCGAAGGAGAGATTTTATTTATTTTGATATGTTTTCTTTTTCTTTTTTCCGATATGAAATAAAACAAAATAACAAACCTCGTTATCATTATTATATTTTGATAATGATGATGATACTGAAATAAAGCCATTACTTGGTGATGTTGAACGAAATGAAATGTTACGTTTCTTGCTAAAAAGAATAAAACGATTTCTTATTTTTTAAAAGAATAAATTTATTACAATAAAATATAATTTTAATACTATTATATTAAAAAGAAGAAAAAAGCAAAAAACACTAAGAACTTTTTTTATTTTATACTTTTATAACTTATTAAAAATAATACAAAATTATTTTCTCCTAAAAAAAGTTATTTATTTCATTTAAAAATTATTACATATTTAATTAAAAAATTATTTCTATTTCAGCAATTTGTTATTGTTTATTTTGTTTATTTCTATTTCAATTTGTTATTATTTGTTTATATATTTTGTCTTTTTTGTTTTTGCTTTTTTTTTTCTTTTTTAGCATTTTCTTTATAAAACTTTAATAGATACTAACATCCCAGTTTTGGTACGAATTTTATCATTTTGAACTGTTGCTGCATTTGTTGAACCAAAATTTAATTTTGGAAGATTTTTTCTTCCTTTTTTATTTTTTGGCGTTGTTGTCATTAATTGAGTTGCATTTCGATTTGCTATAAATTATAATAAACATTAATTTAATTTTTTTTTTTAAGCAAATAATTGAAAATTTTTTGATTCATCATTAAAATGTATCAATAAAATGTTTTTATATTTTATCAATAATGCATTATTTATTGTATCCATAAATTATAACCAGAAATGCATATATATTTTTTAAAAGAAATTATTATCATTTATAATTATTTACTGATGACATATATCCTAATTAATCAGCTCTTATGATATGTTCGTAATTAATATTTATGTTTGTAAAAACTTTATCATAAAAAATAGATTCAGAGCAAAAAAAAAAAAAAAAAGAGATAAATAAACTGTGAACTAATTTTAAAACTAAATCTAAATTTTATTTCGCAGAATCCGATTTGATGTATTTCTCAAATGTAAAATGAAAAATGATAAAATGGTATAGTCATGAAATGAAGAGTTTTTGTTTTCCTTTTTAGTAATAATTTTGATGGTACAATAAAAGATGCATTTAGTGAAAATATATAAATTTACATATATATATATAAAAGATTCATATGCAAATTATCTGACCAATAATTTTTATCAAAATTAAAATTCGAAAATTTTTACTCAACCTAAAAATATCGCTGTTTGATCAAGTCGCATAAGTCCTAAACCACAAATACAGCGACATTTTCGTTGAATTAATGATAAACCTTTCTTTTCCCATAAATTAGATCGTCTTTGTGCATCAGTCCAACCACGAGCTGATCCTGAAAATTTTTTAAAACAAAAAAACAAAAAAAAATGCTCCATCTCAGAAAAAAAAAAAAAAAAAAAAAGAATAATAGTAATCTCAACAAATTAATCTATTATTGTTTTTAAATTTTAACTTTTCATACAATAGTTTTTATTATTGTTTCAATTTTTCAAATAATAATTTTTATTATTGTTTCAGCTTTTCAAATAATAATACTTCATTTGATAACTATCATATCTCACCTATATTACTCATAATTTTGACAAGATTATCCTCTAAGGCATGAAAACATTCCAAATGCATCAACTGATCTTGATATATACATTGTTCATTACTGCATTTCATTTTAATACCTTCCTCCAATGAAGATGGCAAAGGAAATCCTGAAATTAATTTAAAAAATCTTTCTCTCTCTCTCTTTCTAGATTACTAATAAATTCAAACAGAAAAAAGTTAAAAGATTAAAGGATAAAAACTAAAATTAGAAGAAAATGATAAAAAATTATGATATACTCATTTATTTAAATCTAGGCTTAATTAGTAAAAAATTTTGACAACTTTTTTAAGAAATATACATCACAAATTTACTTAGCAAATAAATAAATAAGTAAATAAACCAAATAAAGCTAACATAATTTTTATCCTTTCAAGCGATAAATATTCCATTATCAATTAACAAAAAAGGTTAAGAAAAAAAAGGAGTAAATACTATAAAATTATTTAACTAAAAGAAGTAAATAATATAAATTCTACTTAAACAAAAGTAATAAATTAATGAAATATGATAAACAAACCACGTAAGCAACCGGATGATAATGGTATCGGACAACCCGGTTTACGATTTATATCCTTGATAGAATTGATCGAATTTGCTCGCTTCGATGAACCCATCAAAACTACTGCAAAATTTTTCAAAAATTTAAAAAATAAAAAGAAAAAAATCATTTCAAACATTTATAGCAATAATATATTAGTATGAAAATAGGAAAAGTTGAAAGTTTGGCCAAATTTCATATCAAATTTAACATATTAATTATTAAGAATAAATTAAATAAAGTAAATGAATTGATGATATGATTGTTACTTTGATGCAACAAAGTTTTTTTCAAAAAAAAAGTGTAAAAATTTTATTAAAAAAAGATAACACAAATCATTTGTTGCAATAATAATAAATAATAATAATAGTAATATTATATAATAATAATTTTGTAAAATGTATATTGAAATCTTCTAATAGAAACTTTATCATCAAGTTAGCGATATATGACAATTAATTGATACAGTTGAATTTATCTTATTTATTATTATTTTTCATTATTGATAACAGTGAGTTTTATTAATGCTTTTCATTTATTTAAATTTCTACTAATTTAAATTTTAATTTATACAATTTTGATGATAATATTACCGTAAAAAAATAATATATTAACAGTAATGTGAATAAAGTTATTCATTTTAAAATTTTTAAAATTTCATAAATTCTAGAGGAAAAAAAAAAAACGAAGAAAAAATAGTTATTGGAGAAAGTCAAAATTAGTAAAACTGAATAATAGCAAAATTAGTATTAAAAAAGATCTGTCTAAAAGATTTTATAAATCTGAGAAAGAAAGAATTACAGGAAATTTTAATACAATGTTTATTCAAAATTCTTCAAAGATTGATCGTTTTAAGACATATGCAAATTTAATAACCTTTTTCCAAGAAAAGTTATTAAATTATTTTTTTCCAAAAAAAAAAAAAAAAAAAGAAAAATCTTTTCATAAATAATTTTTGCTGAGGAAAAAGAAATTAATTAAATAAAAACTTGAAAAATCTTTCATACAAAACAATAAATCTTCGAAAAAAGAAAAGAAAAAAACAACATCAATCATAGTAACTCATTCATAAGCTTTTTCGAATGTTACATAAAAATCTTATAATTATGCAAATTTTTTCATTTGAAAAAAAAAATGAAAGAAAGAAACATATATGTAACAAAAAGTAAACGAAATAAAAAATGAAAGAAATATATAAGAAAAACAATTTGATAATTTTTCTTTTTTTTTTTTTTCTAGAATATCATTTGGTAAAAATTACTAATAAAGGAATTTAAGACTATTACTTCGTTTTCTCCTTTTTTTTTTTTACATAAACAATTGAAGAATTAATTCTGTCTTATCTAATAATAATAATAACAATAATATAATAATGATAATTAATAATAATAATGTAATGATATTAATAATAATATTAATAACAATAATAATAGTAATAATAATACTTAGAGTACATGCAGCAATTATTATTGTAAATGATAAATTATGCGAACAGACATAAACTACTCCCAAAGAATTAAATTCAACAAAAAATAAAATAAAAAACTCTCAGAAAAAAAAGACTAAAAAAAAGATCCAAAAAATAAAATCCAAAAAAGGAAAAAAAAAAAAGAACACGCGGATATGCTAAAATAGGAAGAGCAGCGCACAGCGCGTTGAACTGCTTTACAGGCAACAAACAATAATTTGGTTCGCTCATAGCTCTTCGTCCCTTCCTCCAATACTTTCCAATGCTTTCTGCTTTCTATCAACCAATTCAAATTCTTTTCAAATTTACGTGCTAATATACACTTACGTACTAATAAATACGTAAATATATTAACGTGATAATATACACTTACGTACTAATATATACGTAAATATATTAACGTGATAATATACACTTACGTACTAATATATACGTAGATATATTAACGTGATAATATACACTTACGTACTAATATATACGTAGATATATTAACGTGATAATATACACTTACGTACTAATATATACGTAAATATATTAACGTGATAATATACACTTACGTACTAATATATACGTAAATATATTAACGTGATAATATACACTTACGTACTAATATATACGTAAATATATTAACGTGATAATATACACTTACGTACTAATATATACGTAAATATATTAACGTGATAATATACACTTACGTACTAATATATACGTAAATATATTAACGTGATAATATACACTTACGTACTAATATATACGTAAATATATTAACGTGATAATATACACTTACGTACTAATATATACGTAAATATATTAACGTGATAATATACACTTACGTACTAATATATACGTAAATATATTAACGTGATAATATACACTTACGTACTAATATATACGTAAATATATTAACGTGATAATATACACTTACGTACTAATATATACGTAAATATATTAACGTGATAATATACACTTACGTATTAATATACACATAAATATATTAACATGCTAATATACACTTACGTATTAATAATATACACTTAATCATTAATATATACTTATGTCTTATTTATAGGTATAAATGAAAACTTAAAATTACATTAATAGTTTATATAAAATGTAAATGAGTTAAGTAATGTTTACAATTACACACATTTTGTACTGTTTACTTCAATAAAAGAAAATACGAGTAGAGGTTACGTTTTTTTTTTCTTTTTTTGTTCCTTCCTAAAAGATTTTTTTTTTCAAAGTTTACACTTTATTTTTGCAATAATTTGAATACATATAAATTTACTGTTTGTAATCACATCTCCTATTTTTTGTTTGAAATCACGTCTACCCAGTTTCATTACGTGTAGCTACGTCGTGTTGCGTGTAATTGCATTTGCCTAATTTTAGAAATGTTTACCTTGATCACGGTTTCTTTTTTTTTTTCATTGTTTTTATTCTGTTACTGATATCATATTTGAAGATAAAGATAACAGTTATCAAACTGCTAGACGTGATTACAGAACATGTTTACATAAAGTACGTACGTGTTATTTAATTTAACTTACTTATTTAGTTATTTAATTTATTACTTAGTGAAATTTATTCTAGATCTTAACATCTTGATTCATATCAAAATTGATAAGTTATTTTTATTCATAGCCACGTCTTTTTCACTCTCTCAAACTTTAAAATATGTCTAGTCGCTTTACTAAAGAAAATATTACAAATATAATTTTCAAAAATTTTGATATATTTAATCATACTATAATAAGTGAATGCATAATTAGTATTAACGTAAAAAAACGTGAAAATTATACGTACCTAATCAATCAAAATTTATACTTTTTATCTGTAATATTATACAATCTACTCATCCTAAATCAATATTATCTCATTTCTTTTTTTTAGCATTTATTAAATTTCCCAATAATTAAACATTAAATTATTTCCATGTAATTCAAATAATTTTCATTCATTACTAATTTAATTATTTGCTAATTATTTTTTCAAGGTTTACACCAATTTAATGCAATTTATTCAATTGCTTGAAATCTTTAAAATATTCCTCCCATAAAAGCATTATACTTAATTCTTCAATTACTACCAATTTAAATTGAAATTGAATAAAAAGATCGACCAATTTATTAATTCAGATTAATATTTATAAAATAACTGATCAATCAATTAATTCAAGTTAAAATTTTTTTACAAAAGATAAATTTTAAAATGATATTTTTATCAAAAAAAAAAAAAGCAAATTTTTCTCATTGATTGATCGTTTTTCGAATGCCATTTTTTTGCGCAAAAATTGATCGATGCTTATTGTGGTTACTGTTTTTTTTATCTTTAATGTTCTTATTTTTATATCTACATATATACTTTTATATTCTTTCTCAAATAACAATAATTTAATAATAGTAATAATAATAAAATTAACTATTCGAAGAAATTATGCATCATAGATTCTTCATTAAATTGATAAAAATCAATAATAAGATTGAAATTACTCATTAAATAGAATTTATTATTAAAAATTGTTGAAAAAGATTCTTCATTAAATTGATAATCAATAATAAAATTGAAATTGCTTTTTAAATAAAAGTTATCAAGGTTTATTAAATGATTGAAGATGTAATATTTATTGTAGAAAAATTTTAAATCTCTTACTAACTTCTTTTTTTCTTTTATTTCTCTTTAAGTGATATCTAATAATAGCAACAATTAAACTCAAATTAATTTCTCATTTTGTTAAATTTATTATATTTTATTTTTATTATTAAATAAACTATCATTGCGCAATTTTAAGGTACATTTTTTTATTATCGCAAATATTCAATAACTATTAATCTTACTAATTTTTTTTTTTTTTTTTTTTTTTATCAAATCAAATTAAAAAAGAAAACTCAAAAAATTAAAAAAAAAAAAACAAAAGAATTTAGGATTTAAAAATAAAAAATTTAAAGCGAAATATAATGGAAATATTTCTATAGAAAATAATTATCAGAGTTTTTTCTTTTTTGTTTCTAATTATTTATTATCAATTAAAAATTGAAAAAATGAATATTTTAAATAAATCTAATGACAAATTTTTAAAAAAAATATACATATGTACATAATAAAAAATTTAAAAAATAAAAGTTTTTTTTTCTAAAAAATTTTAAATTAGGAAAAAATCATAAATTATATAAAAATGTTTTAATAAAATTGCAAGAAAAAAGAAAAGAAGAATAAACCGCTTTCGAGATAAGTTGAAAAATGACTAACTGATTATAGCATTAATAAACATTTACAATTACTTCTCACTTTACATATGCAAATTTATGTGATAATTTTGATCAATAAATATACAATAGAAAATAGAATTAATCGTTCTGAGTGTATTTTCTTTTTATTAAATTTTAATTGATATCAAATTTTATAAATGAATAAATGTTATAATTCATATTTTATATTTTTCACTTTACAACATATTATATCTGTAATGTGAAATATAATTAAATCTAAAATAGCTCAGCAAAAAAGATGAAAAGAAAAATTATTTCTATACAAGAAAGAAAAAAAAAGAATTTATTTAGCCTTTTTTTTTTGTTTCTGACTTTGATATTTTCAAATTAAAACAAGGGAATTTTTTTTTTTTTTTTTTGAAATGATAAAATTTTGATGACATAATTTGCCTAGAATTTTTCGAATATTAGCAAATCTTCTTATCGTAATTATTTATTATCATATCTTAACTATATATATATATTTTATACATTTATATCAAAAGATCACGAAGACCATCAAATGTCACATAAGGTCACAATAATAATTAATCTTAGGAATTGCATTATCCATTGTTCGTATAAGATAATTTGAATAAAATTTTATTTAATTTGATTTGTAATGTTATTAAAACTGAGCATAAATACATTTAATTGTTACAATTACAGATTATTGCTTCGCTGAAATTCGATAAACAATCATATTTCTATAAATTTTGATAAATATCCGACTCAACAAAGAGAATGATTGAACATAAATAAACAACTATCAGTTATACTAGGCATTAGAATTATAATAATTTCACTAACATTAATTCATCAAACAGTTTAATATCAGTGGAATAAAACCATATCACAGTTAATTTCAAAAAAACAAAAAAAACAAAAAATAAAAACAAAATAACTGTTGAAAAGAATCAAAATATATAAGTAACTGTTCAATATTACAGAAAAAAAAAAAAAGAAATGGCAATATTATATTAATGAGCAACCAACTATTATTACAAAATCTAAAATTCATTAAAAATTCGTTCGAAAAAATCTATTCAGATTCAACATACAATTTCACAATCCAGAAAAGAAATCACATATATCTAATAATTTAAGTAACATTCAGAAGTTTCGAAGGAAAATTAACGTATCACAGCGAATATCTCAAAAAAAAGTTTAAATCACAGCATTATCAGTCCAATAATATCATTTCTAAGAGAGAAAAAAAGAGAACGGTAACATTTCACAGCAAAAATAAACTTTCACCGGCACAACAACTTCATCAAATTTGCCATTTGCCCTTCTCGATCAAATCACTTATTTAATTTTTCCATCTATTTGTCTAAAATAAGATTGAATTAAAACTTTGAAAAGACTATTAAATGCAATCATAAGCTTAAAATATTATAATTCTACATTAATATAATCGGTAAAAATTTATCCACTTATATAAACAAAATAAATTATACATATAAATATGAATTTAAAAAAAAAAACTTGAAGTAAATTAAATAAATACAATACATACAGCATTATTCAAAGCGTTGAGTGCTTTATAAAATTCAACAGTATGTGGTGTTAGCCTGGCTAGAAATTCATTCAGTGCAATTCGATCTTTTTGCGCTACCATACATTCAATTATTACTTCAGATGCTTCCGGAAATTGATTCGCAAGATACTGACGTTCGTTTATATCCGGAATAGCACGCAAAAACTTACACAAAATCTACAAACAAAAGAAATTTAGATGAAAAAATTTTAAAGATAATTAATCATATCTTAAATTTCAATTCATTTTTTAGTAAATTCTTTATAAGTTCGTAGTTTTTTTATTTTCGCAAACTATATTTTTCCAAAACTAAATTCAATTTTATCTCATTAGAAGGAAAATAAAACCTAATAAATTCATATTTCACATAATCAAGTAATTCATATTGCTACAAAGTTTTTTGTATAATGAAAAAAAGAAAAAAAAAGAAATATAAACGGGAATGCTTTCATACTTCTTTTGGTGGCTGTTGCTCATCACTTGAAATTATAGTAAATAAATGGCGCCAAGCAAAAGGACATTGAATTTTAACACCACCCAATAATTTTTTACTCATTAGCACTCGTTCGATATCATTCCATCTAGAATGTTTATAGCACTTACTTTATGCAAATGCTATAATATTTCCTATCTAATATTTCTCAGTTTTATATTCTCTTCACATTATTAGATTAAGAAAAAAAAAAACAAATTTTTATTATTAATTTCAAATGTATATCATACCGTATTACAGTGAGAAATAAGATATATTACTTTGAATATTTTTAATAATAAAATAATCAATTATATATAGATTTAATTCAAACAAATTATCATATTCAGCTTACATAAGTATTAGTAACAATTATAATAGAATCGTTTTGATGTTTATCAATCAACAAATCATAATTACAAAAATTATTTAAACCTTTTCAAACGTGTTAACGCTGATATTGCCATCCATGCATATTGCTTTTCAGTCATATTGAAGAATTCTTTGATGGATAATGGGCTAGCATAAGCATTCTGCAAAATACACCTTTAATTAGTTATTATTTAATTTATCGAATTTATTATTATTATTATTGAATTTGTTTTGCTAGTTGTTTGTAGGAATTTCCATATTGTTAATGAAAACATATTACTAACTGTACCTAAATCTTTCATTAAGTGAAAGGAAATATAATTTGAACAAAATCTAAACTTCTTCCCTATCTCACTCGCTCATTCTACATAGTAATTTCCACTGATTACATTTAATTCCAAATAATTCTTCAAAATGACAATCGTTTCTTAAATTATAATGGCCAAGAGCATAGGCCAATTTTTCAACATGGCTTATTTTAAAAATATGTGCGGCAATATTTTCACTTCATAGGTTACTACAGTCTCTTAATTACTGTGTTCACTAAATGAATATAACGCCATGAGTAACATAAGTTTTTCCAAAAGTTTCTTTTTTTGACTTTACTTAAAGCTAATTTAAGTAATATAATATCATTGCTGAATGTTTCACATATCGCTACAGATGACATATGAGAGTTGCGACATCAACTTCCACTTATTCTATCATTTTTCAATGAATCAGTCAGTAGTAATTGGCATTGTTGTGACTTTTAAAATTTAATTTACTGAAGCTTGATTTTATCAAAAATTAAAGTACCACGGGAAGATCAAAATGATACAGACAAGAATAATATAGCGTTGTCAAAACTGGTCGTCCAATTAAAGTAGTTGTTTTGGGATATTGTTGGAAGATTTTGTTTTTCCCATCTTTGATAAGTGCTTCATCAGCATCCTAAATAGCCATAGTATTTGCAAAATCGAAGAATCAATTATGAAAAAGGATATTCAATTTAAAATTACTATAAAATTTCTTACTTCAATTATAATTTGTCGTTCCAGAAGATCAATATATTCATTTACAGATTTTGAAAAAGCTTGAAGTGATGGAACAGCAGTACATGAATTTAAACATTTTTTCAAATATACAATTCGCTCATTTGGTGGCTTTTTACATGCCACCGAATATAATACAAGTGCAACTTCTTCTGTACGATTTAAAGCTCTGAAAAGAATTACTTTTTTCTTTTTGGATGATAAAATTATACCACTATTTGATTTTTAATAACATATCATGGAAAGAAATATTAAAACATTCACTCTTTCTTTGTTCTCATTTCTTTTTCATAATGATTCACCTTAATTTCTTTAAGATGAATCATTATGAAAAGATATTTTTAAATGCTGTCATCTAACTAGAAATAAAGTGCTTGTTAATTTTGACAATTCCATGTTTTACATAACGCTTTTACATCGACATAGACAATAAAAATTTTAGACTCTATGAAACTCACATCATAGCATAATGAAAATTAAAACTAAACGCAAATATCTCGTACGATTTATTACTTATCAAGCAATAGCAAATGAAATAAAAAATTACGATAATGTTGAAGTTAGTTGATCATAATTCTTCATATCTTTCAAATAAGACACATAATGATGAGCAGCAACTGGCTTTTGTTTTAGGATATCCAAAAATATCGAAGTTTTAAGAGATCTTTCCAAAGCTAATACAACCTGAACATAAATTTATAAGCAAAATCTACAAATGGTTAAAGTAACAAGTAAGAAAAAGCATGCAGCGATTTATCACAAGTATACAACAATGGCCATAAGCTAAACAGGTTGTCAAATTTACAAAAAGATCTAAAAACAAATCTTTTTGATATTAGCCTGAAAGAAATATATAAATTGATATTTTAAAATGAATAAACACTTTAATTTTAACAAATACACAAATTTAAAAAGTAAATGAACATCGAGAAATAATTCAAAAATGAGCAAGCTATAAGTATCAGTTTATAAAATGTGCAATCCTAAAAATTTATCTTACCAATCAAAGCTGAAACTCTGGATAAATAAAGAAACAAAAAACGACAATAAATTGAAATGATATGATGAAGAATTGTAGGTGGAGAGTAGTAACACCTAAATTTCCTCACATGCAATAATGGAGATGAAATATGCAAATAAATATGATTTTTGTTTAACAAGAGAAATTAAATTCAAATACTTACAGCAATGATGACATTTCCATCATAGGATTCCAAAGCAGCTTCCAATAAATCTAACTTCTCTTTCTTACTTCGATACAAGTCTAATGAAACCGAATCATTTCGTAGCAATCTTCGAATTGTATGTTCAGGATCAGCTGCACGATAACGTTCTAATCTTACTTGCTAAAAAAAGCAAGCTTTAAACAACTATCTGGAAAATTAAATAAATCATTAGAGAATATTATTTGGAATACATTTATAAATGATGTAAGATAACGTCACAGATGATTATGAAATGGTAAAACAAAAAAAAAGTCATGTAAAGAACTCAATAAAAACGATCTTATATATATCGTAATAAAGGAAATCTCAAAAGATGAGCTCATAATGCTAACCATTAAATCATATCTTAAATGAAAAATATCAAAACATTAAAATGAAATCTATGAAAAAATTGAAAACAAAAAACTAAAAATTAAATCTATGAAGAAATAATAAATTGAAAATAAACAACCTCCAAATGCTTTTGCAATTTCCTGTGTTCACTTTTCAGTCTAGAGTAGTCCAACTGTGTAGTTGCATTACTCGAAAATGATTCAGCACTACCATCAGAAATGAATGAAGAAGCATAATCACAGGAAACAGGACAATATTTTAAAGGAGTTTTCTGACCAAATATTTGATCCTAAAAATATACCTTTAATCTTAAATCTAAATAAAAATATACGCAATGAGTTACTCTTTTCAATATGAATGCAAGGAATTACATAGCAGTATTTTACAACCAAATAGCTATTAACTATTGGTTGATCTAATGGTATAAATAATAGGAAAAATAAAGATTTTAAATGTTTACCTGATTAAACTGTACGAGTGAACGACCTGGTCTCGAAGTTTCAAGGACTGTTTTCAGTGCATCGGTACTTCCATTTCTAGAATTATAAATTTGAGATTTCCAAACTTAAAAAGCATTAAGAAAAGAGATTTTCTGCATAAAAAATCATCCTCTCGAGCATTTGATTGTAAATTTAAGAAGTCATGAATGGTGAGGTGAAATTTTTAGATTCTATAATTTGAACAGAAGTAATTACAAGATGACATAATTATTTCAAAATTTTATCCATATAAAATGGAATCTAAACCTTAAATTTTGCTTGGTTTGGATTTCTCCAATCGATGGTGATTCACTTCCAGCATTCGACCATCCATCATCGCTATCAAAACGAAATTTACACTCGAATAAATCATCTACAGCTGCTCGAGCAGCAGCCTATCAAAAAGTTGAATTAATAAAAATTTTGCAATATATAATTAATCGCACATTTTAATATTAAATCGAAAAAAAAAAAAAAAACAAAAAAAACAAAGATGCTATTATAATTCTATCAATAGTTGTTAACAGTATTACAAATAATACTATATGAATGAAAAATATTTCATTGAAATTACAGATGATATAAGAACAAAATAAACATTGACAAATTAAACAAAATAAATATTAATGTAGAATTTTTTTCCTCACTTTCAATTAGTGAAATGGTTTACTTGAAAATTATTCAATTTAATTATGTTAATGAAAATATTAGTTAATTAAGTAATTAATTACCGCATTCGCAGTCGATAAGTTATCAAATGGGGAATCAGTGAAATCATTAGAATTCCAGTAGCTATCTTCTGGATTTTCAAAAGTGAATTTTCGATGAGCTGCCATAAAATTTCGGAATTATGTAGAAGTGGATGCTACATTCATATTAATACACAAACCATATCTGGAACGAATTAAACATTTCTTGTTGCAAAAAAACAAAAAAATTAATTTTAAAGTTAGTTATCAAACATTTTTCTGGATTGATTCTTTCATTAAGCATTTTGAATTTCTGCTAAAATTAAATGAAATTTCAATCAATTTCATTTTCTAAGATATTCAAGAAAATTTCATAAAAAATAAAAGAGAAACTAAAAATAAATGTTAGATATTTTTGACCAAAAAATAAAACCTAAAACATTATAATCGAAAAATTTTGTGAATTTTTTTTTTTAATTTCATAAAACATGAAAAAATTTGCGACAACAATTTAAAATGAATCATGAATAGAGTGAACGTGTAATTTGAGGAGACGCGAGACGTGTGTAGGAACTTTTGAGAAAGCGTAATGTTAGAGAGTGAGAAAATATCAAATTAGTATGTGATTACAGTTGAAACAGAGATTGAGAGTGCTTTACCGTGGATTTTATCAATGTATTATATCATGCATAAATGAATTATATAAAAAGTAATAAAAGTTTGATAATTTGGTAATAATTTTTGATAATAATTGATAATAGTTGATAATTTGATAATATTTGACAATAAGTTTGATAATAAAAGTAATAAAAGTTTGATAATTTAAAGTTTGATAATAATTTCAAAGTTTTTTTCTATTCTTTGGAACAATTTTCAATCAATTTTTCCAGAGTCCGAATGATCTAAGATGAATGATTTATAAGTTTGCTGAAAATAATGAATGGATTATTTCTATATTTAATTTATGTTAATGTTTTGTATCAAATTTCCCTTATCGTTTATTAATTAAAGTTTATCAATTATTGATTATCAATTATGTTTATTAGAAATATTTAGTTAATGAAAAGAATGAACTAACTACAGAAGAAGATCTTAGGGATATTTTTTAAACAAATATTCAACTATGCCTACAATGATGATAAATTGATGATAAATTAAATATTTTTTTGAATATATATAATATATATGATAAATTAAGTTGATGATAAATAGATAAATTAAATAAATATTAAATTAAATATTTTAATTCCAATTTTAAATTAATTCCAAATTGTTTTTTTTTCTTCAAATGAAAAAAAAAAAACAAGGCATTATAATCATTAGAAAATTTATTCTTTTTTCGATATACGAAATGAATTTCTCTTTAAAGAAATTCAACATGATTTTTTTTTTTTCTTTTATCAACTAACAATTAAGTGATTAATTAAGCGATATGTTAAGTTGAAATTTCAAATTTGCATTTGTTACAAATTCATTTTTTAAAAATTTCATTTCGTATATCGAAAAAAGAATTTCATTTAAAGAAATTCATTTAAATGCTTTAAAAATTTCATTTAAAGCCAATGTTTTAGATAGATGTTTACCTTGTCATTGATATTGTGATCTGATTTATTCACTGAAATGTTTTGAATTAAAGTGGAAAATAATAATGCATGAAATAGTAAATAATTAATTAAGCAATATGTTATGTTGAAACTTTAATTATTTAAAAAATAAATGTTAGCAATCAATTAGCAATTGTTAAGGATTATGTGATGAATTCAAATCATTTTGCATGCAATATTTTTTAAAAATTTTGAAATCGTAAATTGAAAAATTTTAAATTCCTTCATAATCAAAATTATATAACGGATAAATTTATGACAAAAAGTTGTCAAACAACACATTTTATTAGTACAAAATAGCTATCTTCCAATACAAAATAAATTTTATTATTAATTAATTTAATTAAAATGTGTTGAAATGAATTCTTATATAAATTAATTAACCAAAAGGAACAAATCATTCATTTTAGTCAAATCATTTAAAAATAACAAATCACTTACTTTTGTCTCATAAAATTAAATATTCGATCCTTATCCATTTTTAAATGAAACTTTATTATCATACTATTTTACTTTTTCAAACGAATCTATTATTTTTGTGATTATAATATTTTCATTTAAACATAAAATGAGTTGAAATTTATTTAGACGAAACAAAATAAAATAAATTGAACAAATCTTGTCAAATTGAAATAAATTGAAATCAATTAAAATAGATCTAATATTCAGACATACTGAACTGAATTAACTGAATTAAGTTATACCAAAATTAATTCGCATTAAATTATATAAAGCAAAAGAAATAATATTAAATTAAATTTAGCTTAAGCTAATTTTTATGTTGCATTCAATTTAATTTTAAAAAAAATGTCACTATTAATTGATAACATCATAACAAGTGTTTTTTTTTTTTTAGTGCCAAGAATTGAAATGCTAATTGAGTATTTGAATATTAGCTGATTATCAGTTCAAATTTAAATATTTACCACAATAGTTAATAATAAAAATAAAATTAAAATTTGAAAAACATTATTTTGGAATCATTTCATACCTAACATTTGAAATAATTTTGTTCGGTTGATTTAAAAAGTTCGATTTTCTTATTTTCAAACTATTTCCCCTCCCGTTAGCTAACTTACGGTTTCCAAATTTTATATTAGTTATTACTCATATTTTTGTCAAGTGGTAAAATTTCCAAATTCCTGATGTGAAATTAATAATTAGATATTATTAATTTAATTAAAAATTATCTGCATAAAAATTTTTTGTCATAAAAAAATTTTTTGACACCTATTATATCCTATTAAATGGTAATTACTAGCGGAATTTTTCACTTTTTTTTTTTTTTGCAACAAACTTTTTAAAAGTTCTAAGACAAAAAAATTTTTTAAATATATTCAAAATATTTCTTTTTTTTGAATTTTAAAAATTAGAAAAAAACAAAGAAAATTATTATCGACTTAGCAGAGAATTAATTCAGCGTAACGATGAATCGAGAAGCATCAGAGGATGAAAATGATATAAACGAGCCAAGTTATTTCTGTTATAAGGCTTATCTTAAGGTTTCTTCCTTTTTCTTTTTTTTTTTTTTGATTTTCTTAAATTTAATTTTTTCAGGCTTTTCTCTCTTTTTTTTGTTAAAGGAATAATAAATTTGTGTGATTATTTATTTATTTATTTATTTTGAGGAAAAGACGGTAAAATGGAATGGAAAAATGTTTTTCAAAATTTTATTAAATTTCAATTTTTTTTTCCATTTCAGTATCCTCTTTTCAAACATTGTAGACGGCTGGTTATGCTATCTTTATTTTATATTCGATGATAGGAATTAAACGATTATACGATCATATCAATCAATTGATGATCATAGATCAATGCATTTCATGTCGATTGTATGAAGAACAAACTACTGGAGTAATTTATTAAAATTTTAATTAGCATAAAAAAATTAATGCTTATTCGTATAACCTTTTCAATTTTTACCTGTGTATAACAGTACAGGTAAAATATGAATATGTTTATAATAGAATTATAGAACAAATTTAAAATTTAATATTTCTAAGGACAATTCATTATCTGATAAAAAGCAGAAAATAAAGATAGCATTTGCAAAAAATAAATTTTTTAACTTAAAATTTTTCATTACACTACATTTTTTTCCTTTTTTTTGCAATTAATTTGATGATATCTGATAAATACATTATTCACATTTTAATTTAGCTAATAATGGAATAGGCAAATAATCTTAAATTCAAAATAATTTTAATCAAACTAATTTAGTTAAAACATTATTTAGTCATTATTAAGTCTTAAATGCAATGTATATCGTTGAGTGAATAAAAAAATGAAATACTTCTCTTTTTTTTGTTTAATTAATTAAATTGGTTATCGTTTAAAGTAATAAATATCAAGAATTTATTAAACTTTTTTTCATTTAATCAAATTTAATTATTTTTTTTTTTCGAAAAAAAAAATGATTGCAGTTAATTTGGGGTCTATCAGAATTATTGCTATATGGTTTTGCGCCATTATCGGCGCTTTTTGCATTAATTCATGCTGATTTAGAATGGCTTTTTCCAACTTATGCAATGCGAACACTATTTCCAAGCTTTATGCTTGCTTTACCAATAGCATTTACTATTGTAAGTTTAAATTAAAATTAAGTATTAAATATGGTTTAAGCATGTTTAAAACGAAAAATGTTAGTCATTAATTAAGGAAATATTTATTATTATTATTATTATTATTATTATTATTATTATTATTATTATTATTATTATTATTATTACTATTATTATTATTAATAAGCACTGATGGATTTCAGATGAATTTGCTCTTTTTTTGTAGATCGAAATTTAAGAAAAATAGTATGTTATAGGCATGATTAATAAATTATTCAACAGTCAGACTGAGATTCTATAGTAAAGCCTGCTAAATTATAAGTGATAAAACAAATAATAACAACAATAACAATAATACAAATAATGATAATAAATAGCAATAACAATAGACAATAATAATTAATAATGATAATAAATAGAGATAGTAAAGCGATAGCAAAATTTTTGAGGAACGAGAAGTCACATCACGTCAAAAAAGAATTGTGAAAGATTGAATAATGGTAGAAATTTAAAAAAGTGATAATGAGGCGGAAGGAAAAAAGAGCCAAATTTTATAATTTGAAAAAAGAGGAAAAAAAACTAAAAATAAACGAAAAGAGAAGGAAATTTGTTTAAATTAAATTTTAGTCCTCGTATATTTTATATTGGCTTATTGATGTTATAATTGATGTGCAACAAATTTCTGATAATTTGCTTGAAATGGAAGTATGGAAACGATGCATTTGGGCTAGTGCATTACTAATTGCTAATGTTTATGCTTTACTACTTGCAATTATTGTTGCACAATTAATTTATTATCAACATTATATTATTATTGAAGAGCAGGTAATTAATTAATTAATTATCAAAAGACAGGTAAATAATTTAATAATGCAAAATTGTTTGTTTAAAAAATATATGAATTAATAAAAATATTATAGAAAATACTAATTATAATTAAATAATATAAATTATACTTTAAAAGAAAGATAAAAAAAATCTAGGAACCAAAAAAAAGATAATTTTCATTACCATTTAATCAACTAACGAATATGTTATCAACGATTATACATGGTAGCATATTTGTTATCAATTATCAGTGATATGTTTTAAACATTTATGTTTAATGATCATAACATACATATATATCTGGAAACTTTTTAATTTTATTAAAAAAAAAAACATTTTATGATTATATTTCGAGTAATAAAATATTTCAAATAATTTTTTTTTTTTAATAATTTGTTAGAAGAATAAAAAAAAAAAAAAAAGAAAATAAAAGGATGGGAGAAAAAGATAATTTTTGAAAGAATTATTTTTAGGCTATACGAATGCAACAAAATTTAATGAATAGAGAAAGAATTGAATATTTTCATCATAACAGACATCAAAATGGAATTCAATTTATTAATCAACCAGGAAATGCTGAAATTATGCAAAATCATGAAGAATTATTTAATCATTAAGCAAATATTATTGATAATACTTAATAATTCTTTTTTTTTTTACGTTTTCCTATGCTTTCATTTCCTTTCTTCTCTCCCTCCCTCTTACCTTTCTCTTTCTCACTCTTTCCTCTCTCTCTTTATAGATGTGTATGTAATATTTGAATTTTAAATACAATAATTTCAAATTTTGATTATGATTACGAATAAAAAAAAGAAAAAGAAATGATACAAACATTTTATTTAGATAGCAAAAAAATTTGAATTAGTTAATTAATTAATTAATTAATTGGTTGTTAATAAATCATATCAAATGCTACTGTTTTATACTACCAAACGATAGCAATAAAATTAATTAAAATATATAAAAGATGTGGAATTTTTTTTTTTTTTAAATTTGATTAATTCTTTCTTTTCCGTTTAAGAATATTTATTTTACTTCAATGATTGCATATCAATGCTGAGCTGTTCAAAAAAGAAACGAAAAAGCATAATTGTCGAGAATAAATGATTCATCATTTGTGTTACAATTTTTTTTAACATTTAATATTTGAAATTAATACAATGCATAAATTGATGTATTGATTATCGATTTTGCTACATTGATTCATTCAATACATTGATATAATTGATTTACTTAATCCAAAGTATATATCATCACATTTAATATTTATATATTAAAGAGGAAATATTAATTAGTTCATACTGTACTCGTTCAAATGATATATTGATTACTAATTCGAATATATTGATTATACAGGTTTATTCTCATCGATTATTTTATTATCATTATTTATTGGTAACAACAAAATTGGATGAATTTCATTTGTGTTATAATTTTTTTGATACTTAATTGGTCATGGCCACAATTCATTTTTACAATTAAAATTAAAATTTTGAAAAAAATTTAAATTTTGAATTTTTTGAAAATACTACAATTTGTAAGATTTTTTGTATGTTAAACTAGGAAATAAGTTCTAATAATGTTAAATTTTACTTCCATTTAATGCTAATTCTATATAAAAATATAACTTCATTAAAAAAAACCGATATTTTCAACTTTTTTGATTATTTTGCATGCATTTTTTGTTCTTTCCTTTTAACTGCTAAAACTTTTTAAATTTAAACAACGATACGACTAAAAATCACAATTTTACCTCAAAATTATTTGCATAGTATCTTCTTTACTAATTTTTTTATGAACACAAAAAGAAAACTATAAGAAAGATTGAAAATATATAAAAATGAATTTACATAGAAAATTTTGGTAGTATTATTAAGAAAACAAAGATTAAAATTTCGCTGCAATGTGATTATTGATAAACTATCACCATGATAATACCCTGATAAAGTAAATGAGATTTATTTCATTCTTGAGATGCTGATAATCCATTTTTGTAAATTATTTCTGGTTCACCCAATAACAGTCTGTCGATAATTTCTTTGCCTTGCATAAAGCAATGATCCTGATTTGATACCTCATATTTCCAACCACCAAATCGACCTCTCGAATATATTTCATGCTTTTCAAGAATTTGATGAGCACGGGTTAATTCATTATCTCTCTGAAACATTCTTCATATCTTCATATCGAGATAAAAATTTTTTAAATTAAGAATAAGAATGATCACTTTCAATTCACGCAAGACATGCACGTATCACAAAAGTAAAATCGTACTAATTTCAACTTCACTAACATGAAACGTGTATACGTATAAAGTAAAACACATAAATGATTAAATTAAAACTCCTAAACGTAAACGTGAACGTGAACTTACTAACATTCACAGTGGGTATAGGATATCCATATGGTAGCAATGTTGAAAACAGACTAACAATCTGTTCACGTAAAATGATTGATTTCCGTATCAGACATTTAATTGTTTTTTCTTTTATTTCTTCTTCACTAATCTGCAAAAATATTTTTAACCTTTAAACTTAACAAACTACTGTATTTGTAATAAATTTGGTAATAAATTTGATAGTTTATTTTTTAAAAAAAAAATATTTAAAAAATATTTTAAAAAAATCAACTTATCCAAATCGTTAATTTATCAAAATTTAATAAATTTCTTAAAATTTGATTTCAAAAATATAAACTTAATAATAGAAGTGACTGATTAAGTAATAAAATAAACGACTTAGATTAGTGCTTTAGAAATTACATTAGCAAATCAATGATTAAAATATTTCTTTCAATAATAATCGTCAAATTTTGGATTTTATAAATAAATGAAGAAAATAGAATATGAATTGCTAACACTGTTATCATTGATATCATAGGCACATTCACATAGTACTGACCAATACTTATCATTATCTGGGGTCATCTCACCATAACGTGATAAGAAAGTAACACGATAGAACGGAACGGTATTTTCCGGAAAATAAAGCCAAGTAAATTGTTCTGCAACTCGACTCATTGGTTTTATTAAGCCAACACCTATCACAAATACCTGAAAAATGCATTGAAATGCTATAATACTCTTTGTTCAATAGAAAAATACGTCAAAAAGAGTTAATTAATTCTTACCTTATTGTATTTTAAATCAATTTGCTGACATAATTTAGTGTATTTGATTAGTTGATCAATAGGTCCTGTATTGATAAGTATATCATAGTTGAGATTTACCTTTCCATATCGTTCATTTTCATACATAATTGTTTTTCTTTTGGCATCAATGTTAATAACCTAAAATAAAATCATTCATCGTTGCAACATATTAAACTACACTTGTTTACATGAAGGAAAACTCTTCTCAACTTTAAAAAAGTTTCCGGAAATCGTTTAAGCTTAAATCCAAATTTCGTATACTACAATCATATGTAATGTCAATAAATACATTTTCGGTTTTCCGTTCAAGTATGAATGAGTAATGAGTAAATTCTTGAATAAACCTTGCTACACTTATCACTCATCATAAAAGCTATCAGTTAAATTCTATTGATTAATAGCTAAGTTAGAAAGAAGATGGGAAGCTTAACTTGCATCCAAAATGAAACCACTGAGATGGTAATTTGTTAGTCATTGATTTCCAAATTGACCCTGTGCCATAGCGTTTCGGAAACATAAATCTGGCATTTGGACCCCAGCCAAGGTCAATTTCCTGAAATTTGTATAATATTTTGGACAATGCCTTTTGCATGAAAGAAATTATTAACGGAAAAAAGGATAGGCATTTTTGATAAATTAATTTAATGAGTATTTGATGAAATTAAGGAAATAATTTAATGTATCATTCTGGCTCAGTAGCCTATTATCATTATCAATTATTTGGCCTTAAAGTTTCGTTCATGTAATGATTATAACTTGAAAAAGTCTCAATCTACTTGAAAACTGAACACTTTATGACATACTGATACCTTTAAATCTTCTTCATTCATGGCACAAAATTCCTCCAATTTTTCATAAGGTATCATAGCAACTCGAGTTCCAATCCATACCGGATTCATCTGATCCGGTCTTACAGTCCAAACCTTTAATTTTAAATCAGTTAACCTTGGATAGAATTTGTGCCAGTTGCACCTTCCATCTATTACTTTCAACTGATTCTTCAAACGGAATTTATTGATGATCAGGGAATGTCGATGGATCGATAAACTTATGGACAAACCTTTCGAGTATACTGTTTGAAGAAGTAATTGCTTAGTGTTGGCCCGAAATGCTCGTCGATCCAATCATTAAAATTTTTTGGCGGAATTCTTTCTTAAAAAAAAAAAAAAAAAAAACATTCATTTATGAAATCAATAAAATGAAGTGTTTGCCTTTTGTAGATAAATTTTACACATTTTTGATAAATTCACCGCTATTTATTGCAATAATATTAGTCTCAAACTTTTGATTCTGTTTAGTTCGATTTTAAAATTTCAACGATGTAAACTTATATATAAGCAATGACTAACAACGGAAACGTCTCCTTTGGGAAGTGGTTGGTCATTTGAATTTAAATTGTGAATTCATATTGTCAACACAAAAATGCATTCTATTGAACGATTCAAGAAAAAGGAAATATATCACAATTTTATCAATTTGAAATTTCAAATGAAAGTCATCAGTGAAGTGAAGTGATTAGACAGAGAATTTTAAATTTTGTCAAATTTGACAACCACTGAATATCTACTTGCCGCTGATTTTCTACGCCGATCTCGCAGGTCTTCCAAGCATTTCGCTTTAATGCTTGCTGGAAACATTGGTACTGCATACTGCACCGGATACGGTACAAGATGCAAGCCTTTCTCGTTGAACATATAACTTATATCAACCTATAAGAATATAAAAGTGTAAAATGATAATGTTATCATATCATATCATATCATGGTATCAATTTTTGATCTGATAAACATCATTTCATCATCTTCCCTGTATTCCGGACAAATTTACTATGAAATAAATCAACAAATGAAATCATTAAAAATGATGATAAAATTTTTAAATAAATTTTTATTATATTCAGAAAATGGACAAAACCTGACAGCTTCTTGTTAAAATATTCCATTCATTTATGGCCCAACATATTGCTTCCTTGTAATAAGGTAAATTATGATCAAAAGTGACATGTCCTCCCATATCCCAGAAAAATCCATTTTCATCCATAACTGTTCGACTTAATCCACCAGGTGATAATTCCTACATTCAACATTTTGTGAAAAGATGCAAACTTTATAAAATTATTGCAATCAAATCAAAATTTGAAAAATAAATTTAATCAAATTAAAAAATAATTTATTTAGTTTTTCGTTTTATTCTTTTTTTCGTTATATTTTTATTATTTTATTAAATATTCTCCTTGCTCTGTGCTGCATTATATCACTATGTAGAAATGTTTGTGACCTGAGATGTTGACAAGAATATTTCTCTCATGCCACCTGAGATGTCAAGAATATTTCTCTCATGTCACCTGAGATGTCAAGAATATTTCTCTCATATCACCTGAGATGTCAAGAATATTTCTCTCATGTCACCTGAGATGTCAAGAATATTTCTCTCATGTCACCTGAGATGTCAAGAATATTTCTCTCATGTCACCTGAGATGTCAAGAATATTTCTCTCATATCACCTGAGATGTCAAGAATATTTCTCTCATGTTACCTGAGATGTCAAGAATATTTCTCTCATATTACCTGAGATGTCAAGAATATTTCTCTCATATCACCTGAGATGTCAAGAATATTTCTCTCATATCACCTGAGATGTCAAGAATATTTCTCTCATATCACCTGAGATGTCAAGAATATTTCTCTCATATCACCTGAGATGTCAAGAATATTTCTCTCATATCACCTGAGATGTCAAGAATATTTCTCTCATGTCACCTGAGATGTCAAGAATATTTCTCTCATATCACCTGAGATGTCAAGAATATTTCTCTCATATCACCTGAGATGTCAAGAATATTTCTCTCATATCACCTGAGATGTCAAGAATATTTCTCTCATATCACCTGAGATGTCAAGAATATTTCTCTCATGTTACCTGAGATGTCAAGAATATTTCTCTCATATTACCTGAGATGTCAAGAATATTTCTCTCATGTCACCTGAGATGTCAAGAATATTTCTCTCATATCACCTGAGATGTCAAGAATATTTCTCTCATGTCACCTGAGATGTCAAGAATATTTCTCTCATATTACCTGAGATGTCAAGAATATTTCTCTCATGTCACCTGAGATGTCAAGAATATTTCTCTCATATCACCTGAGAGTCAAGAATATTTCTCTCATGTCACCTGAGATGTCAAGAATATTTCTCTCATATTACCTGAGATGTCAAGAATATTTCTCTCATGTCACCTGAGATGTCAAGAATATTTCTCTCATATCACCTGAGAGTCAAGAATATTTCTCTCATGTCACCTGAGATGTCAAGAATATTTCTCTCATATCACCTGAGATGTCAAGAATATTTCTCTCATATCACCTGAGATGTCAAGAATATTTCTCTCATGTCACCTGAGATGTCAAGAATATTTCTCTCATATCACCTGAGATGTCAAGAATATTTCTCTCATATCACCTGAGATGTCAAGAATATTTCTCTCATGTCACCTGAGATGTCAAGAATATTTCTCTCATATCACCTGGGATGTCAAGAATATTTCTCTCATGTCATCTGAGATGTCAAGAATATTTCTCTCATATCACCTGAGATGTCAAGAATATTTCTCTCATATCACCTGGGATGTCAAGAATATTTCTCTCATGCCACCTGAGATGTCAAGAATATTTCTCTCATGTCACCTGAGATGTCAAGAATATTTCTCTCATATCACCTGAGATGTCAAGAATATTTCTCTCATATCACCTGAGATGTCAAGAATATTTCTCTCATGTCATCTGAGATGTCAAGAATATTTCTCTCATGTCATCTGAGATGTCAAGAATATTTCTCTCATGTCACCTGAGATGTCAAGAATATTTCTCTCATATCACCTGAGATGTCAAGAATATTTCTCTCATGTCATCTGAGATGTCAAGAATATTTCTCTCATGTTACCTGAGATGTCAAGAATATTTCTCTCATATTACCTGGGATGTCAAGAATATTTCTCTCATATCACCTGAGATGTCAAGAATATTTCTCTCATGTCATCTGAGATGTCAAGAATATTTCTCTCATGTCATCTGAGATGTCAAGAATATTTCTCTCATGTTACCTGAGATGTCAAGAATATTTCTCTCATATTACCTGAGATGTCAAGAATATTTCTCTCATATCACCTGAGATGTCAAGAATATTTCTCTCATGTCATCTGAGATGTCAAGAATATTTCTCTCATGTTACCTGAGATGTCAAGAATATTTCTCTCATATTACCTGAGATGTCAAGAATATTTCTCTCATATCACCTGAGATGTCAAGAATATTTCTCTCATGTCATCTGAGATGTCAAGAATATTTCTCTCATGTTACCTGAGATGTCAAGAATATTTCTCTCATATTACCTGAGATGTCAAGAATATTTCTCTCATATCACCTGAGATGTCAAGAATATTTCTCTCATGTCATCTGAGATGTCAAGAATATTTCTCTCATGTTACCTGAGATGTCAAGAATATTTCTCTCATATTACCTGAGATGTCAAGAATATTTCTCTCATATCACCTGGGATGTCAAGAATATTTCTCTCATGTCATCTGAGATGTCAAGAATATTTCTCTCATATCACCTGAGATGTCAAGAATATTTCTCTCATATCACCTGGGATGTCAAGAATATTTCTCTCATGTTACCTGAGATGTCAAGAATATTTCTCTCATATTACCTGAGATGTCAAGAATATTTCTCTCATATCACCTGGGATGTCAAGAATATTTCTCTCATATCACCTGAGATGTCAAGAATATTTCTCTCATATCACCTGAGATGTCAAGAATATTTCTCTCATGTCATCTGAGATGTCAAGAATATTTCTCTCATGTCATCTGAGATGTCAAGAATATTTCTCTCATGTTACCTGAGATGTCAAGAATATTTCTCTCATATCACCTGAGATGTCAAGAATATTTCTCTCATATCACCTGGGATGTCAAGAATATTTCTCTCATATCACCTGAGATGTCAAGAATATTTCTCTCATATCACCAACCTTCTCCAAAACAATTAATTCGACATTTTTAGCAATATCAATGTTATTGTTTTGCAATTGATAAAGACGATAAGCTACACCAAGACCTGTCGGTGCAGCACCGATAACTATAATTCTCATCAATAAAGCAATTCCAAGTGTTATATAAATATAACTTTATCAATCTGAAAGTAAAGAAGTAATATGAGCTAATCAATATAATGTGAATGATATGACTGATCAAGAGATTAACTTATAGTAAGCAAAAAATTTAGAAATAACTCATAAGGAAATGATTAATGTTAACAAATAAATAACTAATGATAGTACATTATCAGCAAAGTATGAAACATAGCCTTTTGCTGATAAGAAAAGATAGAAAAAGAATAAGAAGAGTGATATCTCATAGTGATATGAATCTTATAGTGATATGAACTTATGATAAATAGCCGTAACCCAAATTTGTATGTGTTGACTGAAGACTGTCACCAATCCCTTACACAATTAATAGTTCTACCTTTCTTATATCATTTCCTCATCTCAATTATGGCTATTCTTTTTACTTATCCATCCTCCCTCTCTCTCTCCTCTCTCCCTTCTCTCTCCCTCCTCTCTCTCTCTCCCTCACAAATACTAGATTTATTATTAACTGAACATAATTTACTAACTTCTGACGTTATTTGTGACTTCTTTGAAACTCTTCTGATACAAATTCAAATTTCAATTATCATTGAAATTCAATTTCTATGAAATAAGTCGAAAATTTCAAATTGTTTAAATTTTAGAACTAATTTTGCCGTTGTAATTACTCAGATTCTTTTAATCAATGCATTATAGTAAATGTTTCATGTGATAAATGCCAAAAATACTGAAAAGTTGGAATTGGCACTGGGAAATTTCAATGAACGCTGAAATTTTAATTTAATTATCAAATGAATAATTCAACATTTTATATTGAATTATTTGCTATAAACAGTAGCACTTAAAAAAGTCACAATTGATAGAATCTTTCCAGAATCTGCCGGATACGGAAAAGCATTTGCTTTCAAGAAAAAGAAAAAAAAGGCATTCGAATATTTCTTTTTATCTATTTGCTAATTAACCTTTGAAAAAATTAAAATGACTTAGACCTCACAGAAATTATGGCATTTTTTGAATAATATCCAGAAATATCTCGTAGTAATAGGCTTTTTTCCAATAATTAACTTTATATTCAGCCTTAGTGAGCCAAATAAAAGCCAAGCGTTATGATGCCTAACTAATTTTACTAGACTATTAAATGTTGCAGTACTTACTTTCAGAGCTATGCAAATAATATACATAAAATCTTTTATAATATTTTCTAATTATTACTTTTAAAGTTAGCCGTATAAACCATTGGCCAAGGTGCAAAAAAAAAAGTGTTGAAAGTCGAACTGGAAATTTAATAGTTTAAGTTTTAAAAGTTCTGTACAAATAATATGGTTATCAAATGTTAAATGTTATCACAGATCTTGAAAGGATTGAAAAGATTTAAAATGTTCTTCTCAGTTTTAAATTTATTTTGCATTTATAACTTTTTATTTTCAATTATATGAATATTTCCAATTGTGTAAATTTTTAAACATTTTAAAATTATAAAAATTTTTCATCAAATAGAAAGGAATGAGCCTACATTAAAAAATAAATACAATCTAATATTATAATTTAAAATTGAAAAGTTTTCAGTACATTAAGTTAAATTACTTGAAATAAAGCTGAAAGTAAGAGTAAATAAATGAAAAAAAAAAAAAAAAATTCGAGATATAATTGAAAATATATGTCACCAATTAATGCAATAACTTTTGACCTTCGCAATAATTTTAAAAGTATCAAATCAAATCGTTAACAAATCAACCACTTGTCTAATTAATTAATTTAACTAAATGTACTGAAAAATTTATAACTTGCCAGCAAATTTTAGTGCTAAAAAATAAAATTTTAAATCAATGAAATATTTAAAATTTTGGCAATTAAAAATTAATGTGCTTTCGAAGGAATTATTAGATTAAAAAACTATTGAGTAACTGTTAAAGTGTTTTAGCACTTTAATGGATGTCAATGAGAGCATTTTAATTTTAAAATTAATTTTCAAATTCGTACAAATAAAAATTACAGCTTATTTAGTCAAAAATATATTAATTATTTACTTCTAGCAAAAATATATCGAAGAAAACTTAGAATTGATGCAAAAAGTTTTATTCAAATTAAATTACTTTCACTGATTAATGATTAAAATTTAATTGTACTAATAGTTTTAAATTATAATGCAGCGAATTCCACTTATCCTACTAACAACTGTTTATTTTGCTAGCCTTTGTCCACCATTGGCTATTGGCTATTTGTTTATTCTTACATTTGAAATCTTTGAAATAGAATAAGTTAAGCTCAATAATACATTTTTATTATTAGCAGTGTATACACTTTACGATTTCATTTAATTCAAACGTTGTTTATTGAATTTTAAATATGAATTGAATTCTGTGAAATAATCTAACATCCCAGACTTTATTATTTGTTTATTTCCAATGAGATTGTTTGTTTTTTTTCAAATTAATGTCCCCTTTTTATTTCCACCTATAAATCTTACACCAATTAGATCAACCGCAATTTTCTAGAGACAACAAATGCTTTTTTATTCTGATTCCCGCTTTACAGGATAAGTTCGTTATGCTCATCCTGTAAAGTCATAGAAAATTCTGGATCCTGAATCTCATCAGTATTTGATATTTTCTCATTCTTTGCTGCAAATATTACTAACATATTTGTTTATAAAACGGTGGGTTTAATTTTTGTAAAAATATTTATTTAAATTATTGATTTCCGAAATAATTTCTTACCTATTTTTGTGTTTCATTTTCAAAATTTCGAACTTTTGTTTATCACACGTTGTAATCTTACAGCATAGCCTGTTTATTTGAAATTTTATTCTTAATTCTAATACAATTCGTTCACGTTCAAATGCAACAATCATTGCTCTTTCGTTTCTGTGCGTTTCAAAGTTGTAAATTGACGGAAATGCTTAAATTTCCGTTCAGTTTACTAACAAACTAGCATTTCAGAAATTTAAAATTATGCTATTCTTAAATTTCACAAATTTATCTTTTAATTTTACTTTTGCAGAGATTTAGCTGTCATTCCTACTGCTAATTCTGGCTAATTTCAATTTAAAATCTTACTACAATATTTGTTACTGATTTGAGTTAACCGACGTATCAGGCTCAAGTCTTCTGGTAACACGTCATTAACGGAAGTAATTATTTACCGCATGTGGAAGTAAGTAGGAATTTAATAGAGATTATAAATTTTAAGATGAGATGAAATAATTGAGTAAGAAAATTAATTTTTAATTTTAACCTTTGAAAATTTTTCTGCTTTCCGTTTGATATTTAAAACTGAATAATTTCATATGAAATTCCGTTCCAAAATTCAAATTTAGAAGTTATCATAAAACCAACGATGATAATTTTTAGTGATAAGAAATTTTACAATAGTATCAAAACGACCAATCTTACGTGCAACACGAAACAAACGAAACAGAAATCTGAAGAGAAAAAATGAGGTACCACAAATTCCAAATATGTCATCGGTGGTGGAAATGAGTGAAAGCAAGGTAGGTTAATAAATGTTTACCTGTCTCAACTAATTAGCATCATTAGCACCTCTTTTGACACTGGCATTCATAAGTTCTTGGCCAACACCGTAACACCATCTCATTACATTGAATTGGTTAATTTCAAATTTTAGATATGTTTCGTTTTTTTTTTTTTTCTTTAATTTAGTTCTATCATATTCGTATGCTAAATACTTCAATTTTATGCTTATTAATGATTTAAAAAGTTTTCAATTACTTAAGTAGTATATATGAATGATGAAGCCATAATAAAACGGAAAATGTTAAAATCAAAATATTCGAAATGCTAAAACAATGCTTAGTAATGCAATAGAAATTGGATGAATCATGAAAGTAGGATGAACTAATCAAAATAAACTTGAAAATCAGAAAATTTGCATAATCAAGGAGCTAAATTAATTTCTGATGGAATTTTTTCAAAAAATGTTAAAAAATAATTAACCAATCTGTTAACAATAGACTAAATGAAATTAATTTGCAGTTAAACTCGAAAGTTCCGGAAAAAAATGAAATAACTTTTTCTTCACTTTAACTCTAATAAGTATTATATTATTAGGATATTTTTTTTTTAACTTCTAATAAAAATTAAGTTTTTTTTTTTTAATGAAATGTAAACATTGGTCGTTTTTATTTATTATTATCACTACATTATTACTATTTTATTTTCAAATTGTTATTCTATCGTTATTACATGATCATTTCTAAATTCATTGCTTTCATATTATTCATTTATCATTCACTTACGAATGTTTTCATGAAAATTAGACTTTTCGTTTAAAATTAAATTTTCATCAAAAAAAATTTTGATATTTGTACAAAATAATTATTATTGACATTATATTTTCAAATAAAAATAAAAAAACCAAACCATTTTTTTAAACTGTGATATGCAATTATCTCTATGTAATTACTATCAACAATTAATGACAAAGTTTTTAGCTAAGCAATTTATCAACTAATCAGAATACTCTAATCTTATCTGTTTGAGTAGCACATTGTTCATAATATAATGCTTTACTTACTTGCATGCATGCATGCATGTGTATGTCTGTGTGTATGTGGAAGTAAAAGATAAGATCATGAAAGTGTCGGTGTCTCGACAATATATTTCATCGTTTTATTACAACGAGAAAAATTCCATATGTATTTCATTCATTTCATTTGCAAAATTGTTGAATTTTGATCTAAAAAAATATGAAAGAATTGAAAAATGTAATTATTGATTGATTGATTGATTGGCTTTAAAGCAATCAATGAATAGATTGAAATTCAAAGAATAATATTAAAGCATACTTAGCTGTCACATATCTTTTATTTGTTATAATATATGCATACATTTATGCAATATGAGCAATGATAACTATTTGGAAACTTATCAGTAGGCTTATCTGTTGAATCTCGATGCTGATAAGAAGTCATTAAACAGAAGTTTGAGCAGAAAATTTCACCTTCACTTCACAGTTCAACATTAAAATTCCATTGCATGTCC